TTTCATTTCAGGCCTATTTATCAATTTTGTGGTGTATAACCTTCACATTTTAGTACGTAATATTTATTTTGAATCTTCAAATTGTCTTGAAACTTAAAAGAAAATTGTTCTTTAAAAATTCGCTAAAAATCGGTTGCCAAAATTATTTGTTTAGGTGTTATTTGATTTTCGTGTTAACCTGTAAGTTCGTTAGTCGCCCGCAGCTTTTGTTGTTTCACACAGAAAAAACGCACGATACGAAATGTAGGGATCGATTTTGTTCCCAATCTCACGCCATAACAGAAAAATATTTTGAACACCTGTAAACTCTGAGCGCTTCGGAGTAAGTGATAATTTTAATGGATCTTCGGATTGTTTTCAAGTTCAAGGACTGTAAATTACAATTTTACGAAAAACAAAGGTTTTGTTTTGCCGTGAGTTAATATTGTTTTGCCGTGAGTTAATTTTGTTTTGCCGTGAGTTAATTTTGTTTTGCCGTGAGTTAATATTGTTTTGCCGTGAGTTAATTTTGTTTTGCCATGAGTTAATTTTGTTTTGCCGTGAGTTAATTTTGTTTTGCAGTGAGTTAATTTTGTTTTGCCGTGAGTTAATTTTGTAGTGCCGGGACTTTTTGTTTTGCCGTGACAGTTGTGGGTCACCGCATCATTCTTCTAAAACTCCAAAAACGAACAGAAAACATGCAGAATGTTTGAGCGGCCCTTCATCTTTTTTCTGTGTTCTCTACTATCGCTTCTGCCTGCGGTTTTCCTTCAATGAGCTTCTTACTGCTAATTTGAAAGTCAGTCTGCCAATTTTAAAATTGCCCAAAACTGCCTGACATAGCGTGCTCTAGTCCCTTTCAAACCTTTTTTCTTGTCATGCGGCACTTTTTATCCCGGAGGCTCTTTGAGCAAAGAAGCGATTGAAGCTCGACAAAACCACGACAAACTTGCCAAAGAGATTTATGTGTTCAAGACTGGTTTTCATTTAACGGCCAAATAAGCAGCAAATTTTGTCGAATTGTGCAATTACGGACTACTATTTCAAAAACGAGTGCAAGGGTTTCATCAGGGTTTCCAAACACGAAACTAAAATTAAAAAAATAATAATGAAATAAATCAAACAATTCATGAAAGCGATGGAAATGTTCCTTACGGCTTACTCCTTTATACAAAGTAGTGGCTCCTGTTGGGAACACAAAGCCAGAACTTCAATGGCAACATCGTCTGGAGAAAATTGAAACTTCCAGAGTGGGTCATGAAGGCCGACTTCAACAGCAAGATGCGAGGAAAACAGGTGAATTTGCTTGCCTAGTTAATATCGATACAACCTGGAAGTAGAACACGCACAAACCTTTGAATGAAGGGTAGTAGGCAAGAGGCGAACATGATAGCCCAGGAAGAAGAGCTCGGTCTAAGTCCATTTTTCGAATTTCAAGCCTTTGAAATGTTGGATTATCTGCACATGAAATCTGCATAGAATCCTCCCACAGAGGACACCATGACGGCTGTCCTGATATATATCATATATATTCGTCGCACGTACGGTATTCGTTTTTTTTTTTTTTTTTCGTATTTTCCTTTTTCTGCCCTCGGGCAACGGTAACGCTTTCGTGAGTCGCCGAGTACATCCCAACTTTCGTTGCCATTTTTTTAATAAATATATCTTGTTCTTTCGGTTGGACAGATTTTTAAGCCGACAAATAATTTATTTATCCTCTCTTTTCTCTCTCTCAAATAAATTTTGTTGACAGAAAAGTATTGGTTTCAAAATGAATTTGTATATCAATAGCGTCATTACTTTGGTTGACAAGCGGCATAAAAGGGGTCCGTGTGTCATTCGTCCCTAATTCAATTTCGTTTTAAATTAAAAATTGATTCAATTTTCGATTGTCATTATTTTTTATCAAAAAAAATACGAAAGTGCCAAATCGAAAATTTTTTATTTTTTTCCTTTTGATAGAATATTGAAACATAACTTATATTTTTACTTTAATCCTGTCAACAATGAAGAGAAAAATTGAAACATAACTTATATTTTTACTTTAATCCTGTCAACAATGAAGAGAAAAATTGAAACTGAGGGGCGATTTAATTTGCTTTTCCGGAAATGTTGTAGACTATGGCATGGCTTAATTTTTCTGTTTTCGGCGGAAGCCTAAAAATTAAAAATTGATAATTGCAATCAATTTTAATCTTTTGTTTTCCGGCCAAAACATTCCAAATGAATGGTTGACAAAACTAACCAAGAGGGAAGGGGAAGGGGTCCATTCGCACGGTAATTTTTTTTTTGCCCCCAGCGCCCTCTCCCCATGGCTAAGTCCGCTTCTTTGCTTAAGGGGTCTGGGAAGGAAGTGAGAGTTTAACTGTCTCTTTGCGGTCTTTCACAAAGTTTTAGAGCGCCCTCCTCCGTAACCTTCAAAGGTTACTCGTGTAGCGGAGAAGACAATCCGAACACACAATATAAATCACGGTTTAATCAAACGAAGTGCGTAATCAAAATTACAAACGAAAATAAGGAGATCGGTGTGAAATCACAGATGAAGAGGGCGAAGTAGGATTGAAGATAGCGTAGTAATGATTGATGGTAACGTTGTAGCTGAATTGTTGTGTGATTCGAACTAAAAGGAAATGCAGCAGAAACTAAACTAAGAAAATATCCCTGAGAAATATAACACTAGCCTAATTAACAATGAAGCGATTATAAAGTGAACTGAAAGAAATAAATCGATATACGTATCAAAAAAAAGGAAATATCTTAAATGTGAAATGAAGAAAAACTTACTTTGGTCTAGCTACTAACGATTGTAGATGAATCGCCGATAGCGGATCGTACATGAATAGCAGAGAAAATTGGTGACGTCGACAGCAACTTATAGCGATGAAATATGAAATACAATATCTGGTACATGTGCTTAAATGAAACTGATTGAAATAAAAAACTTGTTAAGTAATAATCATTGACCAATGAAGAAATAATAGACCGGAACAAACCTAACAGAGTTCTGTCCAGTTACGCGAGCAAACTAACTTTTGGACGTTTGTCCATTACAGCGAGCAGCCAGACTTTTGGACGTTTGCTAGGAAGTTAAAAAGATCTTAGACTTCGTATTGGAGCATATTGGAGCGGGTGATGCAACCATCGTTGCCATCGTTGCCATCGTTGCCATTTTGATCACTTGATGATCTTTTTCGCTCAAAACACACGACGACTTCCCATTTCAAGGAATGCTTTTCCAATTAATTTCGATCGCATCTGTGTAAAAAATTACAAGCATATGCGTGTACTGAAAAACAAAAGAGGAATTGAAAACTACGAGAAACTGCGAGTCATCGGCCTCTTCTTCTAGACGCGGGTTTTTTGATGTAACATGCGTGTTTCTCTTAAGTTACAAGCACTTTTCCGCACGTGGGAATGCCGCACTGACGGTGTATGCAGTGCAAGGTAGAATGGTTATTGTCGACCTGGAGTGATTATGTGCGATATTTTGCTTAATCACTCTTTGTCGTTTCTACCACTTAAATAGAAAGTCAGAGAAGGGAATGAAGGGGGGCCAGTGAGGGTTAAATTCCCAGAGATAGGTTAACGACTGCATTGACTTTTATGGCGCTGCATATTCAGTTCATCTGATCTCAGTCATCTCGTGTCTGCTCCTGGCAGTTACACAGTTAAAATGGAAACTGAAATTGTTAACAAAGTAACGAACGAGCGAAAAGAAGAGAAAAAGTTCGGTCGGCTTGAAAAAAAAGAGAATTTGGGTTGAGCAACTTTCCTTTCCTTTTTTCTTTGATTCGCCGCAAGCGTCCCGCAGTTTACTTCCACATTCCTTTTGGATAACCATACGTCTGAAGCTGGTTAAGTCATCTCATGAATTAACTTAACATTTAAATCAACAACAAATTTAGTTATTAGTTGACTTCTGTAAGTCTCACGAAATTTCAACAAGCTGTATGCAGTCGAGATGTTGCAGTCCACAACACAAATTACAACAAGAATATTTCAAAGTGCAATAATTTAATCAAAATTGAAGACACTTTATTCCTATCACTCTCAAATAAATATATTACAAAATTTCTGCACTCAAACCTCATAAATAAGACATATTTTCCTGTAAAAATTATAGCTTGTATAAACTATAGCATCTCCAGACTAGGGAAACTTTTCTACTTGACCAAGTACCAGTCTCTATTCCAGAAACATCTCTATATACATTCAAAAAGATACTTTTTCAAACAAGGTGAAATAAATGAGCATAAAACCCGACTATGAAGCGTAAAAGCTGTTCTTTTATTTTCAAGAGGATAGTGACATAATCAAAACTAAAAATTCACTCTTCAATTTCATTCTTGACACCTAGGGACACCGAGATACCGATTTAAAACCATCTTGAGATTTTCATCAAATTTGAAAACAAGTCGTTGAAAGAGTCCTAAAAGGAGATGACTACAGTGTTATGTGATACTTTGTGCAAACCAACCCAATGCTTAACGCTTTAGCTCCCTTGAGTGACCAAGGCGGCATTTCTCCTTATAATGACAACACAGTATCAAACAGACAAGCGATGAGAAAACAGAAACATATCAATGACAGGAAAATCCGTGGTTCAAATACCAACTTCTCCTACCTCAAAGGATAATTACTAACAAGATCTTGGGAGGGTGAAAGGTTTACATGCAAAGAAATTTCGGTAGAAAAGTTTCACTAAATAGACTTGCAGAACAAGGTCACCTGGGTCTTCCCTACTAAGAATACCCAAAATAATTTTGACTCAATACTTTTCATCATCTTCTGATCGATGTAAATTTTATCTCATCATCCAATTTCATTTCCATAATCATTACGTAACTGCTGATAGACAATGATGATAGACAATCAACGCCTACCCAGTCTCTTTCATACCTTAATACCTAAACCCAGGAATCAAGACCATCGCAGTGCTACTGAACGAGTTGCCACACAAAAATCAATTCGGAAAAATCGCAACTTGAAAAAAAAAACCTGAACGCATACGATATACAAATGCCTTACTTTAATAATGTTTTCAAGATCGACCTGCAGAAGATTTTCTCCTTCAGGATAAATGATAAAATCACCGCTCCTATCTCTAATACCCGTAGAAAAAAGATCACGCAAATGTCACGCAAGCTTTTAAGAGTCACGCTTCAAAGGATTGGGTGATACCCAGCAAATGCCAGCATTTGTGGTTTGAACCTCATGTCATAGCGATGATTTTCTTTCATCTTTCTCGTAAAATAGGATGTATGCTTGTGCTCCTTGAACCCGTGATGAAGAAATTTCATCCACCCTGAAAACAAAACAAACCACTGTTAACCTTCACAGAAAGTTCAATGTTATAAACACTTAAAGAAAATCAGAAATTTCGCGATATTTCCGCAGACGTTCGAAAATAATCGTGAGGTGACCAGTTTGTCGCAAGGAGGAAAAGTTGTCATGATTCAGTAATTTTCAGTTCGAACTGTATCCTTTTCCCTAAATTATTTAAGAATGACATGAAATGCTGAGGATTCTAGCACGTGGAATAGAGCACTTTTCAACTGACAATCAAAAGTGATCCTGAGTTGCATTAGTTGTGAAATCAGAGCAAGGAGAAGAAAGAGAAATGTCACAAGTAGCCAGTCAGACTTGAGAGTCAACACAGGCAAACTGCCTGAGGCGCGGGAAAATACGAGTGGCCAGGCGCGCTTGGTTCTAGGTTTGTTTTCTGATTGGTTGAGAGGATGGCACGAGTTTCCTGAACCAATCACAGAACGTGACAAGGCAATACCGAAAAAAAACCTTGAATCACTGTTCGCACTCAACGAAAAGTTGGGCCGAAATTTTCGGGGATAGCTGGCCCCAAAAGACGCTTTCAATTTTGGCAACTGTTTTCTTCATTATCAGGGAATTCTGATCTTATGTTGATGCGCAAATGAGACTTAAGCGTATCCACTTCACATAGAAAGCAAAACTCACCGTGAATCGTTAAAGCAGTGCCACTGTTTGCTGATCGGGTGTTTACAGTAAGCCATGTAATGGCCGCCGTAGGTGCTGCCGGAATGATTCGAGACTGCGTACAAGGAGTACACCGCTGACCGACCCTCTGAAAGCAATCAAACAATCATACCACATGGCATCCGTGCGAGGCAATTTAAGTTAATATTTTACAAACATCTCTGTAGAATTTGCGACATGATATTAAACTTCATTCTTCTTTGAAATTCTAAAAACAAATAGAAAACATGTAGGATGTTTGAGCCCTTCTTCTCTTTTCTGTGTTCTCTACGAGAGCTTCTTGCAGTTTTCATTCATTGAGCTACGTACAGCTAATTTGTGAGTTAGTCTTTCAATTTAAGAATTGCCTAAAAATGCGTGACATAGCGTGACTCTAATCCCCTTCAAACTTGTTTTGTCTTGTCACGCAACACTTTTTTCCCCGGAAGCTCTTTGAGACAACAAGAGATTGAACGTCGACAAAACCACGACAAACTTGTCAAAAGGGTTTTTGACTTCAAAACTGGTTTTCATTTAACAGCCAAATGAGCAGCAAATGTTTTCGAACTGTGCAAATACGGACTCGTAGACATAAGTTCATAAATTTATGGTTAAAACTGACAGCGCTTATTTAGCGTCCCAACAAGTTTTCGGTTTCTCGATGGCTGACGAACGTTCCAACAGAACGAAATACTCGTGAGGTTCTTACCTTGGCTGTCGGCAGCAAATTCAGAGAGATCCAGCTTGGATAAAGGGAATTCTACATTCGTCTGTAGCTTGGATCGAAAACTGAAACCTGAGAATCTTTTTAAATCTGTTGAAATGGACATTAAGGTCAAATCTCAAGATCAGAGACTGATTTCAAAAGAAATTGAAATAAAATAATAATTAAAAAAAACGCTTACTTTAGACATATCTTTAACTAGATGCCCAGTTTGTTGGTAGTTAAATAAATATTAAACTAAAAAAAAAACGGTCATCAAACAAACAGCCGTTACGTTGCTCTCTAGCTGGTGCGGTGGAACCTATTTTTAAGGCACCTTCAGGGACACAAACTTGGGTCCCAACTCCTCTAGCAGTACTTAATCACCTTCATTGAAGGGACACCTCTATACAGGGGACTCTTTTTCATTTCCTCAAGAGAGCCTCCTAAACTGAGTTTCCATCGTACACAAAAACAAGACATATTGACAGAGAAAGGATACGAAGAACAAGGATTGGCGGAAATCTTTGTATTGAGAATTTCTTCGTTGATTTCCTCTTGGCCTTACACTTGTCGCAAGTCTGAGAGAGAAAAACGTATATTAAATGGCTGGAGATCGGAAGTTAACTTGTGTATTATGATCAGGGATGGGTAACTGTGAAGAACAACCCCCTGAAATAAAAGGCAGTCTATGACTGCATGTGCCTGCCGTTGTATCGTTGTAGAATATAACAGCAAAAAAGCAATGTGTTGCAGAAGGGTTTAATGAACAGCTGTTGTCGATACCAAAATTGTGACGAACGGAGGACTTGGGCTGGAAATTACTAGAATAATCACATGAATTACTCGTGCATCAGATTAATTTTAATACAATCGCCACTTCGTACGCTCTGCGTACCTAGCAAAATTGATATACCGACTCCACTCGAATACGAAGGTAGAAGGTTCGAGCCTCATGTCTAAGAAAATCACCAGGGAGTTTTAGATCCACGTTTGTTTCTGAATACGTGTGGCCGCAAACGTCTACGAGTCACGTGACCAGACTCTAGCGGTCACGTGCGCCGTTTGCGGTCTACGTTTGAACTTCGGGCAAGGCAGTTTCGGGAAGTTGAACTCCCCTGACGCTTTTTCTCTTCCTGTTCGAAAGTTCTCATGCATGTCCTATAATATGTGAATTGAAGTCTTTTCTTCATAACCTATCCGTTTGGGACACTAGAAAACCAATCTTATAGCCACATTTTGTGTTTGAAATGAAGGACCCCCATCCTTTGTGTAATTCAAGATGGCAGCGCTCATGTTGATTTTTTTTTCAGGTGAAAGCCGACTTCGATCTAAAAAGCTGAAAGTCACGAAACTTCTAACTTCTAAAAACAAACTGCTGGCCGCTGTTTGACGTTTGCGGTGAACACACCAAACGTGGATCTTAAACTCTGTCTTAATAACTATCTTCCCGCACATAAAAGAACAAACCTGGCAAATGGCAAGTAAAACTGAACCATAATCATTTGGGTCGCCATTATTAAGGCAACTTATTTCCTTGGAAATTACAGACAATTTTGTTTCGTACTTACTGGTCTTTCGTCGCCATCCAATACTTCCTCCCTGGTGAAGGTAAGGATACAGTCTCTAATGGTAATCTCGCTGTCATTTGCCCCACTGGATCGCCTTCCGGACCACGATGAAGAAGATGATGATGATGAATGGCGGGATTTCTGAAGAGAACAATAGGAAATAGTCCTGTCATGGTCGCAACAATAGGAGTTTTATCTGCTGTTCTCTTCCTCAGCTAGCGTGATAGAGTAGAGTCAACGTTTTACCATTGACGACTTTACGTTTTCATAACCTGATACCCGTTCCTCGAAAGTCCCCGTAACTTAACGGGCCCGTGACTATATTTTAACATCAAAATTTGAACGATAAACAAGCAGTTTCTGGCACCCTAACCAATCGTTTTATTTCTAAGGCTGAAAGCTTTTTTGTATGCTTTTTAAAACCTTTGAAACCCCGCATGGAATGAAAATCACAACAGCTTTACAGGCCCGTTAAGTTATCGGAACCTTCGAGAAACGGAACCCTGATTCCTAAATAAATAATAAGCACAGGAGTGATATACAAAATGAATAAATAAGGAACATAAAACTTTTATATGGCTTATTTCTTCATTGCTTATTTCTTCATTGCTTATTTTCGTGACGAATAAACATGAAAGACACGGAACTGTTCAAACTAAATTCGCCGCATGTCACTGATAGAGTTCTTCAGACGGAGTATTTTACTAGTATGGAGTATTTAATTTCGGCATACAACAGATAGCCCTCAAAAATTTGAAAGCAAATCAGATCTGGAAGCATTAGCTTAGATATCAGTTTCCTTTATTGAACGTTTTTTGGTAAGAAAAATTGTATGTAAAGTAATAATATGCATTTTTTTTAAAGTTTGACTTATCACAGCCAAAGAGAATAAATATTGTGTGCTGCTAACTCTTCGTCCTAAGTACTACATCTATCCGATTTAAGACAATTCCATTTTCTAAATAGAATTGTAGTAGAGGTTCCCTAGCAGATCGACGACACTTAAGACCGTTAAGTTCTGTTTTTTTTTTTCGGTTGTTACTGCTTCTTCTTTGAATCAGCTGGGCGACTTACCCTTGGTATGGGAAGTGACAAGTCCCAGAACGGGTCAAAGGTGACTGACGTGTAATCACAATGACAACATTTCAACATGCTTTTCAACTGTCCCACGAAAAGATCTGAAACAAGAACAGCAATGAATACTTCAAACCACTCTCATGCTCCAGAACATTTTTTCTTCGTCCTGTAAATAGCAAAAATGGCATTCCTAACGATTACTAACATTTCTTGCACTGAAATTGGTTGTTTAATCTCCGTGAGACTTCAGTTTTAGAATGCAACCGTGGGTTACAAGTCTTGAATATATCTTAAAATATACGCAACGAGGATATTTCACAAGCGCTGCAAAGTTCATATTATTAGTGACAACTTGTCTCTTATTCTACTCAGGAGTTTCAAATTCACTAATTTTATTTTACAGGAACTGAAGCTGATATTCATTTCAAAGTAAGAGAGAACAAAAAAGGGTCTTGTACCCTTTACAAAAAAACGTCCATTTACAGGGTAATTCTATATTTAGCCCGCATCATAACAAAAAGTTGCAACTTTTTAAGCGCACACGAACGAATCGCAACTAAAATTATGGGCCGTCAACATGTGCATTCCAATGTTTCCAAAGAAATAACCTCAGCTGACTCACCAGTCATCCAGCTGTCATCTCGTGAAAGATAACTTTTCCATGACTTCTCTGCATTCTGTCGGTGACTAAAAAACCAATTGAGAGAAAAGTAAGAATACCCACACTGTAAAAAACCATTTGCGAAATGAGGCTTTTTCGTATAAAATAAGTATTAACCTTATTAAATACACCACAACAGTTGACTAAAATAAAAACTCCAAACCTTCTTAAAATTCAAATCAAAGGGGTAACAAATTTGCGCTGACGAAAGCTCAAAAAACAACCAACTAAACTAAGTTAAAACAAACAGCAAAAGAACTCGAAAAATGTGTACGTCAGTTTTCTATGCCAAGGTCAGAGTTCTTAGACGTGATTGGCTAATTTGTGTAATCACACGCGCTGCGTAGAGACACCAGGTTGGTATCAATATGTATCTTCCCCATGCTGTTCTCGACACATTTCTTATGGCACTGACAAGGAGAATTTGTTGAACAATCGAGAGCTTCTTTAAATAATGATAATTTTCTTTACTCTCGTCAATTTAATGAAGGAGAAATTAGACGCTGGTCACTCTTAAAGTTCAAAAGGATGATTACCTGAGTGAGTCGTCAAATTCACAAGGGGTATACTTTGGCTTGGATTTGACTCGATTCAAGTCATCGTGAAGTCCTTCCAAAAGAAAGCGTAAAAATTCCTGTGCATCTTGTTGGCTATATATATAAAAAAAACAATTGAATTAAATAACTTAAAACGTCTTGTACATAATTTTACTTTTTGCAAACTGCTTACAAACTGTGACACAAGATATTTAGTGATAACATGTATTCAGTAATGCTAATTTAAAATTGAATCCGAATTTGTTCTCATCTTAGTTTAAAACATCAGCATCAACATGCTACAATTCTTTTCTCTACCAGGTTTCTATTTTAATGTTTGTAGAAGAATTTTTTTTCTCTTCTTGATCACATTAAATTGCCTTCTCATTTAAACTCTCTGTTTCAGTCATTCGTCTGTTTGTCGGTATGGAAGTGCAGCATATAAAAAATGAAACAGATAGATGCCTTTCTTGATATATATAAATATATATACATGTATAGGAAAATAGTATTTATAATAACAATATTAATAATAACATCAACTTGTAATGAAATAAATTTCATTAGAATTGCAGATTCAAGCCTGTACCTCCCACATATCTGATGAATGGCTGATGCGCAAAACGTCAGCTTTGAAATTCTTTATGGTAGCTAATTTACGTTATCAACTTAGCTACTTATACTAAATTACCCTGTTCTACTCTACCACTGGCGCAGCACCACAGTTTCTTTAGAAACTTGCCCCCCTTTATTCTCCCCCCGCATAAAAGTGGGCACTAATACTAACTGAACTACGAAGACACGTTGGGAGTGAGTTGCTTAATAGTAACAATACAAATATTTGACTCACTTGTATCCCATAAATCGAGGGGCAAATCTTTGAATCTGAGTCTTAAAAGAATGCGGAGACACTGCATCAGTGTAACCATGCTTCCACATGGATTTGATCAGATCTGCAAAAGCTGTGGAAAAAATCAAGCAAAGCTTGATGAAAATATTGTTCAAACCAAGAGATTAAAGCAAAAAGCAAATTAAAATCATAGAATGGGGATGAGGAAATAATTTTAATTGCTAGGAAAATTGCCACTTAAATCATGGAAACTTGTAATAACTATCAAAATGCTTGCCACAATTTTTCCAAACCAAAGTGACACTCTAACCAACAACAGGTACTCTCCAAAAGAAAAATACACCCAGATGGACATTTGTTGTAGCATCACAAATTATTTTATGCAAACGTTCTTCTAAAGCAGTCAAATGTTCATGCTTTTAACATGATTGCTGAACACAGGTTTCCAAATTGGAAACTTTTGCTGCATTGGAAGTGACCAAGACAGAATTTCTCTTAACAATATCAATAAAATACACAGCCAATTACTGGTTGATCTGATACCAAATTCTCCAAGCTATCATGAGAATTGTATTGCAGAAGGTAAAGAGAATCAAGAATGAGATGTTGAGAGTGAAAGAGTTAACAAAATTATACACAGCTATGATATAATAACATTGCTGTTGCATACACTATGTGATAAAAACCAATATCATAGTTGATAATCCATCAAATATTTTTGCTTGTGCACCATTGGTCAAAACACATCTCATGACCTAATATTCCCCTGCTAAAACTGGGGGTCTTATCCAAAGATATCACTTAACTGATATTCCCCAATTTTCAAACCTTAAGTCACTGCAATAAGTTGTTTTGTGGTTGTTACAGAAGAGGGGAAATATTTGCTTTTTCGTAAAGTTTTACAAGAGAACACTCAAACAAGCTTATGCAGCAAACAATAAGCTGTTTGTAAACAATTTTTCAAGTGCATTGCAAAATATTTGAAGGAAAATCAACAACCTTACCTCCATTTTGCTCAAAAACATGCTTGTAAATTTGTCCTTGGACATTATCTGTTCCTTGAAGCACACAGTTTTCCTCCAGTTTTGCTCTTGGAAAACTGTTTACATCTTGAAACAGATTATGTCTGTGGACAAAATTAATATCCTTGCAAATCTTTGCGTCAAATAAAGACTATTGTTTATTTATAATAATGTCAATGGGCATACCGTGAATAAGCTTGCCCTTCATGGAACTGTTGCCGTTAATTGTCTTCAGGTGAGAGCCTTTTGACAGTTGTTCAGTTAAGGGTTGTGTGTGACTCAAACATTGGAGGATGGAATTCATAAAACACTGCAGAAAAAGTGCACAAAATCATAAGTTGCCTTGACAAAGTTTCTCTGAGAATGTCAAAAAGTATGAAAGATTTCAATTATTTAGGATATCTGATACTGGTTGAGATCAGTTAGGTCATATCATTTCTAAAAAATATACTTACTGTATTTCCTAGATTACGCAGACCAACTAACCCATCAGAACTGCCTCTTCCTGTAGGCTAAAAGATAAAACAGACATGTTTGACAGTTCCTTTCAGCAATTCACTATATGAGAATTTCAATAATTCAAATCTGTACATAACAGAAGCTGCTAAACATTAGATAGATTCAAAATCAGAGGTTGTCAACATGCAGTGCAGAATAAAATCAGGAGTGAAAGCATACGTTTTTCCTTAAGGACAGATTTCTTTTCACCAACAGGACCCACAACAAACAGAAATAAACTCCCACTGTAAAAAGATATTCACATCCAAAAGCCACGGTTTATCCCTCTCCTTGCTGATGATTCAATTTCTCATCAAAACAAGCAAATAACATAATTACAACCTCTTCTGGCAGAATGTGTTTTGCCACAAGATACATTAGAAATTTGCTCTGACAGTGAAATTAGAAAATCTGTCCTGACTCCAAAAATTACATCTAAACAGGAGAAAATTGGTTTAAAAAGAAAAAAAAAACCAGATAGCATTGCCATGAAAATGGAAACTTGAGTATAACAGGTATATTATTGCCAAACCTGGCAAAGTTCCATTCAAAATGAATGTAGTCATAGGTATAAATTATATAAATAAATTAGTCATGTTTGACGGGTATTTTAATTAAACAATGTCAAAACAATTCATTCCTAAGCAGAAACATACCATGTTGAAGGCGTAAAAGAGAAAAATGGACATTCTAAATGATTTCAAAATTAGATTTATGAAAAAAAGGAAAAAAAAAGAAAAGAATTCTAGGAAGCAGATTTCAATCCAAAAAAAAAGATGAGACAAATCGATAAATAATTAAGCATTGAAGACACTGTTTGTCTGAGTAACAAACCGTAGGTTGTTTGAAAACAATTTTTTTTGCAGTAAATTCTTTTTTTTTCTTGTGGAAAATTTTAAAATTCCAAACTAGCTTGAACAAATTTTTTTTTTATCACAATCATATACTTCAAAAAGGTCAGACTGAATCTAAATTATTTGCTGTAATCTTATCCATGACCATGACATAAATTCTCTTTGAAATTAAGTGATAACTTTAAGAAAATTTAATGCTTGATCAAAATTAAAATTCTGAAGCAAATATAATTTCTACAGTCTTATCATGTGTCTATTTTGCAATTTATCAATATGTTACAGAGAAGTAATGTCCACATAACTTCAAGCCTGTTTGCTTGTAATTTCTTCAAGAAGAAGTTGCACTTCAATGCATTTAATTCATGGTTAATGGGAGATTTTTAATTCCAAATGAATTTATTTTAAAAAATTTGACAGTAATTCACTGGATAGCTCTACTGTGGATTCCTAGGATAATTAATAATCCTCTGTAGAAGACTGAACAACAGATTGCTGAAACTGAGAAAAGGGAAAAATTGTGCCTTCATGACTGACCTACTGAAAATGAAATGAGCCAAAACATTTAAGGGGGTTATGAAAGTTTCTATAGAAACTGTAGTTCTGTGTTGATGGGGGGTAGTACAAGATATCTGTTTTCATTGACTGAGTTAACCCTTTAACTCCCAGACCAAATTTGTAATTCTCCTTACTGTCAACCATACAATTCTTACGATGTTAGTTGAGAGAATTGAGTATTGGATCAACTAATTATCGCCAAATTGATATTTTTCTTTATTCTCATTACTTATCTGGTTGATATTGAGTTGATATAGTAAGGAGAAATTCATTCTTGGTCACTCATGGTGCCCACTGTAAAAAGTTTCCAAAGCTGATGTTTAGAGTGCTAGCCCTTTACCAGAGTGAACTCTTTAAGCTCAAATGACACATCCTTACAGAGCTCTCACTTTTATTATAATCATTATCAGAAACAAAATACTTGGTATTGTTATCATCATTGTTAATAAATAATATAATTCATTATTCCCATGATCATTGTTATCACCATAGGGGTTTACTAACTTTCGCAATAACTACAAAATGAATTAAATGTTGTGCAAATTTAGAACGAAAGTTGTCACATAACTCACCGAGTTCGATGGGGACGAATTTGAGGAACTAAACGACGATTGTCTCGCGCACTTCATTTCTGATCCTGGCAGAGCAGTTATGGCACTTTTTCTAGCTGTGTCCACATGCCCAATACTGTAACTGCTCCTGCTTGATACTGATTTTTCCGAGGAATACGATTGTCCGTACTTAGTCCCATAGCTATTCCGTGTTGAAATTATTTCATTCCGAGGATCTCTGTAATCGGCATGCGTTGTAGATCCATAAATACCACTGCTATATGAAATACTACTCCCATTTAAACCTGGTTTGGAGTTTGTGTTTCTCTGAGTGTACATATGCCTAGTTTGGTATTTATCTAGTTCACGATCTCTCTTTTGTGTATAGAGATCTTCCTTAGGTCCCAAACTCGAGAGCGATTTCGACCTTCGTCCATTTGACAGTTCTCCATATCTGTAACTACCTATCCTTTCCTTTCCATTGGAGCTTCCGTAACCAGAGTCACCTGAAACTTTCCGCTGCGTTTTCGGAGATTCCAATGTACTCGATTTTCTACTGTAAGTATCAGACAAGTATGATGCTCTAGCGGTACCTGCATGATTGCGACTAGAATTACTTTGGGCGACATATCTTACTCCTGCTTTATCCATTGAAGGTTTATCAGGTAGAGGACCTGGTCCGTGAGGTAGAGTTCTTCTAGTAGAGGAACTTGCGTTTCTGGTCCCCCTTGCACCAAAAGTTGACGAAAAACTACCAGATGTACCAGTACCAACCGAACTAGCTGCAACTGAACGACTAGTTTTCACGGCACCGGAATTGTGAGGCAAATGCCCCGAAGTTTCCCTACGAGTTTGTTGCATTGTCAAAGACATTTGTACATCAATGGGATAACGAATCGCCTCTAGCAAAACCTATTATCAGGTTGATTTTTTATCGTACAAAACAGTCATTAATCGAATAGTAAACCGTTTGTCTTCGCCGCCATATTGATCACGTGACGTAATTAACCTTGACAGTTCGTTTGTGATGTCATAGCAACCAAACAGAGGGAAAAAAAATACCCTTCCGGGGTGGGCTGAGAAGTACTTTCTAGAATGTTGTGAAATAGGTTGTTGTTCATCGTGGTAGCTGGATGATAATGTAAATTTGCTTTGTTGTCTCACGACTAAGTCATTAGATGCAGATCGCAACAGAGCAAATTTATATTATCACTTTCTAGAATGTATGACATAAGTTCGTGTGATTAGTCTGTTGCAATCGCAATTATTCAAAATTCAAATATATTTGCTATAACTATAACAAGTTGTAGTATTCGAGTGTATTGGAAAATATTCCTTTTTTTTCATGGATAGGGAAAAAATTTCAACTTTTCATATCGTTGGAAGTTTTTTCTCTACATTAAACCAGCAGCTCAGTAATGGGCTCCTGATGGAACTTAAAAATTCCCAAAAATTTAGAATGTCATGGTATAAATGTATAAATTTAGAATATTGACATGAAGATAAATGGCGAAAAAATTAAGTGTGATTCACCTCGAAAAGAAGGGGAAAAGAAAACGATTGTCCAACCGCAGGGAAATTTCCGTCCAGAAAGTAGTTATTAGTTTCCTGTTTTACTCGGAAGAAGTTCATCGGTTTACGATGCATTTTGAAAATGAATCGCGACTGGTGTTTCTGCAACGACTTTCAAGTGAGCTGATTTGATTCTAAAACAAGAGCACATTTTTTTTCAAAAAGTATAAGTCCTCAGAAACGAACTAGTTCTTTTGAGGAAAGGAGAAGAGGCTCTGAATAAGTTTCCGCTCTCTGCAAAATTGGGAAAACGAAGAGTGATTATGTACAAAGTTACGTTGAACTGTAACTTAAAATTTAATATAACAACTCCTAACTCCTTTCTCAGTTCTTCAAATTGAGAAAGAATCCCGTTACAAATACAGATTCAGGAAATAATCTTTAAAAAGGAAATCAAAATATTATGAATAGATTTAAGTAAATCATTGTAGGGGGGTACGGTACGGTTGGGCTGAATCATAAAAGCGAACATCCTTGAAGTGAAAACAAACGAAAAAAACAAAAATTACATGGCATATACAGAACTAAAAAGCAAACCATCAAAACACTAATAATAACCCGGGTTGATCATTACTTTCTTTCTTTAATAATATTCTAATAAAATGAGGAAATTAATACAGTCTCGTCACGCAATACATTGCGTGACACAAGCCAAGAACATGCACGCGAGAATGTATGACTATTTTAGGAAATAAAAGACACTTTTTAAAAACAGGTTTCGACAGTTCTTCTGTCATAATACAAAGTACAAAGTGGAATTTAAAGTGTATAACAAAATGCTGATTGGACAAAACAAACAATAATAACAGAACAAAGTTTTAAATTAACATGATAAAGTTGATGATTAAGTGGCTTCCATTGATTATGGATAGCTTCTTTGATTTTAAGTTGAGAAGTTGTGGATGCGTGATCTAAGATGTTCAAACACTCATCAGTACAAAGAGTACGACATTGTAGAGAATTATATAGATTTCTGAAAATGTGAGAGTTATAACTATTTTTTAAAATTCGTATCTACCTGCTGAGGGATTTTCCCAAAATTCTCGGTAGCCTGTTGTAACGAAAATCGTTTTAACCCTCCGGAAAAACTGTTACAACAAAAAGGAAGAGCTGGAACAGTAGGCAAATGAAACAGGAAGAATATATCATGCTGATCTCTTAAAAACGAAACCAAACGGGGAAGTCCCTTCGACTGCTGGCCAAGTAACGTACATTCTGATTGGTTAAGAACGAGGGAAGGTTAAAAATACACGTTACTACATCCTGCATCTCAATCTAGAGACTTTGCTTGCAGTTTTGCCTCTGAGTTATTAATGCGGCTGGTGCATTGAGTTAAGTGATATTTTAGTGATTAAAAATGGTAAGTACAACAGGGTTTGGATCAACTATGGAAGAAAGATATAAATTCGAGCTTAGCGTCGCCGATTACAAAACGAACGATCCTCAAGGCACTTCCGCCATACAACGAACGAACTCCGATGCCTCTGTTCACCAGACGAGTAAAGATATAATCAAACAAAAACTGACCGCCAGAGTTTCCCCGATGACGCGACATCAGGAGCAATTTTTGGATAGAAGACTTCATCCGCTGACTGTAGTTCCTAGTCGTGGAAAATCAACTCGAACATATGGAGCGAGCACCAAAACACAGCTTACCGATATTGGTACTGCTGCACCTTTCATAAAACGCGAACCGCAAAAACTTGCGGAGAAGCGAAAATTCCAAGCTACAAATGTTATAATTGCTCCTAAAACTGTCAAGTCAGACACTTCTCCCAGTAAACGAAAAAAACCCGAGACGAAAAGGCCCAGACCAATTCTGCCACGGACGATGCAAGGTTAGTAACCAAATTCTGTGAACGCAAGCAGTTTTATGATTCCATCCCAATTGTCATATCTCACAAAGAAATATTTCCATTTATCACTTCAAGAGCAATGGCTTGATACTTGAACAGTTATTATAAAAATATAACTGGTAAACAGAGATGCTTGCAAGGTATTTTGTAATTTTAGATAATTATATGCAAGCGTCGACGAAGAGATAATTTATAATTCATTCTCTACATTTAACAAAATATGGTTTTTTAATAATATTGTATATCACAACAGAATGTATATAATCTTATACATGCATAATGCCAAAAAATTGGAGAAACATTTGGCGAACTAATTCAGAAATAACTGAGAAACGATCACATATATTAACTTTCACTTTCATTTGATGACGAGGGTTTTAACGTCAGGCATGAGTTGACACGTTTTCAAAATATTGTAAATCACTGCATTTTTCGATGATACCATTAACAACATTCAAAAGTAATGGTATGCCTTCTAATAAGGTTTTTGGCGAAAAACGTATGGACGGTGTCGCGCCGACAAAATTGGCAGAATTAGGGGGAGCCCCAAATTTCGTTTAATTTTTCACGTGCTCTCTACTTTCGCGTCATTTGGGAAAGTCCCACACTCTTGGTAACGTGAAAAAAATGTTACTCCCAAACTTCCGGGGTTTCCCATACCGTTGTGAAAAAGGGAGATATTAAAAATATTTTTAAACTTCCGAAGACAAATATAATAGAGAGAATCAAATAAAAAATCCCAAGGCCAAGTTGCCATGTTTTCATATTCCACTTAAAACATTACTCAGCATGTAATGTTCTCAGGGGGATCCCCTGAGGAAGAAATTGCCTTTTGGGCTTATCCATGGGGTCTCCCCCTGGTGAGTAGTGCACAGTCAGCCCAGTGCAACAGGACAACTCAAAGTTCTAGCTTTAGAAAAAAATTTTTTTTCAGAAATTGTTGATAATTTAAGGATAATGTGCTGCTCTTTTTTTCCCCATCATTTAACTTTCAGCAAAAAATCTGTTAAAATGCAGTTTTAACAAACATGGTTCCTTGAGACCACATTACATCTCATGCTTGAGACAGTCAAAATAACAGAACTTGTTATGGTTTAGTTCCAGTTCAGCCAGAAGTTAAACCAGTTGTTGAACCAGCTGTTAAACCAGCTACACCTGTCAGTCCAGAACCTAAACTGATGAGTGATAATGTGGCGACAATGAGTCTCCTGTCAGCCACAGAGTGTCACCTGGCAACACTTCAAGATGAAGATGGCGACACGTGAGTATTTTTTTTTTTTTTCAATTTGAACTCTTTGTTTACTCTACATCAATAAAATTAAACTAAATTATTCAACCTTTGCATGCAAGGGGGGGCCAATGTTCTTTTTTCTTTTGGGTAGAGAGGTTAAGTGGTTGCAACATAGGAGTCGGTATGGAAAGGGAAGATTTATGGTAAACAGGGGCCGGAAGGAGGAAGCAAGAATGGGGAATTAACCCTTAACTCCCCTGATCAAATTTGTAATTCTCTTTACTGTTAACCATACAATTCTCATAATGTTAGTTCAGAGAATTCAGCATTGGATCAACTAATTATCCCCAAATTGATATTTTTCTTTATTCTCATCACTTATCTGGTTAATATTGTATTGATATTGTAAGGAGAAATTCTGTCTTGGTCGCTAATGGGAGGTAAAGGGTTAATAGTGTAGGGACAGAGAAGAAAGGGTTAAGTAGGGAGGAGGGGTTGGGTGTGACAAAGTAGGGGGAGGTGTTGGGGAAGTAAGATTGTAAGGGGGCCGGATATTGGAAGGAAAGGGTGTTGGGTATAGAATGGGAAACTTGCATGTTAGGGAAGGAGTGGTTGGGTATAAATAGGTAGCAGGTAGGAGCTAAGTTATGGGAGGAGAGGGAGTATTAGGAGCAAGAAAAAGGGTATGGTTTATAGATGGACAGTTTGTTGAGGTATAAGAATTAAATTGCTAAGGGATAGGTTGGAGGAAGAACTAAGTTGTAGAAAGGGAGAGATCTGAGGGCTTAAAGAGAAGGGAAAGAGTAAAGTGAAGAAACTGTAGAAAAAGGTGGAGGCAAAGGATAGCCATTAATAATAAATTGCTTTCAATAACAGATTATTCTTCACATGCACATCAGTCTAAGAAACATTTTGATTTTCGATTACTTGCAGACCTCTTCACATAGCCATTGCACATGGGAACACCCAACTTGTAGAATACCTCATCAACCTCATGTCATGCCTAACACTGGACATTTATAACAACCTGAAACAAACACCGTTACACCTGGCTGTCATCACAGAACAACCTTATATTGTAGAAAAACTTGTGTCTGCCGGAGCAAACGTGAACTTGCCTGATCGTAATGGTCAAACACCAACCCACCTGGCTTGCAATAGAGCAAGTGTAGAATGCTTGGAAACACTTGTAAAGGCAAGGAATACTCCTGACTTGGAGTTAAGGAACTTTAATGGGTACACTCCTCTTCACGAAGCCGTACTTGCACGTTGTAGTGGGGCAGTGACTTGTTTAATAAGACAAGGTGCTAAAGTAAATTGTAAGGTGAGTTGATAGAGGCAGTTTTATCAACAAATACCTTAAAAAAATCCATAGTTAGTGGGTCAATGTTACAAAGAATCCTAAAATACCAATAAGTTTTGTAAGAGAGTATGCTTCCTTCTAACAGATAGGCATTCCAGCTGATCTTACATTAAATAGACATGCTTGTCATCATAGCTTCTATTTTAGATATATTTAGGGTGATGTTTCTTTTTTTAACTTATTAAATAAGCACCCAACATTATAATTTCTGTTAAGTTGAGGAATATTTTATATCAAAGGCACCCTTATTAGAAACACTTGACTTCACTCATAGAAAATACATGCCTCTTTTTTTCCTAATCATTTAAGGATGGTAAAGGTGGTCGTACCCCACTACATCATGCAGTAGAGACAGAAAACATGGAAGTGATACAAGAGCTGCTAAAGTGTGGTGCAAATGCCAGTGAAGGAAGTTTTTCAGGGAACACTCCATTGCAGATAGCTAGTGGGCGCTCCATGCAGAACGTTAGGCTCCTACTGGAAGCAGCTAGCACTAACATCAAACCAAGCAAACATCGGGAGGTAAGGATCAAGTCAAACTTCTAAAACTTTAAATAAAATAAATAAAAAATTTTTTCACCTCCTCTTTCTCACTTTGGAGTGAAATGAAGCTACAGAAGAATGAATCTCCTTGATGCCTTTGGATGCAGTTAATTTTGAGTTCCATTCCTAAACCATGCTTGAGGTTACTAAATTCTCCATTGGTAGAAAACTTTTAATTTGAGGCTAGTTGCGGCAAGTTTTGATTGTGGATAGCTTCAATAAAACGCTGTCAACAATCAAAACTAGCCTCAATCCTCATCCATTCTTTTAAAACCTGTAAAGTCAGTTTTAGCCTCGTAAAAAACAGATGCTAACTAAAAGGGACTCACAATAAAACAGTAGAGTCAGTCTATCCCTGACTTCTGTGGCAGAAACAAAATGATGGTTTGAGATGAGAAGGACTACCAAAGATATGGTTCCCAGATGAAACTTCATGCCTGTACATGTTCAGGGTTGTAAGGAAGTTCAGCAGAACAAAACTACTACATGTAGCTTTAATATAGTTTCAAGTTAAACATTAATTTTTTTTTAGTTCCAGTGTTAATAATTGGTACAAGTTGCAGCTATGATTTGACATTAATAATTATTGATTAATTGTGCAAAATATTTGATTTCTGTAGATCACCCAAGTAGAAAAGTCTCCGCTGGTTTTGCCAAAGTATGACGACAGACGGCAAGTTATAGTGAAAAGCACCTATGCATAACCTCGACAGCCCAAGATAGACACAGTTTAAATTCACTGCAGCTGATTACAATGATCTCTGTGCATGAGTATTACCCTTGATTGTGTTAAAATAAGCTAAGACTGTTACACCTCATATCAAGTTATTGAGCTCACAGGCATTTACACTCAGGTACTTAGATGTATACAACAATTAAATATTAAATATTTATAAGTTAATACTGTTCTTTTTGTAGAGATATTGAGAGAAGTCAGCGTACATCTTCATAACATTTTTTAGTTGTACAGTACCAGTCAAAGAAACTTTAAGTTTGGTATTAGTAACAAGATATTAAAATGGAATCTGGTTAACATTTAAGTTGAAATTTTAGTAGGATAAAATACTTATTAAAAAAGGGTCCATGGTACAAACTTGGATTTGCACGGCAATCAGAGACACAAAAAATTATTATTTGCGAGCTTCAGCATTATCTTTCCTTGCATCACATATTTTTTTAAAGCAAAACTGTAAGGAAAGTTATTTTTTATTCAAGCTTGTTGGCATACTTTACAATGAGCTTTCACAAGAGAAACTGTCTGTAAGACAGCATTCTTCTGGTTGTAAAAACTCTGTTGATTACTTAGTTAGGTGTTGATAATCATACTGTTGAACTGCACATTTTTGAACAATAAAACTCTGAGCAATCAACTGAAAGGGGTTTTTATTGTTAACTAAAACTCTCCTTTTGGATTGAGCTGTTGTCATTATTACTTCTATAAAGTGTACTTACTAAGCACTCACTCAGAGCTTTCATGTTTTTAAAGGTGCAGTAATATAACAGCCAGCAAATGTACCATTGCTATGCAATGAATAAAGTACTGTATCACTTTTTAGTGAAATTTGAGTGTATTTGGCTTCCGTAGCAGATGATAGAAACTTGGTTAAAAAATCTCAAAATTTTTCACAGAGAGGAGCTATAGCTCCTGTGAGTTACAGACTGAAAAAAAATTTCTACTGATAGATAAGCTGTTTATGTTCTTGCTTGTAGTTAAAAGTAACAATTTCATTCAACTGACACACTGTTCAAAGGATTCTTGTGAGCATTAGGAAAATGTTTCAAGGAGTTATAATTATCAAATTGTTATCAATATCCTTAGTTTATTGCATAATTTAGTGACAAAACAGGTGTAAATTTTATATGTACCAAAAGGCTTGTAAAAGCGAACATGCAGAATAAATTGCGTGAAAACATTTGAAACCACTGCTATTTTCTAGGACTCTTTTATTAATTCTTCTCAGAAGGCACAATTACAATAATGCATTCTTTGTACATGAAAATGTTTTTATAGCATTTTTAATAAATCAAAATTCCCATTGGACAAATTCAAGGGGGGGGGACACCCATCCTTGTTACTGGTGGTACCACCCCCCCCCCTCTATCCTCCCCCAACCACCAAGCTACTACCAGGGAAAAATTTCCAGCAGTCACTTTCTACAAGTATCAAATGGAAGGACAGCTAAGGATCAGAGGAGTTGTATTTGACAGAGTTTCCCACCAAATTCAGCTAGCAATTGCAGCACAATGTAATCTTGTTGATTGACAGTCAAAACAAACTGATAGCCAAAGGCTTTTGTTGAAATCTTGTACACCCTTTGTCTGGAAAATGGTCTACAAATGAACCTTTCTGTAAGGTCCAAATATTTAATCATCTTAGACCTCTGTTGAAACCCTCTTTGCAATACTTTCCTCGATATGAGGAAATAAGAACAGGATTTCATTTTGCAAAATAGCCATGTGACATGATCTCATGCAATGCTGGTCTATCAACAAAGTCAAGTAACACTGCACTTTTATCATGAATTTGACAGGAAATCCAAATACAACTCTGTTTCTCCTTTTGGTTGGAATTTGTTGACTAACACAACTTGAATATCTTCATGATACTTTGGGCAAGCTTCAAAAGAACCTTTCTAAGCAAACAGAAGCTACTTATAATATTGCAATAAATTAATTAAAATATCTTCATACCCAGTTACAATGTATAAATTGTATATATGTCTCAACTAAATATGCCTGCATTTGTAATGTTAATTCAACTATTCTTACTATTAAGTAAACTACAAAATGATATGAACTTTCAAATCTTTCTGATCCTTCGTTAAAAGCTGTACAGCTATTAATTTAATTACCACCTTATGGTGCGTTTTTCTGAACTCCATTGAGAAAAGCATCAATTAACCTTTCCACAACAAATTGTGTTTTAAAGGCAAATGTCATACACCCTGATCTGTGTTCAGAAAAGGAGATTCTTCAGCTGAGTTAAAATTTTTATACTACACAACATGTCACCGCAACAAACAGGCTTCCAAGTTAATTTTTCTACAAAAATGAGTTGTGTCGTGGTCCAGAAAAAAAATCCCTACTCCTTAATTTAAATTTATCTACCAAATTTCAACCATTTCACTCCCAAGATCTCATTTGTAATTCTCCTTACTATCTTCCATATAATTCTTTTGATGTTAGTTTGGAGAATTTGGTATTGGATCAACTTATAATTCCCTAATTGATATTCTCTTTAATCTCATCACTTAATATCTGTTTGATATTGTTTCGATATGGTAAGGAGAAATTCTGCCTTGGTCATGCACTCATGGGAGTTCAAGAGTTGACCCTTTACCTCCCAGAAGTGATTAACATAAAACTTCTCCCCACAACATCCATACATTCTTCAGCAAACAGGTAATGAGAATATTCAAACTTATCAGGTGGAAGCTGCTATCTTGATCTAGCACCAAGTTCTCATAACTAATTTACAAGGAAATGTGTAGCAGCTACAGGGGAGAATTAACAATCAGATCTTGGGAGTTAAAGGGAGAAAAATAGGCCCTCTTCCTCTGCCAGAATTTTGAACCTCCATTCCTCTGTACTAGTGGGAAAGGAAATTTTCCAGAGCCACACATTATCAATATGAATTTCTTTACAACCTCATTTTATAAAACAGCAAAGCCTGTATTGGTTACTCAGTGACTATGTGTAGATTTAACCTCATCCACCGCCTCCTGCACCTGAAACAACAGTATTCCATCAAGCACTTCTGACAGAATATAAAAAGACAGCTGGCCACACAAGAAGCTACTGACAACTCACTTCTTTGGTGCCGAACATATTCTTCAACAGAATTGGCAAGAGATAGACTGCAGAATTTTCTCCTAGGTCAGATCACCAGGTGATAAACATGAGGGCTTTTCTATTGAGTATCATAAATGAAAGCTAACCCAACACAATAACAACTACAGCTAATCAAAACAAAAGAAAATACTACCAAAAGGCAAGGTGAAGCTAAGCTAGAAGAAAGCAAACTGCCTGAAGCACAGTAAAGCTTGTTTTCGTTTTGAATCTGAGCTGTTAAAAAAGAATCCTGAGTTTACAGGACCAATTGCACAGCAAAGTCTAGCAAAACTAAAACAAAAGCACAATGTGGATTACTTGTGACACTCATTTGAAAGATTGCTCTACCAGACTTGTATGAGCACCTTGTTGAAGCTTTGCATCTCCACTTACTAAATCTGCTCATATCAGGTAACTTTTCCAGTTAAAATTTTTTTTGCCGTTTACTAACTGAACTAAAACAATAGAGTGTAGAGTTGTGTAACTGGCTAACAAATCAAGTTAGGTGATGCTATTTGTCAACTATAGGCACAGGCAGCCCAAGCTCACATCTTAAGAAAAAGCCAACAATTAATTCATGAAGGCGTCAGGTATTAAGCTTGACTTTGTCTTTTGACAGGAATAACAGTGATGGAAAAGCAAGCTTAAAACAGCAGAAATTGCCAGAAACTACAATGGACACACAGGATGTGAGTAAGGTTTATTGATTTACATGTAAAATGTTCATATTTCAAAATATTTACTGTTTCGTTCCCCATGCTATTCCTTATAATGTGTTCAAATTTTCAACAGTTCCTCTTGTAACTTAACACCAAGTCACACAACTTGTGATGCTTTCATGAATTAATCATTGGCTTTTTCTTGAGAAATGAGCTTGGGGCCACCTGTGCCATAGGCTGCCTTTGGCTGCCCAGTATTAGCTGAACTAATTTTCATTATCAGCTGGTTCATTTTCCTAATCATGGTTTTGGAAAGTGCCTTATTCCTCAACATTTGTGACTGCATAAAAATTTATCAAAGACATTTGTTGACATACCTCTTCTTGGTGGTCTGTAGCTGAATCCACTTCCACCCCCAGATAAAGGACTGTAATCTAATAGAGAAATATCAATCAGAGATAATTGAATTATATAATGGTTAAACTTTGATTATCCCGACCTTGATTATCCAGGTTTTTTATAATCCATCTTGGCTTCTTTCCGTCCCATTTTTCACAAGTATTAATTAGTCACATTCAAAATCCATAACAACTTATACAATGTTGATAAAATTCTGTTAATGTAGCTTCAAAGAATGAAAGAATTAGCAACATGCACATACTGTAGCAAATCTCTGGGTATTTAGATTTCATTCAGATGGGAAAGCAACACTCCTTGCAGCTTCATAGGCTCTGACTAAGCTAGGGACTGAGTGTCAGTTTGAAAGAAGACAAATAGAATATCCCAGGAGATCAGGTTATCAATGATGCCATACATGTTGATTCATCCTATTACACAGAGGACTAGGAACTATTCAGTGAAAATTTCCCTAGCATTCCACAAAGTTTGAGGAAATTCTGAACATGGAATTGATTCACACATCTCCAGAAGCAATAACTAAAAGATTTTTAAATGTTGTTAAATGTTAAATAACAAACTACAACATTACCACTTTACCTGATTTTCGGAGAGGCTTTTTAGGTTTTTTTGGCTTTGATGAAGGACTGGATTGCTCTGAATCCTCCTACATATTAAACACAAAAAAAGACAAACAAACTTTACACAGATTTACTACAACTGCAATTCCACACCCATCACTGAAAAAATACTGCTTTTCTTTTCAGCAAACCCTGGACAAAAATAACTTTTGCTTAGAGATGATTTTAGGCAACTTTTCCGGGCTGATGGCTGAGATGGAAATTTGAACCTGCAACCTGATATACACACTTTTGAGCTGACATGAGTCAATTTATTTTTTAAAAAACATAAATAAACAAGAAATTTAAAAAGCTTTATACCGGAGATTTATATCTTTTTGTGCGGTACCCTTTTCCTTCTTGATGTCTGTCCCAGTCTTCTATCTTCTCTTGTCTCCTTGCTTCATCTGCCTGGCTCCAATCAATGATAAATTACAGTTAGAGACAACATTTGAACCCTGCGCCTTTGAATTTGTAAGAGATGCATATTAAGCCTTTTGGTTAGCATGCTGTACTCAGGGTTGCGAGCTCTGGGTTTCAGAACTGGCTTTTTGGTCACTTTAAGGTCATAGTGTTGTGTTCTTGAGTCAAATGCGTCATTCTCAGAGTGCTTCTCTCCACCGAGGAATATAAACAGGTACCAGCAGACAAACAAACAGGTACTAAATTAGTCAGAACTAGCATCATAAGAATTGTATGACAGACAGTAAGGAGAATCACTAATGAGATCTTGGACATTAAAAGGTTAAAGGAGTGAAGGTTTTAAAGAGGAAATATATACAGTACCAAGGGAGGCTAACTGTTTTAAATCATAACACTTGCCAGCTTTTGGTCCTCCATAAACTTGGCAGCTTTGGCATCCTGTTTTTCTTGCAGTCGTCTTCTGGCATTTTCCATACTCTCCTGTTGCCTGGCTGCTTTTATTGGGTCTAAGGCATGTAAAGTCATAAACAATTAGTATTGATACTTGGAGGAAAAAAATCAACCCTTTCTCAACCCCATCTCCTCACAAATTATCACCCCTGAATCACGCATTAAGGTCATGAGAATAAAAGAAATTATCACCAACAAAAGAAGCTTTTGATTGTTAAACGCGTTCTCCTTATCACCTAAGGGTATAAATAGAGAACAGTATGAAGAATGTGCATATTGATGTTGAGGTGTGAAAGGTAAATGGTTATTTAATCCTCTCACTCCCAAGATCTCATTAGTAATCCTCCTTACTGTCTGCCATACAGTTCTTGTGATGTTAGTTGAGAGAACTTTTATTAAATCAACTAATTCATCCCTTGACTGATATTTTTCTTTATCTTTTTCTCAGTTCGTGGGCAGGTGATATTCTACAAATCCTGCAATCTGATTGGTTCCAAGAGCGGGCAGTGTTATCCCCATTTGGCCCCCTCACAGCAGGTGGTATCCAAAAAATGTTTTGAAGTTTTCTTGGAAACCTTTTAAATTTAAAATTTAAATTATGCAAACAAATATGCTTTGATGAAACCTCTCTCTTTCATTTGCATTGCCCTTGTTTTCTTTACCATCTACTCATTTATAAATTGTTCTATTTAAGGAGAATCTTGCTGTAATTACAGCCCTTTATCATTCAGGTTCTTTTCACAACCATTTGTTAGGTTTTAGAAAAAAATAAAAATGTTATTCACCAGCCAAGGTTGGTCTGTATTGGGAAAAACTGTGCCCTCGGTCTTGTGTACTGCCTGAGGCCATAGGCCTCAGGTGGCATCCAAGACCTTTGGTACAGTTTTTCCTAATATAGACCTCTCGTCTGGTGAATAACATATATTTATTCACATCATTTGCATACTTTATATTGTATGGATATTGTGAGGAGAAATTCTGTCTTGGTCACTCACAGGAGTTAAAGGGTTAAAGAGACTTCTTTGTATGATGTAAAGTAACAGTACCTCACTTTTCTTTGGCAGGTGCCAAAGGAGATATAAAAGCCACAAAATGCATAGACAAAGTCTAGTTTCCTATTTGTGTCACCATTAATTTTCTTATGCTCATCACACCTCCCATTTCACCTGCCACTCAGACTATCTGTCAGTCTGTCACTCTGACGAGAGGCTAATCCTTTAAACATCAGCTTTGAAACTCTTTACAGAGGCCAATTTACATTTCAACTCAGTCAATAAAACTGAATTATCTTGTAATATTTCTCACCTGATGCTGCACCACAATTTCTTTCGAGAATTCTGTCTGTCTACATGTACTGTCTACCTATCTGTTTGACAGTATGTCTCTGTTTTATTTTTACATCTACAGTCTTCTCACATTCATGCATAATTTTTCCTTGAAAAAAAATAGTGTTCACTCTACTCTTAGCGAAACAAATGATCTCACTTACCAAAGTTAGCAATTTCTTGCTGTCTTTCCCACTTGTTTTGTAGTTCTTTCCAGTACGGCTTCAATTTGCTCCACAGGAATACCAGGATCACAAGCCCTATTAAAATGAGCCAGCCATAACGCTCCAGGAGCCCCACGCCTGTTAGATAGTGCAATATTCCAATTATCGAAAGGAATTATTCATGGTTTTTCATTTTTATCATTACGAAAGAAAACATCATGTCTTACAGGATTTTTTCCGGTTTTTTGGCATTTCATTCAGCTATTTCACCGACATAAAAATATACTCTTCATGCAATTCAACATACTCCGAGGAAAAAAATTAAAATAATTTTTTGATGGTATATTAAACCAACTGACATTTGAGTCCACAAAGGTTTGTGATTATCAGGTATTATTATGAGTCATTCCACGGTTTCTAGCTTTTAAAAAAAATTAAAATATGTAGAGTTTTGAGTAGCACCACAATGTTTTACTGTAGCAATGTTAGCTCACCTAAATAAAATGTATCTACAAGAAATGTCGGAGTTGAATTTTCAAGCGGTCTTGACTTTGGAACTTCTTCTTGTCCACCACCAGATCGCGCTTCGCCGGCCTGAGGACCATCCATTTCTCACGAGCAGCGAATTTTCGTCCACTAGAGGTTGAGGGCCTGCATTTTAATACAGCTGATGTTTTTCAAAGTGGAGAAATTTCCGGGTTAAAAGATTTAATTGGTCTGGTTCGACGTTACGTGGAAAGTTGCTATTGATTGTTTTAACCGCTGACTAACGAAGGCCGTGAAGACCTGGGCCGGTAACTGGTTGTACGGAACCTGACGGGGGAGGGGAGGGGCAATATGTGACTCATCTGTGATGGAGTTTCTGGGCTGTTTTTGGTGACTTATTCTTTCAAGAATTGTACGTATTACAGGCTTTACTTAAGGGAGAAAATGTCTCTTACATTCTTTAATTTCAGTCAGAGGCATGAATTACCTGGTTTAACTAAGCGAGTATGAAACAGACGCAATAAACTTTACTTTAATCAGGTCAAAAGGAGACAATAGAGTTTAAACCCAACATTTACAGCCTGTGAACGCAAACGTGTTTTCGATTGTAACTTCTCAAACCCAACAGTTTCTTGCTCTTTTACTTCTCTTCATTTTTTTTGTTTCTTTAAATTGTCCGGGCAAGAACATAAAATAGGTAAAACGTCGATTTCTTCACATGTCGTCCGACACACAAATACCCCTTTTCAAAGCACTATATAATTATTCAGTTGTATAAACATTCGGATTGGCTTGAATTTTGAAGGTTTGCTACGCAGAACAAACTCAGTAATGAATCAATTCTTGTGACATCCTCTGTTATATTGATTTCAAGCCACAAAAAATCGTCAAATGCAATCAGCTCTAACAAATTCTTTTGAAACATTTTAAACAAGGGCAACCCACGGGCTTCAGGGGATTTGTGAGTTTAGTTTTTGCAAAATACCCCGGGGCCATTTTGACGTAATCTGCTTTATTTTTGCTTTAATGGTAAGAAGTGGGAGGTTTTCTGTAAGCGAGCGGATAAAAAATTCAAAAAATCCAAGAATCTGTTCATTGCATTTTGGAAAGCGACAAAATGTTAATCGAAGCGTCTTGCCGATCAGTTTCTCAAGCCAAGAAAGTTTGCCCCAGAAAGCTCGAATTTGAGGACTCCATAGAGACTTGTGTGGATTTTAGTGCTGATGTGGCTTCAGTAAACCATGAACTTTTAATCGGAACACATCCTCCAGGGGTGATTGTCCCAATTTTTTGCCCACATTTATGACGTGTCAGGGGTCGACCCTCGGGATTGATTGAATGTTTAACAATAGTTTCAAAGTTTTGACTCTTTATAATGGCAAAAACAGAACTAAGATGTGATCACATCATTTCTCAACCGCAATTTTTTAATGGAACACATTCTGTGATTGAAAAGCTACATTTCTGCGTGTCATGAATTGTTGAATGTTTCATAGACTCGACTGACTGTACAAGAACAGAACTGCTTTCCTCCAAGCATAACCATGGACATTCAAAAACATATGTTGTCTAAATAGGACGAGCTACAAAGCAAATCACTTCAGCCAGATTTCTTCCGACGCAAGTATTCAAACTCTTTGCTGGTTTTGAGACATTCTTCGGCCTCCTCTGGCTCATGTTGGGTTAAAATATGTCTTTTGAGATTTCCTCGCCGTTTTAATCTTTGCCCACAAATATCGCACTCAAATGGCTTCTCCTTTGAATGGGTTTTCACATGATTCCATAATAAACTGTTATTCTTGAAAGCCTTCTTGCATTTGGGACATTTATATCGCGCAATATCAGAATGAGTTTTCTTATGGGTAGAAAGCGCACTTGACCACGTAAACGTCTTGGCACAAATCTTACATGTATAAACCTTTTTTTCTTTCAAATTCCCAAGCTTGTTGCGTGGCATATGAAGATGGTGAACATTTGTTTCGTGTTCCCTCAAACCGCGCCGTCGACGAAACGTTTTGTCGCAATGACTACATTTACAAGGCTTTTCTCCTGTGTGGATTCGCTCGTGATCTTTCATGTTGTAGCTCCTGGCGAAAGCTTTATCGCAATATTGACAAACGAAGGGTTTCTTCCCGGTGTGCACAATTTTGTGCTGATCAATATGGTGTCGCTGGCGGAAAGACTTGCCACATTCGTCGCACTTGTACGGTCTTCGATCATAGTGAATATTCATGTGTTCCAAGTATGTCGTAGCTGATGCCAGCATTTTTCCACATTCTTTGCACTCCAAAGATTTATTTTTCTTCTTTTTCTTGACGCCTGTGGATTTAAACAAATTGGAAATAGAGATTGCACACCATGGCAGCACACGAATCTAGAATAATTTACAAGATAGAAACATTACGCCCTACTCAGATAAGTGGTAGGTACGACTTATGGCGATTCTTCACCCTTTTACTACCAAGATCTTATCAGAAATCCTCTTTACTCTCTGTTATACAATTGTTATGATGTTAGCTACGAGAATTTGGTATCGGATCAACTAATAATCCTCTCATTTACATTTACTTTTTCCTCATCACTTGTCTGCTTAATATTATTTTGATATACTATCGAACCTGTATTAAGCAGCACCGTACTCAGCGGTCACCCTGTGTATAGCAGTCAGCTGTCAAAGCCCCGAAATTGTTTCCCCTTGTAATTGTCACCTTTTTTAAGGGGTCACCTCCATTAGGCGGTCGTGGTCACCATTTACTGAACCACTCACTCAATAAAGCTTAGAGTAAGCTTTCAACTATATTGAATTCACGTCTCTCCACCGACAGTAGTATTTTTGAGCGAGTTTTGGTTCATTGAGTGGTCGATTGTAGCACAAAATGACGCTTTTTTTTATCGTTTTTTACAACACCCCTATTCCGTGGAACCTGCATCAAGCCGTCAATCGCCATTCCCAGTGGGTGATTGCTTAATATACGTTCAACTGTATATTATAAGAAGAAACTCTGTCTTGGTCACTTATGAGAGTAAAAGGATTTAGGGATATTTGAAAAAGATTCAGCAGAGAAAATGGCCTAAACTAGATCAATCTGAAAAGTATTTAAGAAGAGAAACAGACCTATTCCTTAAAGAAAAACTCTTCCATTTGGTCTGAAATTCCGAAACCCCATTGACCAGTTCATTATATTCTACCATTCCTACACTACCAGTAAAAGGAACCGTACTGCAGTCCTAATCTTGTAACCAGCAAACGAATATATTATTATAAGTTACCTGTTCCTTGTTGTCTCTCAATTTTCTTCATATTTTCACAGTTTTCTGTTGGTTGCAGGAGAGAGGGATGGACAACGACATCTATTTCATGAATGGAAGGAGTTGATTCATCACAGAGCAGCACATCAGCAGTAGTGTTGTCTGCTTCTAAAAGATGAATTTAAATGTTACACTGAAATGTGCCAAGCTTGGCCTTGCCAAGGAGACCTGAGTACAGGGCACTAAACAGCCTTTACTTGTAACAAAAGCAGCCACTGTAAAGAAATGGAATTCTGTAAAATTGGAAAGCAGTGAAGGTTTTTGCCACAATTGAGATGTAGGGAAAAAGTTACACTTTCGAACACTTTTGCCACAGACCTTCTTTACAGGGTACAGCAGCATATTTTTTCAACAACATACTTTCATCCTTGAACACTTGTCAAACTTAAGCTGCAAGCTAATGGGTAGTTACATTACAAAAATGCATTTTGCAAAGGTTGCAGAATAATATTGCCAGTTTGTGTGCCAAGTAGTCCTTAGCTTTAATACAATGAGTCAAACCTGTATTTAGCAGTCACCCATGGGAAATGGAGGGGTGACAGCTTTATACAGGTTCCACAGATTATGGGTATTATAAAAAAAAACAATAAAAAAATTCAGCTTTATGCCATAATTGATCACTTAATGTACATAATCTTGTTCAAAAATACGACTTCCTTTGATTTTGGGAGAGAAACATGTATGGATTCAAAATTACATAAAAGATTATTCTTAGCTATATCTGAGTGGTTCTACCTCAGTGACCATTCAATACAGGTGAAAAACAATAAAAACAGACTGTTGGGACTTAGTAAAGGGTGACTGCAACCATTTAACAGAGGTGACAGCTTCTAAAAGATGTAAAAATTACAGTGATTAAGTGGGTAACAAGTTAGTTAAGGATGACTGCGACCATTTAACAGAGGTGACTGCTTCTAAAACATTTGAAAATTACAGTGATTAAGAGGGTAACAAGTTAGTTAAGAATGACTGCGACCATTTAACAGAGGTGACTGCTTCTAAAAGATGTGAAAATTACAGTGATTAAGTGGGTAACAAGTTATTTAAGGATGACTGCTATCATTTAACAGAGGTGACTGCTTCTAAAAGATGTGAAAATTACAGTGATTAATTGGGTAACAAGTTAGTTAAGAATGACTGTGACCATTTAACAGAGGTGACTGCTTCTAAAAGATGTGAAAATTACAGTGATTAAGTGGGAAACAAGTTAGTTAAGGGTGACTGCGACCTTTTAACAGAGGTGACTGCTTCTAAAAGATGTGAAAATTGCATTGATTAAGTAGGTAACAAGTTAGTTAAGGATGACTGCAACCATTTAACAGAGGTGACTGCTTCTAAAAGATGTGAAAATTACATTGATTAAGTGGGAACAACTTCACGACTTTGACAATTGATACAGAGTGACCATCTCATACAGTGCCACTTAATACAGGTTTGACTGTAGATTGCTTCAGTTCAGTGGAAAGAGATTTGAGTAGATGGGGTATCACTTCTCACTTTTTTAAACATTTTTTTAAAGTATACTATTGATATGAATTTGTAATCAAGTTTGTGACATTGTGACATGTGAAGAAGTAAATCTGACTGTGATACTGGCCCCTTGAATAAATTTTGAGGCAAAAGGACAGTATGGTAGTCAGCAGGCTATGAAGCACTCCCCCCCCCCTCCTAGAAACCCTCTTGGAGAGGTAAAAATCCCCTTATGGGATTGGGGTGAGTGTCAGGTCAGACTAGCAGAAGAACACTAAAGGTAATAGACCAATTAATAAAGTTCAAACCTTTTGGTACAGTTTGAGAATTGTTGCCCCCTTTCTTGTGTTCTTCATCATTGTCTGTGTTCAATCCAACAACATCTAACTGATTGGCACAGTCAATTTGTGCTTCATTCGAACTATCCTGATCAGATGTCTTATCAGCATTCTGGTCACTTTGAACTTGGTTTGTGCTGCTGAATTCAGCGGTAGGAACTTCTTCTTGGAAAACTATTCTTGTGGATATCTGTTCCACCTCATTCTCACAACTGGGCATCTCATCAGAATGAGGTTCTTCTATTTCAACACCACTGCTCTCTTTTTGAACAATTGAAACAATTTGCTCCTCAAGATGAGTTCTCCCATTTTCAACATCTGCAACTACACCATTTCCAGAGGATTTCTTTTTCAAAAAGTTCAAAAGAGCCAGTTTGGTAGAACTGGTTATCTGACTACACTGGCTTCTTTTAGCTTCAATGGTCTTGTGTTTGTTGTTACTTGCAAATGTTTTTGCCATTACTAGTCCTAGTTGCCGTCTCTTGTTGGAAATGTCCTCTTCACAAATAATGGTCTTGTGGTTATTGTTATTTGGGCCAGTTTTAACCACATCTGGTATTCCTAACTGTCTCTTTTTGGAAATTTTCTCTTCGCAAACATCTTTCCTTGGAATTTGGAAGTTTAAAGGTCTTGGTATCATTACACCATTTGACAAGTTCATAGTAGCTGTTGATGGCCTGTGGCCTCTACTTGAAGTTGCTTGTGGAAGTGAATTAGATGTTGATGAATGCAGCACATTCCTGACTGAAGTTTCTTTTGATTTTGAAATTGATGTCTGAGGTGGATTTACAGTTGATGGTTGTTCTGCATCAAAAATTGATGTTTGTATTAAATTTGATTCTTGAGATTTTCTCCCAGCCGAAAATCGTTTAATTTTTCCAACAACATTGCTTGATATTGTTTGGTGTGTAACATTACCATTACTTGAGAATCCAGATTCCTCTTTTGGTGATTTCTCAGCGGTTATGTATGAATTATTCTCTGTCAGAGATGAACAAAAGGCCACCTGGTTAAGCTGGTTACCAGTTCCTTGTACTCGGTTTCCGTTGTCATCCTCAATAAGCACTTCTGGGTCAGTTTCGGCAAACTCGAAGATGAAGCTGATGGTACTGGAAGGTGAGTTGATGACTGAAATTGCACCCTGATCCTCTATTTCCATAATAATTTGATTCTTATATTGGTCATCACCCTTCAGCAAGTAAATCAATGCGTTGAAAGTAATCCTGCGTTGTTGAAGGAACAAAATTTCTAGTCAAATTGTACACGTGTTAGACTAAAACGAACGTCGACAATTCAAAGAAGTCTTTCTAGTTACCGAATTGAACGGTGTAAAAGCGTATCGACACTCCATAAAAACTAGCCAATATTTAACTTGACTATTACTGCAAAAAGTATTTCGATTCATGTGTTCATTTTGGCAATGAATCTTGCCCAGTAAGGTTTGACAGAAACTGAAATGAGTCTGATAATACGACCGACAATTCCTTCCATTTTAGACGTGAGCGAAATTCTTTGTACAACAAATTTAAGAACTGTAGTGTATCGAGAACAAATTAATATTATTTTAAACAAAATATTATTACCTATCTTTTCCGATATGACTGTAAACAATATAAACTCGAGACAACGGCAAGTGAAGTGTTATTACGCCATTTTATTCAACTCGTTTCCATGAGCAGAGAGTTGACTGGTAACGACCTTTATCAAGCGTGACATTCACGCGTGACTTTATTTACGCTAAAAAAATTGAAATAAACAAATAACGAAATCAAAAAAGCGTTGATCTATGCGATTTCTATAATGTTCGATTCACATGAATTAAACTTGCTGATGATGCTTTTTGCTTATTAAAATCTGAGCTGAGGAATATTGTCGTATTAGCTCTTCATGCTTACTTACTTCTTCTATGAACGAGGAAAAAATTATCTCAGCCATGGCAGTCATAGTGTGACTTATGGTAAAACGGAAAACCACAACCAAACGAAAAATTTAAATAAAAGAGCCATTGGGTAAAGCTAATAGAAAAGAATAAAATACCGAATCCCGAGGACATTCACTCAAACGGAAATTCACGATGTTATGATCAGGGTCCCGACGCAATAAATGTGAATGTACTGTATCAATAATTGGACTTTGCCTCGATGTTGGGCAGACAAACTGGGCTATGATAACTTGCTGAAATTGTTCGCAAAGATCCACCAAATTACACCCCATTCTGCTAAAGGCGAAAAAAACGAACAAATAGACCGAAGAAGATGATATCTGTTGTCGAACGTAGTCACGGTCGGGATTCCTTTTTATAGGAGCGTGCAGTCATCATCGGGGAAACCCCCTCACCTCGGCCCAATCAAGACGAACAACCAAGTATTTGCATCACAAGGTTTGCCCGATTGCATGTGCTTGGCTCGGATCTTCGTGAATTAATGAAAACATGTTTTTCCAGCTTTGTAGCAAGAATTTAAGAAGAATCTTTGGCTAAAGCTTGAAATGCTGGTCTGGAGAATTCAAGGGATATTTTACACGAGATCTCATGTCTGGTAAGTTGAGTTTTATGTCAAGCACTGCAAGCAATCAAATTCGCAGTGTTTGCTTTCTCGGGGTGCAAGTCATCAAAAACTCGCACATATTTACAAGATTATGACTAGAAAGTGTTAAAATATTTCGATACTTTCAGGAGAAAGTCGAAAGCGTCGGCATGGATCTGCAACAACGGGGAAAGAATGTGTTGGGTTGGATCCATTAGATGAAGAGCGTCGTTCTATTGCTGAGAACAAACCATCCTCTGTCCAAGCTTGCGTGACAGAACCAATCGAAGGAGATTCGGGGCTCGACAAATCTTCGTCCCTATCGGACGACCTTCATGGTAAACAAGGAAGTAAAGATAATTCTAAGAAAGAGGCCACTGAACATGATGAGGCAGACATCGTGGATGTAAAAGCATCCTCTTCCTCAAAAGTTATATCAGGTTTGTCCACGTTAGCTGAGGTTTGTGGAGAGGTCGCGGATCCATCACCCTCAAATACCAACGTAACTGCACCTCATACCTTAGTGCAATCAAACGACTGTGTACGGACTGTAGCGGAAACATCACCCATGCCTGATCTCTTTGCACAAGATGACGATGGAGATACGTAAGTTGAGAAAATGTATTTATTCATTTCATTTTTCTTCACTCAGCTGTTACAGCTCCTCGTGAAACAGTATTGCAGATAGACGCTCTTCCTCGTAGGAGATAAGTCTGGAAGAGCCATCTCGGAAATAAATACCATGTAAAATCATTTAGACATTCCTCTTCAATTCCAGACATTCGAATGTGTATGTATTTCAATTTGGTGTACGTCCTAAAGAGCATATTATCTCGCCGACCAGTGACATAACATATCAATGTTTTGATATGAGGCGATCTTTGATATTCAGTTTGAAATGTTCGAAATTAAACCATCAAAAACTCTGCACGAAATTCCTACTGATGGCAAGTCATTGATGACATAATGATGACATGCCAGTGACCTTAGCAAATTGATCATAGTCTAAACATTTATAGTCCACGACGTGAATATGGACTCCGAATGATTAAGAATATTTAAAGCGAAAATGCTTACGTCGGCACATTCTACATTATTTGACTGAATTATGTAAAAGTTCATGCGGAGAAGTCACGAAGGAGAAAATGTTGTGACTCCTAAACCAACGTTCCGAGCGAGAAAGAGCGGTACGCGAACAAAACAAAAACTCCAGCATTTAAGTACTAACTGCTTGGACCGAAAAAGGTAGCAGCGACACATACCTCGAACAAAAATTATCATTTAATTTTTTTTATTTAAATTCAAGCTGAGGGAAGTTTAAGAATAGCGTGTTAGCCCCACACTGAGGAAGACGTCTTGAAAGTAATCGAAGGACGTACTCAAACAAAACACATTTTATTGGTTTCCATTGATCTGTTTTGGTTTCTAGAAGACAAAGTTGATTGGTTACCATAAGGAAATTCCTCTCGACACTTCATGGAATGCACGAAAAACATGATTGCGGTAAAAAAAGTCAAATTTTTTCGATACAGATATGTATTTATCTATATTTAAAAAGCCTTTGGTTGAGTGATTTTACGGACAGGAAGACTTCACTCGGTAAACCATGCAAATCTACGTGATGAATGTAAAAGGTTCGAAAGAGGCTAAATAGATCTCAGTTTCTAACACTGAAGACTATAAAGAATGCTTCACAAAGCGATGGAATGAAAAACAATTATTTATCACAATTTTTCTGGAATCGTTTTGGCTGCCGACCTCTTATATTTTGAAATATAAGAGAGAGCAAAAATTTAGATTCTTCCTTGTCGGTCTTACCCTCAATTTCGTTCTGCTCTCAAGGTGAACAGACATGCGGAAGTCGAATCGCATATTTTTCATCGTTCGAACTGAGGTTCTCATTATCACTCACTGACCTTATCGTAAGAGAGAGCTTAGGTTAAAGAAATTTTCCCTTTTTCTTCACAGGTTCCTACATATTTCTGTGGTACAGGGTGACCAACCACTGAGTCAGTTTTTCATTGAGAGAATGAAGTCAAGAGGGGTTGATATTTTCAACAAGCTTAGACAAGTACGTAACTTTTCGATTAAAGGAAAAGAAAAAGGCTGTAGATCATCTGACAAGAGTGTAAAGCAAAGAAGGGAAGCGAGTGCAATGATTTCATTTGGCGACAAAGATATAAATGTCCAGGATTTTAATTATTCCTTTTCATCCTCATTAATTGTTAGCAACTTTTGTTGCCGATAGCAGCGGCGTGCGTGACACGTGTTACATGTAAACCCAAGATATATTTGTAATATTGACTGACTATGAGGTCGATATGGCTTGATATTCACCGACCTCTTTAACAAGCAGATGAGAGAGCAAGGCCATATCAAGCCAATTCGACCGAACTTGGTCAATACACCGTATTTCACGTGGCTGCGAAATCGTCTTCGAGTGAACGAAGAGAACGAGTCACGATAAGAGATATTTTCAACCCAAGAAGATGAAGTAACATCTACAGAAGGAAATTTGATGTCCCCGCGATCGCTCACAGAAAGAGATGCTCACGACCAAATACTTTCAACTACAGCACGGTAACTCATGAATAACCTTTGTTTTTCAGACACCGTTACATCTTGCAGTGATTACTCATCAAAAATATCTTGTGGAAAAGCTGGTAGAGGGCGGAGCGGATGTTAATTTGATGGACAGGCACGGACAGACCGCCCTTCACTTAGCCTGTCAAAATGGTGACATCAATGCTGTCTTTGCTATCCGTGACGTCACACATAGATGCCACATGCAAATCAGACTAGATCTGAAAAATTTCCAAGGTGAGCAATTACGACAGTACCACAAGGAGCCGCGGGTGATTGAAGTTCATGATCTACGGAGCCACTACTTTACTTTCAGCTGATTCGTTGCCGGTTGATGTCTGGTAACCCCCAGTTTATGGTGAACCTAACTCCAAGCTGTTGCATTTCAGCCATGGATTGGATCAGACGTATTGTTCGGCAGGCATTGCACCGCCCTCATGGGAGCCTGGCCGTTCACCTTAAATATTAAAAAAAAAACTAGCTGATTCATTTTAATGGAGGGCTAACACTCGAATGGTCAGCTGCAGAATCTCTCTTCGGTAGCCAATTCACTTAAACCGGGGAGCCGCAAGTGGGAGTTTTTCCTATTACGGTAAAAAATCTCTCGCGGCATCACCTCTTGTTTTCAAAGCTTTGCTACTTGATGCCTCAACACACTCACAAATCAGACAGCGACGCAGGTTCAAGGTTCAAATTGTGGTGTTTGCCAGAATGTCACATTTTGGTCGAAGTCGTTTTATTGGACTTCTAATGATGGTTGGACTATATTATCTGGAACATCATATTTTTGAGTGATGCACAAGCCTGGGGCCGTTGTTTCAGTAGTGGCACCTGCTAATCCTGGATTAGACGCTAAATTCAATTGATTTTGATTAGTCTTGTTGATAAAAGCTTCGGTTGGGGTTAACGGTTTGTGGGGGCTAGCGTGCTGTCATGAAAAACTGAAGAGAGCAACATCTAAAAAAATTGAAACTAACCTTGGGATAATCTTGAGTTAACTTTAACGTGATTTGACCAAACCAGCAAAGGTCTATTTTTGAAGAAGTAATGCTGGCCTTTTACTTTTGCAGGATTTTCAGCGCTTCATGTGGCGACTTTGAATGGAAATAAACAGCTTGTTGAAACAATTCTTGACATGGGAGCAGACATTAACGATCAGGTTATTTACCAATTCGTAACTCACTTCTTAATTCGTAGTTTCTAAGAACAAGAGACGATGAGGTAAGGAGACTGAAAGCTTCTATGTTGTCTTCCCATTGTGCGCCGGTAGCTCTTGAGTTATTTTTAGAACATGTCCTAAGATTTTCTAAGATTTGCAAGACAAACAGTTGGTTTGATTTTATTGTAGTCTAGAATTCGATCGGCTTTGCTCTACGGCGCTCTGTGATTTTGCAATCAGTTGCAAAGCTTAGACAAATCGCGACTTGATCACCCCTGTTTTCTCGCTCTTCAGGCAATTAAGGTCATTCCCCTCAAATAGAACCCCTTCACCCCTCGAGATTTCCGTGAAATATTACATATTGGTTGTTTATCTTGCAGGGACGTAAATTTTAAAATAAAAAATGGGATCCCTGTGCTCGTCTAAGAGCAGCAGTGCCCTTTAGATAAACATATAACTCCTGAAATCATTAAAAAAATTACAATTTTCTTGATTGTGATTGGTTTTAAAAATTATATTTTCCACTAATTTACATGTCAATTTGTTATTGGACAGTCTGTCATCGGACGATTCAATGGGCCAATAACTTTCAAGGTTGTAATTTATATCAACCAATCACATTCATTTTGATTGTAGTCAATGTCAGAGCGACGTTAAACAATTTACGCCTCCTTTGTCAGTCTTTTAATGCAAATTAAGAAAAAGAAGCAAATGATAGGTAATCGTGCTTGTCTACCAGAAATTGTCTACCTCTGTGATGAACTCCGACCACGAAGAAAAACCCCTCATTTTTTTATGTGCGTGCGCTAGTTAACACTGAAATTATGCAAAGTTAGGATGCACAATGCAATAAGGCGGAATAGACCTGATTTGTCTTTTTAAGCTTTCATCGGCTTCATAGTGGTTGAGATTAACGTTAAGTTTTAACATTAAAGGAAGTAAAACAGTAACGCCGCTCAGATGAAGGGTTAAAGCTCGAAACGTCAGCCTTTAAACTCTTTACGGTGGCCAATTTACGTTATCAGCTCAGTTCATAACACTAAATTACCCTGTAAAACAGTAACACTTGATAACTGATAACTCTTAACATTTCTCAGGATTCCAACAGTGGTCGTACAGCTTTGCATCACGCAGTGGAGGCTGGGAAAAATCACGTGGTAGAGTACTTGATAACACGTGGTGCTGACGTCAACAAAGTTACGTTCGCTGGAAACACTCCGCTTCACACGGCTAGCGGTCGGGACATGGATCAGATGGTGAAACTTCTTATTCAACACGGTGCCAACGTAAACATTGCTAACCTAGAGGGTGATATTCCGAAAGTGGGACAAACAAGTGAACAGGTAGGGGTTCCTCATTTCTTTTTAAACCCTGATTTAAAGTCTTTAAGTTTCATTTCATGGGCGCCTCGCACTTCCCACACTGAGCAGTGCCTCCCCTCCCCCTTTCTCTCGAGTTGGACGTGATATGTCCTTAAAAGTTTTATAGCGGAGCTTGAAGCGCGCGCAGCGAAGCCCCATACTCATCAAGAATGGTATTCTTGCGTCAAATGTTGGTTAGTTGACAGGAAAATTTTAACCAAACTGCCTCTGTCATAATATTGAAAGCCAGTGCCGAGAGCTATTCATGAAATTAGGAGTGATTTTAAAAGAGCACGCCTTTGGGTTAAACGGATGGAGAAATTTAGACTAAGACTAAGTATGTCTATTGCACTCGGCGCCAGTCTTCTCCATCCCTTACTGTAGTTAGTTTTGAGAACTTTTCAAGTAAGTATCAAAAACCTGAAAACCAAAGTATTCACAATGGCGAATCAGAGCAAAGGTAGACATCGTTATCAGCCAATGAGAACTAATAATAAAAAACAAGCAAACTGCTCGAAGCGCAGGTAAAGCGCAGGTGACCAAATCGCGACTGGTTTTAGTTTCGCATCTGATTGGTTGAGGGGATGGTGCGAGTTTTCTGGACCAATGACAGAGCGAAGTAATACAAATCCAATGTAATCCAGGTTAATTTTCGGCTCTCGGTTGAACATTTCTCTATCGTAACCGTTTTAGTGCTGTGTTGGCTTCATCCAGGTGTTCAGTTAGTAAAAGGAAGCGCAGTTGTAAAAGGTGTGATAGCAGCGGCGGATTGAGGGAGGCTTGGGTCGAGTCGTTACGCGCCCTTTCTCGAGGTTTTACTTCAATTAAAGAGAGTTTTGATATAGAATCTTCAGTGACAATGTTGTCATCTTGTTTTTATTATCAGGCGAAGAGACATTTCCGATCCAAAGAAAAACAAACCAAAAGGAGAAAAAAATGATCCTGACAAATTATCTGCACAAGATCAATCACTCTGACGGGAACTGAGAAACTTGGTTTGAGTTGACTGAAGTCGTGCTCAGGAGCCTGGGAAATTTGAGTCTAATGCGGTATCGCTCATATTTTGTTGTGGGAATGCGCCGGCCGGAGTAATCACTTGCAACTCGAGATGCTTTGAACGTGGCCTTAAGCATCAAGATGGAGATGACAGTTCCAATTGAAAGTTACAGTTCTAAACCATTAACGTTGAAAAAAAAAACCGCTTTATCGCAACCGCTTACTATGTTCACCTCTTATGTTCACTTCCTAGCTCTGGCTTTCTGCTAAATATCCACTGCTTTGCTATTTTCACCAAATTTGAGTGCAACAGCACTTTGTCCAAATAATTATCACTGACCTTGGTCAAATCGGCTTTGCAACTCTTGGATATGATTTGGACTTGTGACTTACAAACTAAAATAGTTATGCTTTTATAAATTCACGGTGTTTTGTGGCTTTCAATAGATAATTTATTAAGCGGATATCACACACAAACAAGTAGTTTTTTTTAATCAAAAGCTTAAGCGAAAAAGATAAAGCATTTGTCGAAAATGAATGATTTTCCTTAGTAATAGACAACTGTTTACATTTGGTCAAAGTCTTAAACGCACGCATCATTTCAACGGAACATGTTGCGATATTATTGCGTGGACGTTTGGCCACCCTATAGCAACATATTGAATGGTGTTGGATCAAGTTTGAAAATGGTCAAATTTTTGTTGCAACATTTTTGGATTCTGCAAGATGTTGCGCGCCTTTGGCCAGCTCTTTCACAACATCTCAAATATAAGATGTTGCGTTTAAATGTTGCGTGCGTTCTTGGGCCATATGCATTAGATAAAGCTAGCAATTTACCATTAATAAAGGAGTTGATTTTATCTCATGTTGCTGAGGTCGGAAATTAATATTGAGTTTTCTATATGAGAATTTTCTAGCGTGGTTGCATTTTATTCAACTTTTATTACATTAAGTCAACAAACAATCTTTGCTAAAGGTTTGACGAGGTAAACCTGTACACGCCATGAAATTATGAGTTGCGAAATTACGAAGGAAAAGCTATCGATAAAAGCTGTTTTTCACCTATCGAAGCTTCAATATGAAATTTGGTAGGCTAGTCTCCTGAGTAGCTTTCTTTATTTTTGAAAGGATCAATAAAAATGACATTTCCAATTGAATCGCAACCACATCCATCGACATAAATTGCAGCCTGTCTTGCAGACGTTTGCTTTAGTTTATGTTTCTCTATTCGACCCAGTGAATTTTACAGAAAAACATGGTATGGTGAGATTTGAAGTTTTGCATTTTAAATTATTGATGCGTGAAAAACTCTTTAAAGTGAACGTGAAGCATGAATTTTAAAAAAAGGCATGGTGTGGTGAGATTTGAAGTTTTCCCTTTTAAATTCGTGATGCGTGAAAAACTGTTTAAAATGTAAGTGAACCATGAATTATAAAGAAAGGCGTGGTATGGTGAGATTTGAAGTTTTCCTTTTAAATTCGTGATGCGTGAAAAAACTCTTGAAAGTGCACGTTACGCGTGAATTTTTCTAAAATTCGTGCGTGAAACGAAATCAAAATCCCCTTTTTGCTACCCTCCGTATAAAGCCAAGTTGACAAATTTCTGGTGACAAAATAGAAATGTCAAAAGTAACTCCTAAGAGGTTGTGGGTGCTATTCGTTTTTAAACACAAAAAGTGCCGCATCAAATAATTGTTGCGTGCGTAAGTACCTTCCTTTGAAATGACTTCGAAATTTCGTTATGAAACATTCAGTTTTCTGAATGGAGAGTGCACGGTGGTCTAAAGAGGTTTAATTACTGCGAAGGAAGATTAGTTTAACAACAATACTCAAGTTATGAGATTTTACAATAGGCTTAACTAAATTGACCTCTGAATAACTCTCATTTACATCAAAGAAACCCGCTTTAAAGTTGTCAAACAGTGTGACTGACAATACTGACTGAATTTCTGTTGACCTTCGGGAAAATTGTAGTAATTGGGAGCGTGCTTCTGAACGCCTTTATCCGCACAGAGTATAAGATAGGATTTAACACTGAAGAAAAACAAGCCAGGGTAGTTGTACCGAGCCATAACTGAGTGTCGGCCCAAAATTTTGGCGCTGAAAGGTGAATCGCCGAATCAATCAAACCTGGAAGCCAACAAAGTGCAAACGAGCCCGTCACCATAGCAACAGTCATGACGGCTTTGTATTCTTTCAGGAAACAGGGTTGGTACTGATTTGAGCGGGTTTCTTGCACTTTTATCAATCTTTTCTGCCTGTTGGCTTCCTTGAATATTCGCATGTAGAAATAGGAAATAAACACAAATGGAATACCAAAGATGCCCATAAAGAGGGCAAAATGGCCCTGCGCTGATATGCCACAGTTGTTTTTTAGTGATATTAATGATACTAGAAGGGACGAGGTCCAAATTACTGCGATGATTTTGCCGCACTTTCGTGGGGTAAGTCTACTTTGGTATTGAAATGGTGCAGTGACACCTACATAGCGGTCGTAACTTAACGCAAGAAGGTTTAGCGAGGAAGCAGACAGTGTCAAAACCACAATCACCGTGAACAAGTTATGCACGTTTTCCTCAATGAAGTGTGCCTTTTGAAGGAGTTTTAAACACCACACTGGCACACCCAATGTTGCAATCAGCAAATCGGCAACGGCGAGGGAAACAATCCAATAGTTTGTCATGGATCGTAGCGCAGGTTTGTGACAAATCACCAAAATGACAAAAATGTTTAAAAAAATCGCTGCAATTCCACAGACTCCCGACAGCGAAAGGATAGTGATCAAAGAACTTGTTGAGACAGTGAAAGAGTGTTGGGAGCAATCCTTGTGAAAAATTGTTGAATTTTTCATAATACGAGCTCCTAGAAGCTATACCTTTCAGTGATTTCTACCTTGATTATCTTACTCTGCTCACGGAAAAGCTTCACTATCAGTTCGCGCAAAGAAGTGCATCGGTTCATCTCTGAGCGGGAAATTTCTGCTTCGTTATCGGTAAACGTAAGAATTGTCTAGCAAGAAAAAACTGAACTTGATCACTGCATCGAAAAAACAACAAGAAGTTTCACTGATTTCGCGCCTCTTGAAAAGTCCTCAATCTTTTGAGAGGCGATCTTCCTTCTTTTGTTTCGGAGGATCGTTCGATTTTCAATGTTAGAAGCTTGTTGTGCCGCACATTAAGACTTCCACATATCCGGAAGCCACTTTAAAACCAACACAAATGACGCTGAAAAAACAAATGACACCTGCCAAACTAGACAAAGCATGATCTATTTCTTTTATAAATTATGCATTTTACTTTTCTATAAGGTTACTCTCCGTCGAAGATTATCATTTGAATATCAATAACTAGCCATTCTTTTTTTACAATATTTAATTCGTTTTCACAAATAAAACCTCTAGTTCTCTGATGCCAGCGGGAATGTTTTTGACGCTCTTCGAATCACATAAATTTATGTTTTTTTTTTCTTATCGAGATACTTATGCACTTAATTAACCAAGGATATATTAAAGTTATTAGGTTCCGGGGCAAATGCAAACAACAAGATTGCTGTCTAGTCCATTTACGTGAAATTTTCGCATTGTGGACAATTCTGAGGTTAAAACACACGTTTTTAGAACATCACTTTCAAGATTTGAGTACGCTAATGACTTCTTCGGCAAAATTGATGATAGTGAAATCTCAATTGTGTTAAGTTTTTAATGAAACTTTCGTTATTGACTTCTGAACGAGACAGTAGAAAAGTCCATTAAGAAAATTATCAGTAGTCATCTACGCTAAGTGGAACGATTCCTTTCAATATCCGTGTGAAGTACACAAGTTCGGATCGTATAAGTTTGAAAGGGTTTTCATACGCTAAATTGCATGTGTGTAGTAATAGCCGCAAGCACTGATACAACAACGAACTACTGCGAGAAAACGAACAATAGAAAACCCTTTTGGCGAAAAAAAAAAAATGGGAAAGAAAAGAATAACAAACAAAATAAAGCAGTGATAGTTCCAAATTTAAATAGAGCAAAGGAAAAGACTCATGAAATGATTTATTTCTTCAGTTGTGTAGCTGCACGTCGATAATTAAAGTAGTAATGTAATTTTTTTTTAAATGAACGAAAAGTTCTGCTATTTCAGTTAAAAAACTAACATGTAAGTTACTCCCGAATTTTTAGGTTGACTTGTGACAAATTTAGAGGGCGCTTGGGCTTTAGAAAGTCTAAATTTGAAAGGTAAGAGCATCGGATATCAATTCACAATCATTTGAAGCCACTCCGCACTCGTTTTTGAAAATTAGGACCTGGTAATGATCTGTGATATAGGTTCTTTACGCGGATGCATCAAATTGAAACACCTCAAGATTTTCAGTTTTAAAATCGATGTTTATGGTGTTAAATATTTTACCAGCTGCATCACGACAGCTGGTTCCCTCGGTGCTGTTTTCAAACCTATTTAACTCAGATATGGGGTATTCTATTTCGCAGTATTTTTGGGACGATGTTATTCGTTTTCTACCCTAACATCAGTATGCATATTCTCCACACTGTTCTCTATACATTTTCTAAGGTACTGACAAGGAGAATTTATCCAACAATCAAGAGCTTCTTTAGTTGGTGATCATTTCCTTTATTCTCATGACCATGATGTGTGATTCAGGTGTGATATTTTAGGGAGAAACTAGATGCTGGTCACTCTTTGGGGTCATAAGGTTAAGGCACATCATTTGCAAAACATTAACTTGGTTTCTTTTAGCCATAATAAACCAAAACTTTTGAATACAGTGAACAAAACAAAAACAAAAAAAGGAAAAACAAGCTGTCCAGAAGACAGTTTATCAAGACAAATCTCAACTGATGTTATTCATTTGCAGAATAAAATAGACTAGTATTTGAGAGGCTTTGTCAGATTCTGTTTTTTAATATTTCAAGCTTTTCAACTGAAAAAATGAAAGAGCATACGATGCACAGTATTCATCAAAGCTGCTTGACTGAAAAAATAATGTAATGAGGACTAACTCCCATTAAGTAGCTCCCCCCCATGATAACCTCTGCACTTCAGTTTCTCCCCCCCCCTCCCCCATTCTGAAAACCCTGTAAATTGATACCCCATGAGCCCTTCCTCCCCTCCTTGGGGAAGTGCTTATCATAGCATTAACAGTAGATCCATGGATATTAATCAAAACCAACATGTCACTGTTGTTAATTTACACAAGGGTTCCTTGAGAGGGGATCCCCTTGGGGGTCAACTCTGTCAGTTTTTTCAGTTGTAACTTTCTCAGTTCTTCCTCTGATGGTAACAAAGGAGGCAGATCATTTCCAACAAATTCCACAATGCCCATCTTGGCCATATCTCTCTTTCGCGGTGGTATTTTGTATACTCTTGTGTAACCATTCACTTGATTTTCGTATCGCGGTAAGAGATGCCCAAACACCTTTGGTATCAAATTTTTCTTCTGTTAAAAAAAGGAATACAGTATTAAAGACCATCACAGTGTTTGATACAATTCTTCGGCAAATGTATTCATCCAATGAATTAAAAACCAAATGAATAAAGGGTGTAAATTTCTAAAGCACCTGTAGTGTTATCAACTGAGTTGAAAACATAAATTGACCGCTGTTAAGAGTTTAAAGGGTGATGTTTCGAGCGTTAACCCTTTGTCAGAGTGATTGACAAAGAATTAAAAACCACGTTTTAAAGCACTGTAAACAGACACCATATCAATGAACAGAGAAGCTTGCAATGCTTTTTAGTTGCCAGTTTGTTTCCAGCATTTCTAGACCATTTCTAGTTTTTTTCTGCAACACTGTAACCTGATAAAGGTCTAACAGCCCTATGTTAGTGTAAATTAGAGACACATACTGTAATCCAACTGTTAATAGTTTCTTCATCTCCCACTTTAGCAAGATCAATCATCTGAAATTAAAATTCGATACAAGTTACTCACATACCCCATTTGCTATGAGCAACAACAAAAAATGAGACTACTTGGGTCCAGAGGTGCATTTGGCCCAATTCACCATAGACTACAAGCAGTCCATCCTTTCCAGTGAAGTCTCTCACACAAATCCAATAAATCAGCAAAAAAATTGATGCGAAGAGTTCCATGAGGCATTCTAAAGTGAATTTTATTAGGCCTGATTTTTTGTGACTTTATGGGAAAAACTATTGAAGAAAAATGTACTGTTAGTAGTCTAGATTCACCAAGTCCAACTTGAACTTATGCCTGCTTGGTTGCAGTTTTTCCTCTTGGTTTTCTAGCTGCCCTATGCAATATTTTGATCCTGAGATGTTAAATGAGCTCTTTAGTTCACCCTTCATTCCCAAGATCTCATTAATAATTCTCCTTACTGTCTATACAATTTTTATTATGGTAATTCTGATAATTACCCAATCGATATTTTTCTTTATTCTCATCGCTTCTCTGAGAGATATTGTATTGAAATTGAAAGGAGAAATTCTCTCTTGGTCACTCATGGGAGTCATAGGGTTAAGAGACCTCCGCATGCTCTTGCATACTCTAAACATACCGCGAAAGACATGGGTGTCTGCCAAAAGATTTACACTTTGAGAAATACTTTGTTTGAATGATCAGAGACAGAAATAATTGCAAGATTAGCGAGCTTTCATAGACCCCATGGAGGAAAAACACACACACATCACAGTAAAATGGGAGAATTGAGGAGAACCTGGAGAGTGACAAGGTTTCATTTCCCTGGTATTCACATTATGTACCGCGTGGATACCTACTCTTTCGGCAACTCGTGATAGATCGTGGCATTTGTTTAACGTTGTCTCTATCCTTTCATATTGCACAAGTGCAGTGATGAGTTTTTTATAAATATGCTTTCTCTTTTCCTTATTCTTCGGCTTAAATTTCAGAAGATTCTCCAATGGCCGTGTCCTGATAGCCGCCATCTTGAAAACTTGAAAACTCAGTCAGCGCATTCTATTTTCAATAAATCCGCTGGGCATACAAAACGTGGTCATGAATTTGCTGAGCAGCCAAGCGATTTCCACACGATAAAGATGGCTTCCATGTTACTGAGAGTAGCCGGTGAAGGAACATTCCTTAGATCTCTGGTTCCATGCGTGAATTTAATCCCGGTGCGTTTTAGGGTGCGAAGAAAAATGCCATCAAAGATAAGAAACAACCCTTTTGTTCAAAGACGCACGGATTTCATTAAAAAACTTGTGTTAGCTCTGGTACAACACGAACGGATTCAAACTACAGATTGGAAGGCTCAGCAGTTGAAGAAATATGCCGAACTGGTAAGGGTAAATGTAGTGCGTTTAATTAGGTGCGATTTTAACCATTTCTTAGGATTGGTTAAGTTTGACTTTTCGAGGTTACCGCATTTCCCACCCCACTCTACTCCCCCACCTCAGTTTCCATTTAATACCAGTCTCCCACAGCAGCACTTTGTACAGGACCAACATTTAAATTCTCCTCACAGTAATACTGCTGAATCACTTATTAGGATAGCAAGAATAAAGGGAATGATCACCAACCTAAGAGGCTTTGATTGATAACAAAATTCTCCCTATCAGTACCAGAGAAAATGTATGGAGGAGAGTGTGGATGTTGATGTCAGGATGTGAGGGGGTGAAAGCCTTAAAGAAAAGCTTATCAAACTATTCTGTCACTATAGGACTTGAGTGTGGTTCCACATTAAGTAAAATAGAATTAATTTTTTATGTTCTTTCTTTTAGATCTTTATGATGTGATAAAATACCTTCCAACATTAGGATACTGGTGCTAAATCAATAGTTTTATTATTACTTATTATTTATTATTATTGAGTTGTTTTTTTTTTTGGTTGTTTTGTTCTTAGCTTGTCATGTTGTCACTGAGACGTCGTCCACCACCTGATCTGGACATGATTGAGGATGGGTTTGTTCTTACTGAGGAAGAATCTGAGCAAAGAAGGCTTACAAGGCGCATTATCAATAGAAGAAGCAAAAAAGTGATTTTACCTGTACCAGAGCTAAGTGAAGAAGAGTATGTTCAAAGATGTAAAGAAGAGGCTTCAAATATGTTGCTTGGGGTGAGAAAGAAAGTATTCAATCTGTTTGTTTATTTTGTAAAGCAGTACAGATATTTCAGTGCTAAAATCCTGGAGTTTTGTTTCTTCTTCCTTCTTCTGATGTCCAACTGTTTTAGTCCAAAAGTGACCAACAAAAGAATTATTTATTCTTGTGACTTGTCTGCTTGATATTGTATCAATTTTGTAGGAGAGACTCTTGTCTTGGCATTCATGAGAATAAAAGGGTTAACAGGTTTAAGCTTGAAATGAAGATTTAATGGCTAAGCAGATAGTGCACTGGACTCTGGTTCTTGCACTCAAAATTTGAGGATTGGCTGTGTCAATGTGTTGTGTTTCCAGGAAAGACTATGATTTCACTGATAGATGGCTCATAGTTGTTTCTATCCCAGTGTGAAGCTTTGCATTCTTTAACCCTTTCACTCCTAAGATCTCATTAGTAATTCTCCTTACTGTCTACCTTGCAATTTTTATGATGTAAGCTATGAGAATTTGGTATTGGATCAACTAATAATCCCTTGATTGATATTTTTCTTTATTCTCACTACTTGTCTGCTTGATATTGTATTGTTATTGTAAGGAGAAATTCTGCTTTGGTCACTCATGGGAGCAAAAGGCTCTTAGTACTCAGATGCTCCAGTTAGTGGTCTCTTAACTTGTTCTTATCATGATTGTATTTCTTTTTAACAGAACGAAGAGGCACTAGAAAAACTTTACACAACACTTAAGGAACGATATCAAGAAAGATATGGCAATTTTGTGACAATTCAAACAATTCCCAACCCTCCCCACTCCCCTTACCCAAACATGGCATATGTTGAGTTAGTGGGGAACTCCCTACCCCCACTCCCCAGGTTGCCTGTGGTCAAGGGAGGGAATTGGGTTGTTTACAACAGAGATGATTATGAAGATGATAACAAGACTGTGGTGAAGAATTTCTTCAAGTGGATGGAACGAAGGAAAGTAATAAAAGAAAATGTAAAATCAAGGAAAAGACAATAAACAGGTGTAAATATAATAAAAACATAAATATTTTGACATATCATTGTATGTGAGTGGCTTTAAAACATCCAAAATAAAACACATCTGGATGGAAGTAGATCATGTGCCCTTGATTGTGAAAAAGCTGATAATAGAGTGTTACCCTCAACATTGGTAATGTGGCACGATAAAATGATCGTCAGTTGACACTTTGATAATTTTCTTTGAGTTTCCTTGTTGCAATTCATGTAATTCTGCTGAAGTTAGCCAGCTGTAATGAAAAAGCAGTATGTTACAGTATTGGTCATTGATAAAAAGATGTCAAAAATATTTCTACTGTGGGTCTGAATTATTTTCTAGTTATCACAAATAAAGTGTTCAGACTTGCCTTGTGCATAGCAGGGAAACGAGATTGCAATTTTTGCTTTCACCTTACACTTTCTCGACACATATCATCATGTATACAGCCATGCAGGTCCCCTCCAATGACATTAGGGTCCTTAAGCAGTCAGGACGGCAACGCCAAGGAAGACTTTGATTAAAAAATAAATTTCTACCTTTAATTAGAAGTTCAAATTAGCTGCATGTGTTCACCATCTCATGTGGCGCCACACCTCAACTTCAGTGTAACATATAAAAGAAGCGTTGAGTTCCAAATGGAAATTAAAGTAATTTGCCGTCGCGGTTTCGGTTCGCAGACGACGCAAATTGTGGTGATTTCACGTTGTTGTTTTGCGTAGGATGGCTAAGAAATGTACAAAGTTTTAAAACGCAGGTGCTGAGCTATTGTTCTGCCAATTAGATCTTTTGTTTTTCCATGTCTTCGTTGCCGTTGCCGTTGTCGTCGTGGTTTGCTTAAGGTCCCCAATTTTGGAGCTAACACCCTCCCTTTTGCAAAAAGAGATATTGAAGTTAATGCAACTGCATCATACATTTGAATTGGCCAAATATTCAGCATGGTGATATTTTCACGATCATTTCATATGGCTCTCATTTGGCTTATTAGATTTTGGAGAAAGGGTGTAATTGTGGTGCTGGTTTGGTAAGGGTCATTTCAAATTAATGTGTTTTTTTCTCAAATGAGTTGATATTGTACATAGGCTACTGTAAACAGTTTCTAAAGCTAACATGCAAGCATTAGCCCCTTGTCAGGGAGATGATGAAGGGCAAACACTCAAAATGGAAGCCTTAGAAACTCACTAGGGAGACCAATTTACATTTAGCAACTCAGTCTATAAAACCAAATTATCTTGTTATTTGTTTGGTGGCTAGATTTAAAGATGGCAGCTCATGATAACCTGCTCACTTGGCCAGGAGTAAGAATACTTGTGATAAGATACCACAAATCACTGATCATAAAAAGTTTCAGGTTATTTTATTTCAAGTGACTGGGAAATAAGAATCAGATTTTGTAATTTTGAATACAGCGATGCATGTGTATGTACATAGCGTTGACTAGCGTTGAATTCACAAAATTCTGAGGCAGGAAACATATGGTGAATTTAACATGGGCAAGAATGATTCGTTCCTTTTAAAAGAAAGTGTTTCAGAAATGTTACACGAAAATAGGACAAATTTAAGATGTGGAGTTTTATCCTGTCAACCAGCTGAACAAACCCGCAATTAATTTGAATTGCTGATTCTTTAATCGAGCGATGTCGAACAAATACTAAAGTGATCACAAAAGCTAATCACAACAAGGCAAATTAACGCTAGGAGCCAAAGAAAAGGCAAAGTAAAAACAAGTCAACTGCATAAAGCGCGGGAAAACGCGGGTGACCGTGGTGCGATTGGTTTTAGGTTTTGAATCTGATTGGTTGAGAGAGTGGCACGAGTTTTCTGGAATAATCACAGAGCGTAGTAAAGCAAAACCAATGTAATTTCGGCTCACTTTCGACAAAATTAAAAATTGCCCACTTTAACAAGAACTATTTTGCCTTTTCTTATTTCAGAATACTTCTTAAAGTACTACAACAATTTTTTAAAAAAAAAATATTTCTAAATTTAAGAAATCTCTTTTTTGTGTTACAAACTACGTCAGCTAACCCAGGCAATGTAACTTGTTTTCCAAAAAGCTATATACAACGCGATTGCTTCAACCTAACCTAAAAACTTGACACGAACATAGCGCTTATCTTATACAACGTACGGAATAAGTTAAATTGCTTTAATACAATTACGTATACTCGTTAATAACTTAATAAAATATTAAATTTATCTTTGAGATAACAATAAAACTTCAGATATCTTAGCCTGCGAGTAGCTCCTCATTTTAAGCGTAGTAAGGCACGCTTTTCTCCACTCACGAGAAGATTGAGAAGAGTCGGGGAGAGGTTTGCAGTCGGGGAGAGTCTGGCACTTATGCTCCATGCTTCATACTTTCCGGCGGGCGAAGAAATGCATGTACCGAAGCACGAGTAACGAGGGTTTTCTCGTAGGCTAATGATATCTATAAACGAGGGACTTTTCGCATGCGACGCTTACGACAGGCCTACGACAATGTAATATCGTTTATTTACACGAAAAATTCGTGTCTCTGCACGACTTTGTCGCATGCGACAAAGTCGTACCGTGTAAATAGGCCCTTAGAAAACAATTTCATTCGATTTTGTACATTACTAAACTAAGATTTTTCTCAATTATTTTAAATTTTGTTGTTAATTTTAAATAAAATTAATCAAAAAGTTACTTTTTCAAAGGAAAAGAATCCACCTGTCCGTGATTGGCTGAAAAAAAGTTGACGCCCTTTTACAACCAAATGAAGTGGTAATAAAGATCAACCATGATTGGTCGCGCAGATTTTCGCGCGCTTTCTTGCGCTTGCCGCCCTTGATCTTATGTTGTCGGCAAAATTCTTGATTGGCTTATAAAAATAATTTATTCTAAGTTTTCTATCTAATTTTATAATTATAACTATTCTTAAAGCAAATGGGAATGAAAAAAAAAATTGTCCTGGACTTCGCTTTCGTTTCCTCTGACAACAAGAAGAAAGTGATCAATTTTTGAAGTTTGCCGTTCGCGCAAACGTGGACTTAACTTTCCTTAAAGTTGAGCAAGGGCTTTCCAAAAATCTTGTGGAAAGATTTCTTGACTTCACGACGGAAACTAAGAAGTTATAGCTTCTATTTGAGTATTTAAGTTGCGTTTAGAGTGAAAGATTCACTGTCGATTTACAGTTTCCCCACTTAACTTACCCAAGAAACTGTGGGACTTTGGACTGATACGGAGACGGAGCCCGCGATATTTCCTCACAGCACGGCCTCGCCTTGCGCAAACTCATTTTTTACAGTAAGATTATCGATTCCTAACTCAGTTACAGCACTCTTGATGCTTGGGTCGGTGACTTGGTTTTCGGACTGTAAGCGACCTGATATCAAAAGAATAAAAAACAGTAAGTTTGATAGGTCCACGTTAAAGGTGGTTAATTTGAATAAAGAGAGATTTTGTTCGTTTATCACGGGCGTGAGAGTTACACGAGGACTCGAACCGGATACTCTGAAATATCACAACTAGATGACCTGTCAACTAAGTCGCACAGAACTCTTTAGTGAGAGCGTTTTTCCACTGAGAGTCGTACAACCAAACCACAGTAATCAAAACAGCCAATCAGAGGAAAAAATATATCACGATCAGCCAATGAGAATTCACGATAAAACACGGAAACTGCTAGAGGCGCGGGAAATCGCAAGTGACCAAGCTGTGATTGGTTGAGGGAACGGCGGGAGTTTTCTGGACGAACCACATAGCGAATCGCATAGTGATTAGTTGTTAGTACCACATAAACCGCGAATTCAAGAAAGAAACAGTACCAGAAGGTTAACGGTTAAAGCCGCAAGACAACTGCAACAGCAACAAGCAAAGAAAAACATGCAATCACATTTATTTCACTTAAGCGTCAATTACACACAGTTTTGTCACAGTAAATGGTATGATCTCGAGGGTAATATGTGATAGTGTAGCCTAATCGTCCGGGCGAGTGTAGTCCTGAAAAGAACTGTTGTCGGTCGTAGTGATTGACGTTTCAACAACTTGAGCGGAAGTCATCATTTAAATCAAGAAGATGATGATGACTTCCGGTCAGGTTTTCAAAATGTCAATCACTTTTACCGACATCAGTCCATCTCAGGACTACACTCAGCCGGACGATCAGACTACACTATCACAAGATCAGTCTTTTGTGTAAGTGTTAAAGAAAAGCCGTATATTTTCACAAAAATATGATTAAGACGCGAATATGAAAGCGATCTTCGCAGTAATGAACACTACTTGAGCAGTATTGAAAATAAGCCCTGAAAAAGAAAAAAAAATCAGGCCTGTACGGGATTTGAACCCATTACCTCGGCGATACCAGTGCAGTGCTCTACCAACTGAGTCAACAAGCCAATATGTTGGTTCTAAATAAACCCGTAAAGTGATGAATAAAAAAACGTATATGATTTTCATATATTCACAGTCATTCAATATGATTAAGCTTTACTAGGAGTGGGTTAGTGCAACACAAAGAATGCATTATTGTTAATTTAGTAGGTTCAGTTTGAAATAAGAATTCAATTATTTGTGCGAAAATTTCAACGCCACAGCGGAAAAGTCTAAATGTAATTTCCAAGCTGGAGAAATTTAAGGAAACTGGCAAATGATGCTTAAAGCAGAGGAAAGAACGAAGAATGAACCCAGTTGTGCAAGAATTGTTGCTTAAACAGTTTTAGCCAACAGACCGGGCGTCACTTTTTCGCGATTATCGGACGAGTAAACGCAAATAGGGCGTGAAGAAGTCGCGCGGAATAGTCACGCGCTTCATTTTCCCGCGCTATTCCTCGTGCAGCCCTCGCGCTCGTCTTGCGTGTACCTACAGTCTCCGGAAAAAAAAAGCTACAAGACAATCGAACAAAGACAACAACAACAACAAAAATCATATGAAAAGTAGCCTGTTTAGATAACAAAACAAAGTGCGTTGGTAAACGGCACGATCCTCGCAGAGGAGTGAAGAAGCGCGGGAGGTTTTTATTTCGCGACCCGACCCAAACCTCTCTCAAGGGGTCTGGGTTTGACCTCTGTCCATGTCAACCTCTCTCGTTTTATCTCTCAGGCGCTACAGTAAGTATCGCTCCGTTTAACTGACCAAATACCTGGAATAGAGTATATTAGAAAACAGAAAACAAAAACAGCGAAATACGCTTGTTCTGCCGGCTGTTGCAGCTTTAGTGAGCTAGTGAAAAGTGCCAAACTTTTTAGTGATGTGTGACCTGGGACATTAGTATCAAACGATAAGCATTGATTCAAACGAAGCAGTTACAGACTCGAATGATACCTCATAAAAATAAATTGAACCAGAGGCCTACCTTGTGTATTGGGGACATTTTCAGCGTCTTGTGCGCGCCAACTATTTAAGGACCTACTTCGAAGGTTCCTCGTGGGCCTAAATACGAGGATGTAGACCTTGGGTCCAAAAATACACAGTAACAGAGTTGTGGCGTTCAAAGTCGTATTAATTGCAAGTGTTATGGTAGCGTAGTCTTTGTTCACGCCTATTTGTACGGGAAGAAACGCCACCCAAATGATGCAAGTTGTGTACATGGCAAATCCGATGTATCTGGCTTCGTTGAAGTTCGCTGGCGTTTTACGCGTTCTAAAGGCGTAGAATGTACAAAGAATGATAATCAAGACGTTGTACGTCAGTGCGAAAACCAAATCGTAATCTTGAATGTTGCATATCAGTAAAACGTCTTTATTTGTTGGGTAGGCAAGGATTCTTTCTGGAGGCCATTTTACTAGACCAATGACTGAGAACACAATGTCGATACTGACAAAAACTGTCAGTATTGCAATCTGTGACGCTGGATTGATGAAGAGAGGAGGTTTCGTGGATCGATTGCTCCTCTCGAAAATTCTTGCGATTCGATTGGTTCGGATGAGAATGGAAGCATAACATACACAGAACGAGAATCCCAGGCCAAACCGCTGGATGGCGCAAATGGAGGGCGAAGGCTCGGCCAACATGAAAAACGAAAATGTATAACAAGACAACAAGCCGAAGAGTAGTGTGCATGACAGTTCCCTTCCGGAGGCTTTCACCAGAGGGGTGTCGTTGTTGATGAGGAATAGGGTCCCAACAAATATTGTGCACATGATGCCGAGGCCAGAAAATAACATGACCATAACTATCCAGCTTCCGGCAATGTTACGTCGAGGCAGTGGTTCACAGCCGTTCCTTTTGGCATTAGGCCGTTGTCCTTTTTGGCACAGTTTACAACTTGTCTCATCTGCGGATTGAAAGCAACGTATGCCTGAGTAATAGGACCATGATTAACAAGATTGGGTCAGACTCAAATATCTCGCCTCTCATGATATAGCCTCGTCTCTCTATTTTCGTCGTAAAATATCGATGTTTTAAAACGTGAATATGGACTGAGCGAGAGGCAGAGATCTCGGGCTTTTCTCGGTAACCAGGCTAAAAACAAATTTCCTGTATTTGAATATTCAACCCGATCACTGCGATAAAATCTCGGTCTCCGATCTGAAATAACCTATATGAAATTCCCCCGCTCACCAAGCAAACCCAGTCCAAGGGCCATTTTGGTGAGGACCTTACTTTGCAGGTAGGCAAAATGGAAAGACAAGTTGAGATAGAATACCATCAAGGAAACAAGAAAAAGTATAAAATCAAGTAAACAACGGTTTCCTGAATAATTTGTTTCAAATCCTAATAATTTTATGTGAGGGCGTTTTATAGCGATACGACCCTCATTCTCCAGAGCTTTGTTTTAACAATGTTCGGTTAAATCACCAAATGGTAAAGCTCATTTATTTTGTGCTAATAGATATGTCTCATGCCCTACAAATACAGTCACATTGAGCTTACAAATGTATTGTAAGCTCAAATAACGATTTTAATTCAAAAATAAAGAATAATGTAAAAGACAGACAGACACAGTCAGACACAGACCTAAAGACTATCAGAAAGACCATCAGACGGACAGACACACAGACTATCAGACAGACATACAGACAGACCTAAAGACCATCAGACACACAGACATCAGACCGACAGACACATAGACTATCAGACAGACATACAGACAGACCTAAAGACTATCAGACACACGGACCATCAGACGGACAGACACAGACGATCAGACAGACCTAAAGACCATCAGATACACGGACCATCAGACGGACAAACACACAGACTATCAGACAGACATACAGACAGACCTGAAGACCATCAGACCGACAGACCTAAAAACCATCAGACAGGCAAACAGACATACAAATAGACAAAAATATAAACAAACACAGACCAATCACGTGGTGATTACCTTCTACATAATAATCCTCCGCACAGCGTTCGCAGTTCCAGCAACAAGATCCCTCCTTGTCAAAAATTTTTCGATACCCGGCCTCGCACGGTGAACTGCAATCTGACAAAGGAATCGTACCATTTTTGCCTCCTTGAAAAAGCCTCGTTGCGTTGTACAGCTTCCCATTCCAGGACGCAACTTTTCTGTATCGACTGCGTTCCAGGCGATAAATGTCGTATCGCCCGGGACCATTGCCGTTCTTATCAAAACTTACCGCGCCTGTCACTCCATTAAAAGTCAAGTTAAAAAGCTCATCGCGCAGGTTTTTGCGTTCGAATTCTTTTAACATTCTTTGGCAAAGACCGTTCTGTGCTTCACACATGCGTTTGTACATCTTGTCCAAACCATATGCAAAAGCGTACACGGCGTCAATGAGAAAAGGCACTTTATCATCGATACGCACATCGCTTGCTGCCAGGGAATAGTTTTTAGAACAGGAACTTTCATTGTTTTGTAGTCTGCAGCCAAACTTCATCTCCCAAAACTCATCAAACCAGGGATTCACCTTGGTCCTGTTTGTGCCTGGTTTAAGAGAAGTAAAGTAGTTTTTGAACTTTGGATCAAGGGCTTCCGTCAGACTAATAGTTATGGCGCCTTCTGCATATTTCTCTAGGCCTTTGATGGTCTTCTTTCTTGTTCCCCAGTAGTCGCTTGCCACCCATATGAAGTGCTGGGCCCTGTTCTGCCTCTTCACCTCTCTGAGAAGCCTTCTTGCGTCTGTATCGGTACAAAACAAAATCACTCCACGGACTTGCTCATGTCTTCCAAAATCTGTTATGATGTCTTTTATTTGCATCTCGTTGTTGGAGCCTTCGATCTTATACGAACCCGCGATGCAAATATTTGCGGCTTTTGCTCCGTTCGAAAACTCTCGGATTCCTCGTTCACCATAAATCCCCTCGGAGTGGACTGTGAATACGGAAGTCCACTTCAATACCCGGACAACATCGACCATTGCCCGGGCTTGGTAATTATCAGGGGGAACAGTTCGCATGAAAAAGTCGTATTTTGTTTTGTCACTGAGGTCAGGCGTGGTCGATGCGTAGCTTATCTGAGGCAGTTTGAAAAGCCGCAAAAGGTTCGCAACTTGAATAGAAACGGAGCTTGATGCCGCACCGACAACTCCAGCTAATATTTTGTTTTTCTTTGACGCCGGCGAAGCAGGCGTATTCCCTGCTTCACAAATGGTCTTAGATTGCGACTCCATGACAAACTCGAGCGATTCTTCTAGCGCCTTTGTGTACCAATCGCAAGTGTCATAGGCAGACATACTGAGAGTTATGTTTGGAAGAATATTGGGGTTTCGATTGATTTGATCTACAGCAAAGATCATAGCTTCCAAACGGTGAAATCCCCGTTCTATGTTGAGAGTGCCACATTTAGGAGGACCATTTTTGCTGACGTTTCTTGCATGGATTGGGAAAAGACCTCCAATGACTATATCTGGTTCGATTTCTGGCGGTGGAAATGTAGCCCTAACGCGATGCGTTCGCTCACTTGATTCATCGTGATGAGTCAGGTTGCTAGAAGCCACGATTTGACCAAAACACAAACTTGATAACGACAGAAGAAACAAAGTAATGTTAACGAACCATGTAAAGATGTTTTTGTTGACACATCGACGAAAAGGAAACCCGTTGAAGTTTGGAAGCATAGCAGTATGTAACACGACTAAATTCGAGCAAAGAGGTCTTGTTTCTGTTTAGTTCATATTTTTGTTGCTGCTCGTCCAAACTGGTCGGCGTTTCATTGAAACGCAAATCAGCTCTGTTTTATTTGGACGCTGAAGACAAAATCACCTAAAAAGAGAAGAAAACAAACATCATTAGACAGCTAGATCTTTACAATTACGCTGTCTCTGGAAGGTGTCGAAAAGTACGTGAGTATTAAAATAACAAAATAACTTGCTTAAGTAAATCAAGGTCGAAGTTATTTTCTGAGACAATGGACGGGAAAAGATTTTACTTTAAAGAATCCGAAATGTGGTTGAAATGTGATTGGGGCGACTATATAATGTTAAGTAATAGCAAACCAAAACAAGCTTTAAGAGATTTCAAATGCCGGAAACTTGGGCATGAAAATTTAGGTCCTAAAATCGATTTGATGTCTTAAATTCTATTCAAGCTACTAACCCAGGCTGCTGACCCTTCTGTGATCAGTAGATCAATTAAAACCATCACTGGCGTTAAGTAGGTAAAAAAGGTTAACTTACATCGATCAGCAGCAAGTATGAGAGCTTTAAATGCTGATTACCATTCAGCTAAAGACTTAAGCCGCACGGCATGAATCAAAACATGCCAAATAATTAAAGCAGGAATACCTTGCGAAAGCGCTAAATTTCACTACTGTCGACTGGGATGTTATCGATAACCGATCGTCTGTATTTGGGATTGTTCTTCAGCCTTGACCTTCTTTCGTGCGCTGAAAATTCAAAAGCTTATTGAAGTTTAAGGTCACAGAGATTTAGTTTTTGTCTGCCAAATGTAATGCCTGACATTTAATTTGAGAGCAATGAATTCTCCTTTCGAGCTGTTTGGGTTATCACTGAAAGTTTTCAACGCGCTAAGACGAAAAATGCAATCAAGAAAGCTATAATAATCTTACCACCTTCAATCTTTAACTGGGGGTTTTACCTGAAGTACACATCATGAATTGTATACAAGGTCTTTGCGAAGAGAGCTTGTTTGTCCAATGTAACCTCAAGTTAAATTCTGTCAACACAACATCATCTGTAACGCTTTCGTTTGTAAATAATGTTCAAGATTGCAGTATCCAGGGAACACGAGAAAGTTGCCGGTCTAAAAAGGCATTTGATAGCTCTTTGAGAGAGGTGATTTGCAGAGAAATCAGCGTATTCCTCGTCTTTTGCATTGATGCAAGGTAAACTTGTTTACGACGCATGGAAATTTTGGGTTACATCTGATAGCGACCAAAGTTCAGAATAAAAGATTTCAAAACAAAAAGATCACTGAGACAGAAAGAAAACAATAACCTTACTAATTTCCGCCGAGATTGTACGGAATCTTAATGAGTAACTAACTTGTTTACCCAGTAGATTAATTTTTGCAAGTTTAGCTGTTGTTCTAATGATTGATCGCTTTTCTACGATGTTTACATGGCTTCTACGAGTGCAGAGAATGTGAAACTTCTCAATGGCAGTGTAATGTAACAGCAAACAAGACGATGGATTTCAGTTATGACATTAATTTTCGAAATTCGATAGGAACAGTTTCAACTGAGCTCGCTCTGAAACTAATTAACAATTTCAAAGATAACTTTATCGTTTTTTACCGCAGCATAGATTTTTTTTAATCCGAACCAAAATCAATGAGCACGCGATTAAATGAAAATTGCATCGTAGTAAAAATCGTTTTGAAAATGACGCAAAATTAGCAAAGAACTTAACTGAAAAGTTTGTGAGCAAAAGTTTTCAAGGACAAAAAGGTTTACTTCATAGATCTTGAAAGCAACCCCTCGTATTTCTCGTGTCGAACATGTCGCGGCTAATATAGGTGACTACAGTACTGAGCTGTTACGGCCTTTCATATTTTAATTTATTGATGAAAATTAATCACAACTCGGACAAAAAGCGGAATTATTTTGCATTGCATCTAAAAATTTCAGGTGTTCAAGTTCCGCTTTCTTCTATGAATTTACTAAAGAAATACTATAACCGAGAACTGCACTCGAATTAAAACATCGTGTGATTTCAACACTTGAAATCGAAATTTCATGATAAGTTGAAGAAACGAAATTTGGCTTCAGATAACTACTTGTTTATTTGATTTGTTCTTGTCCCAAATCCTGTTTACCGATAAACTCAGCAGGGATGATATATAATAAACATTTTAGTGGGTTGTAAACACAGACATCAATATTCCAAGCGTATTAAGACTTTGCCAGATCTGGAGATTAGAAAATCCATTTAGCCACTGCGATATAAAAAGCAACCTAAAATAATTTGCATATGCCGGAAAGTGACACTTTTCCGAGAATCATTTAAATTTAACGAGTCGATAGGAGTTATTTTAAGGAAGATCGGACACAAATTTGGCTTGTTTTTTGTGGCAACGAAGTTATTTCAATATGATAGGGCAATAAAAGGGAACAAAGCTAGTTGAAATAATTCTTTTCTTTCGTCCCAATTTTGTTATTTTCGTAACGTGACTTCAGCGGAGTATAACACTTGAAGATTTCAGTTGAAAGTCAACTGAAAAAACACCGAACATTCGCACATGCCCTAGAAAACAACTCTTTCAATATTGAAATTTGGTCTGAGAGAACTTACTTAGTTTCAGATCCTGAAATCCACGAAAGTTTTCCACTGAAGAAATTAAACTTTGGTAAACAGCAAACTCTTCTACGTGCTAGTAAAACTTTGCGGTTCGGCGCTACACCTGCGGTCGCCGATATTGGACTTGTTGGTTGAGATATCGAGACCCGCAGGTCAGGCACTGGAAGCATAACTTTACATACACATCATTTCCACACGTGATTTTAAGACGTTAGAAGTGTGACCTCGCTATACTTTCGGTATCCGTTTTCCTATGCTGAATGGCAAGACATTTGAGTAAAGTGGCTCTTTGTCGCCTTACAGTTAAATCTGATCTCATCACTTTACAGAACGGAAAAATTCTTAGTTGCTGATATTGTAAAATCGATTGCCTTTTTAGCTAGCGAACAATTTTCAAACAAGCGTATCAGCCATTTTAATAGGTAAGAAAATTCTGTCAAACCGGCCCTGCGTCATGTTAAATGCTTTCAGTCACCCGATCAGATTCTCGTATCTGTCTTAAACCCAAGTTGATCGAGATGGAAAACAAGGCTTGCGTGATTCTTAGAAAAGAAAACCTCTTCAACGTTTCTAAGAGGCCCACAAAAACCAGAAGAAACCAAATTTACAAAATCATTTCTCTGTCGACGACGCGGAAAAAGTTACGTTGAAATAGACATGAAACAACCATAAAAACTTGCCTTGGCAGCTTAATTTTGCAATGTCAGATTTCGTCCACTTCTTGTCACGTTTTCTCTGTCTTCACTACAGGATGACCAGGAGCAAAATGAAACATTTCAGCGGAGCCAAGGTGTTTGAAGCTGCGAAAAGGAAATTTGTTAAAAACACGTATAGAAATTAACATCAAATTGTTATTGCATTTTCGAACGATTCAGCACTTGGACCCGGAAATAGAAAACTTTTGATTCCAGACGTGTCCATGCACAGTTAAACAACAGAAAACGTAATTGAATTAAGCTCACCGGCAGAAGTTATGGTTATTGCATTTCACTACGAGTATGACAGAAATGTACCTTCACAGGCACTTGTGCGGAGCTCAGAGATAAAATCTAATCCCCAGATATTGGCTTAACTGCAGAGACAGTAACTTCAGCTTGCTACGTATTCTGCTTATTAAGATTGCATACAGGTATATGTACCACTCGTGTTACAGATTTGCCCTTGTTGACCCAGAGCTGTTGACTGATCTTTTTAACACGAGCGAAGTAGAGCTGTTTTCTTTTTTCTTAGAAATGTAGATATCTGTAGGTAAACAACTAAGCGTGTTTCTTTAAAATCACTTTTAAGGAGTTCGTGCGACCGCCTTCATTGTCTCGAGGTTAAGACCGGAAAAAGACGAGATAAAGGTTCGAGAAAATAATTTTCCAGATTTGAACAAACTTCCTCAATTTCTCGCAATATTTTGGCAAACTTCAAAATGAAATTCGGCTTTCGAAAGCTTGCTCGAAAGTGCCCTACTTTACAAACCAGCTTTCTCCAGCACGTAGGAACTTAAATCCAAATTTTCTTTCTAAAGGTAATTTCAGCACACGTTTTAAAAAAAAAATCGCTCGCAAAACGCTACAAAATAGTAACCTTACAACGTATAAATAAGCTTAGATTTCCCAAAATTTACGAAGATGAACAGAAAACAGAGAAAACGAAGTAAAAAAAAACAAACATTGGTAAATAATATAACTTGATTCATTCCTTCGTTGGATGGAAAGAGCTCAGTGATATGTCTTCGTATTATATAGTTTTTACGCTTGTAAATTTTCCTAGAATTTTATTCGCGCAAAAGGAACCTCCTGAAGCAAAATCTGAGATAAAAACGTTTGTTTAGATATTTCATTTTGTGTAAAGGGCTGTTCAGCTAAGCACGAGCTGTTTTCTCCATTGCTGGGAATTCCAGGGTTCTGATTGGTTTAAAAGCATGTTGATTTTTTTTTCAACTCCATCAATTTTCAATTTCCTTTAGAACAAAATAATTTGGTAAATTAGCTAATGCCAGTTCACAATATATTTTTGTTGGATTCAAGCCATATTTATGAGCCACACAATAATCGACGTTGAATTAATCTGTGCTGCCTTCCTCTATGAGTCAATGCTTTCGACAAAACTAAATGATTTTGCGAAAATGACCACACAAAGCTTTACCAAATCATATTTGCCAAAATTTCAAGAAATTTGGTAAAGTTCCAATATTTTTCAGAGAAAAACACGGAAGTATCCTTTAAATCTTTAAGGTCGGATCTGTTTCTGCTTTCTATTTATTAAACCCAGTTTTGCATATGTCAAAATTAAGTCAGAATTTACAAATTTGTGTTTTGGCTTGATTGATTTGGTGTGAAATTTAATTTGGCCTCAGCATCTTTTTTCTTTTCTTTTCATTTTCAACCAGATCATTTTGTCTCCATCAATACGAGGCACAGACCAACAAATTTTCCGTGGGAAAGGTAAATAAAATATCCCATTTCTGTCCCTCCTGGGTGTGCTGCACAAACTCAGGATCATTTTGAATGAAGATTCGTTGATCCAATTTTTAAACCACACATCAAAAAGGTATAAAAGTTTATCAACGAAGTTAACCACAATGAAAACGAATCATACAATTGATAACCTACCGAAAATATACTGGAATTCTTTCCTTTAGTCTTCACTAGGCCAGAGGGCAAACAATTCGCAATTTGCGTTTCGTGGGAGAATCTCCTTCTGGCCATTCATCAAAGGCGGTGACATTGGCTTCTCGAGCACACTGTTTACAGATTAGATGCGCTGCCCACAACTTTCATTAAAAACCTCTATTTACGACGTCGCATATAAAAGGTTTGTTTTAGTTGTCAGCTTAAGGGCGCAAAAAACCGCCCTTTAAGATGAGAGGAACTAATTTTTATGGTCGACAGTACGACTGACGTGAGCAAGATGTAAACAACTTTCTGGTGATGCCGGGCAATGAACGATGCATTTGACTGACTTCTTGCTTTAAAATGAAACCGCGAGAATCGCGATTCGATTTTAACTGACAATAAAAGAGAAGTACTCCGCCTTTGATGGTATTTTAAAGATTCAATAAGAGCGATCAACTTTTTGTACCAACTTCAAAAAAAGTCGCGGGCGGTGTTTCATTAGTTTTGTGCTCAAAAGCTTTCTTTCCAAATCATCCCTCTAAAAATATCCCGCAGTAGTTTTCAAATTAACCCGCTACCATTTCGCGTTGTTTGGACTCCTTATACTCAATACTATTTAAAGAATATTGAACAATTTCGGTAACCTCCGTCATGTATTGACAACTCGCAATTAGGAAGTAATTCGTCGCATGCAAACAAACCTCCAAGCTTGCCGCCTCGAAAATCAATCGCAAGTTCAAGTAAAGCGTTTTGCTCAAGAACTAAGAGCAAGCTATTAATTCTGGAAAATTTCTTAAAACCACGCAATAGAAGAGTTTTAGCTTGGAGATTCAGTGTTAACTAAAACAAGAAACTTCCTCGTTAATGAAGAAAGAGAAAGGTTTCCTATTGACATATTCAAATGGTATTGATTAATACCGAATGAAGAGAGGAAACTTGACAGATGGTTTAATTTAGTGATTTCCATTTCAAAGCAAAGCGCTGAAAACAAACAAAAATGAAAATAAAATGCACCATAAATTATATTTGTATATAAGGGAAGAAAAGAGTGGTCCATGATTAGAAGATAATATTATTTTGATCAGTTGTTCATACAGACCTTGTTGAACCATTGGACTGGACCAACGAGATAACACGAGGTTCTACATAAAATTATTCTCGTTGCTCTCATAACGTAGCCACAGGAGGAAAGTGTGTTAATCACTAATTCATGAGTGAAATTGGTGCATAAATTACATTAGTATGTTAAAGAAGCCCGGGGTTTTTTCAAAACCAAAACCGTCGAAATTAGAAATATACCTCCTCCGTGCCTCACAGTTGTAAAATGGCGTTGTCTTATTCGATAACACCTTCCCTCATTTAAGTTTAGTCTCTACAGTAAGAGTTTTAGAGAAAAATTATCTCTACCTTCTAAAAATGCAAGGGTTAAAATTGCTCGTAAAATTGTGTATGACAAATCGTCCTGTCAATAATATAATTTGAACTGACTATTAAAACCAGCCGCAGGTTTGGTTACAGCAACATGATAATTTAAAGCTGAAGTTTCGAGTGTTTGCCCTTCGTCAGAGCAAGAGATTAGTAAATTTGTTTCTTTGTTTGTTTTTCTGAATATTCGTCTACGCGCCAAAAACAAAGCTGGAGTAGTCCTGCCATGTATGGTTCCTCTCATTCCTAGATTCCCAGTTTGAAAGTCCAGTCCACTGTCAAGATGATACTATGTTAGCGTCTGATTCAACTTTTCCGTCACTAACACAAGCACATGGCATCTAAGTTTTATCATGTAAAGTAATGCACAAAGAACACTAGCAGCTCCTAAAAAAAAGGAACTAAAAAAAATGATTTCAGCTTGGTGGAGAACAAGCAATTTATTTTGGCAGAACTCAAGACAAAGTATTAAAAAAAAACTTTCCTGTATAACTGCTTTTCAATAAAAGTCCTTTTTTAGCCTTAAGCATCACATGACTGACCGAGTTTCATCATAAAGAAATGGTTGATAATCTTACAGACCGGTTTACAGTCAAGACGCCCGAGAGTCATCTCGCCCGAAGTCATGTCGCCCGAAACCTGAGTCATCTTGCCCGAAATTTTAGTTATGTCGCCCGAAAAAGAAAGTCAAGTCGCCCGAAGAAACAAATACTAAAAAGATCAGAATTTCAGACTGTTAATAGGCAATAACGTTGAGAAATTTTTATCACTAAAGCGCTCTTTGTTTCCGACAACACCATGAAGATTCTTAGAGCGTTGTTCGTTCCTAACAACAAAGGGAAACGTTGTTCGTTTCCAACAACAAAATGTAGCTTTGTTCGTTTGGTATGTAATCGTTTCTTACTCACGGACGTTTCGAAAGTTTGAGAAACTCTTTCTTGGTTTCTAACGATACCATGAAGACTTTGACTACACAGAAATCGATCATATGTTTGGAATTGAAATATGTTTGAGTAACGTTTATAAAAGCGTGGTTCGTTTCTAACAACAAAGGGAAGCGTTCTCCGTTTCAAACAAAAACATGAAGCGTTGTTCGTTTGGTACGTATTCATTTCTTACTCATGGGCATTTCGTAGGCTTGAGAAACTTTTTCTTGGTTTCTAACAAAGCCATGAAGACTTTGACTACACAGAAATCGATCATATGGTCAAAAAGGCCATATGATCGACCGTAATCGTCGCACTGTAGGGCTTGGTGACGTGGTCTAACTTCATCATCACACTCAATGCAAGGATAAATGCTCATTTTGATCAGTTCGTATTCGTATTGTAGCTAGCTTTACCCTATTCATATATACTTTGATCGAATCAAAATATAAATGCGACCGCCAGAGGAAACAGAGCACAACTACATAATTTTTGCCTATTCTGATCCTAAGGGAAATGATGCTATCAGACTACTTCTGTGAAAAAAGTCACAAGCATAAACAATAGACTGTTATCTTAAAAATATCACACTTACCTTACGCAAGGCAACAAGTTAATTTTACTTGTATATTACTCGTTTTACCTTTTACCGACTTGTCGAACGCGACAATCGAAATGCGTTTACCAGGTGTTTTCATCTGTTATTGTCAAGAAAGCCACAAATAGACACAACAGAACTTTACTTGTATGTTTCACTGCATCCATGCATTTGTTGTCATAGAAACGAACAACGCTTCCCTCTGTTATTAGAAACGAACAACGTTTTTAGAGTCGTCACTTAAACATATTTCAATTCTGACCATACAATCGATTTCTGTGTAATCAAAGTCTTCATAGCATTTTAAAAAACAAGAAAGAGTTTCCCAAGCTTACGAAATGTCCGTGAGTAAGAAACGAGTACGTACCAAACGAACAACCTTTAAGAATCTTCATGGTGTTGTCGGAAACAAAGAGCGCTTTAGTGATAAAAAAATTGTCAACGTTATTGCTTATTAACAGTCTGAAATTCTGATCTTCTCAATATTTGTTTTTTCGGGCGACATAACTAAATTTCGGGCAACATGACTTAGGGTTCGGGCGACATAACTTCGGGCGAGATGACTCTCGGGCGACTTGACCGGTTACCTACAGACCCTGCTCTGTTTGGTAAGTAGCTATTTACCAGAGTAACCTGCTTTGGATCTCATGAGTAAGGAAAGTAAAAACCAAATGAAAAAGTAAGATTTTAAGCTGTTACCTAACAGCATAATTTCTTACAGTTAGTATGTTTAAATATAGTTTTTTATATAGTTACTAAAATATCATAATTATACAGACCCAGATAGTGGCATAAAATCATACAGTATGTAGACCAACATATTTAAATATTATGTTTATACCTAATTATAGCGGAGCTCGCAGAGCGTAGCCCCATAATTATACAAAATAGTGGTAACCCATCAAACCGAAAAAATTTGGATGTACGACCATACGACCGTACAAGGCGCTACTTTTAGCATGCGTGGTCAACAGTACCGCGGGCACACCAACGCCATGGCTTTTTCCAGTAGTCCAGTGGTCAGTGCACTGGGCTCCGAGTCGGACGACCCGGGTTCTACTCCTAGCCGGGGCAAGGCGTTGTGCCCTTGAAACATGCGGGAAAAACAAAATGCGAGCTCCGCTTTTAGGCTTGGCTAAATCTATATCATTTCCAAAAAATATGAGGAATGGGGATAGAAAGCCACAGGAAGGGATTCTTAGGAGGACTGGGAGGGACAGAGTATCTCCTCTCCCAAGGCTCCCTCATTTTACACTTCCTTGCTCAACTGATGACAAGATTCTGAGCAACTGCCCACCTACCCCTCCCCTAACCCAAAGACAGTCAACCGATAACAACTTAGGGTTAATGCTTGGTTAAGGGAGGGGTAGGTACTCAGTTAGTCAGATACTGTCATTGATCCAAATTTTTTAACCCTTTACAACCTAAACTCATCATGCATATTCTTTATACCTTTCTTTATACACTTCCTAAGGAGAATTTGTTTACTGATCAAAAGCGTCTTGTTGGGCATCATTTCCTTCATTCATTCATTCATTCTCATGAACTTAATGTTTGATTCAGGCTGATATTGTAGGGAGAAATTAGATGCTGGTCACTTTTGGGGTTTTAAGGGTTAATTGTGTTAGTGTAGCAGGTAGTCTTTGTGTCATCAAATCTTCAATGGTCCAGGAGAGAACAGCTTTTTGTATGTAGTTGATTGTTCATTTGGTATTCACTCATAATAATTTAGAATCTACCACCAGATAATTTTACAAGCCTACTGGTATAGTTGTACTACAAAAGTTCCTTGCCGGCAAATTCCAGCAAACCTTGTCCCATTAGGCAATACCGACGCCATTCATCTAAGCACACTGCTCCAAGCTTGTCATAGAAATCTCTTGCAATTTTGTTCCAGTAAAGAACACCCCAGTCCACTCTGGCACAACCCTTGTCAACTGCGATCTGAAATAAGGAAAAATAATCACTGATCTGAATTTTTACCCCATTACACAGGCATCTCTTCTATCACCAAGATATAAAGCTTAGCAACATGCCTTTCTACATTTTACCAAAACAAGAAATATATTTTAAAAAAAAATTTAACTTACTTGAGCCACTCGTCTCAACAACTCTTTTCCAATTCCTTTTCCTGTCAAAAAAATTAAACTGAACATGTCTTTAGGTGCTAATTATCAGGTAACAAATACTCTATGTGTACCCCTATAAGTGGTCCAAGCCCAGACTTGTATTTGTCATGGCAAAGGAATAAAATTTGAAAATTAAAATTGCAGTGAGTCACTTATCTGGCAACCTGTGTTTGCCAATTTTGTGTTTACCCTTTGACTCCCAAGATCTGATTGTAAATTCTCCCCCCTAGCTGCTTCACAAATTCTTGTAAATTAGTTATGAGAATTTCATGTTAGATCAAGATAAAAACTTCTATCTGATAAGTTTGAATATTCTCATTAGCTGTCTGCTTGATAATGGTGGGATATCAAAGGGAGAAGATTCATGTTGATCACTTCTGGGAGTTAAAGGGCTAAGCTGTGTAACTTAATCAAATAGTAAGGGCATTTATGGTCTTTTCCACATTAAAGGAAGATAACATTTCATGGCTGGAACATCATCTAATCTTTGTTTGTCTTCTCCCACAGTGTATTTAATTTTAAAAATTGTCTACACCTTCACCTTCACCTTGATGTAATTCAATTTAAAATAAGAAATTGATGGCCAGTAAGTACAGCGATGTGACCCATCAGGCAAAAATTTGAACAAAGTGCTCTTTTCTTTCTTTCAAGAAGATTTACAACCCCAAAAATGGTGAACAAAGAGACCCTGAGCATTATGCTTGAAATAAAAAAAATTATGCAAGTAACAGGGAATCAACTTGATCATAGAGTTCACCTCTAAAAGCTGAGTCGACATAAAGGTCTTGCAAATAGAGAGATCGGCCTTCCCAAGTGGAATAAATGTTGAAAAATAATGCATAACCAACAGCCTTTTTCGTTGATAAGCCACAGTTCTTTTCTTCATTGGGGTTCACCTCTTCTGCTATCAGACAGCTGAACCATGGTGTTTCTCCAAAACCATCCCTTTGTATTTCTGCAAGATAGACAAAATGTTAAAAAATTCTTTGTTTCTATAACTAAGTTAGTGCAATCTATGAAGTAATGACATATCTGTTGCCTCAATGTGTGAACTGAATAATTTAATACAAATTATTTGGTAAAAATAATCAGGAGAGAGTGTAATCGTTTCTGGCCTTGATACCTTAATTCCCTCCTTCATGATTCTTGATTTCCTCAGATACATAATAAATCTCACTTGACCAGATTGTAAATTTTAGAAAGTCTCTTCATAACCCTTTACACCTAACATCAGTGTGTATTTTCCCCCCACTGTTTGCTATACATTTCCTCAGGTGTTGACAAGGAGAATTTGTTTAGAAATAAAGATCTTCTTTGTTTGGTGATCATTTGTGTTTTTCTTGTCAAATCAATGTTTTATTCAGGGCTAATATTGTGAGGAGAAATTTCATGCTGGTCAGTTTTAGAGGTGAAAGGGTTAAAAGTCCTGTAAGGCTTATTTTTCATCAGATTATTATTTCCTAATCATTTCTAAGGGGGATAAGCCAAGGAGTCAAAAGGAATCAGTTGGTGGGAAAGAGTGGATAAGTTTTTTGTGTTTTTGCAGCTTTTTCAACCCCTCAGTCACAGAGAAATCAAAGACTAGCATCTAATTTCTCCACACAGTATCACCCCTGAATCAAACACTAAGGTCATGAGAATTAAGGACATGATCACATACTAAACAAGCTCTTGATTGTTAAACAAATTCTCTTTCTCAGCGCCTTAGGAAATGAAGAAGGAATATGCATACTGATCACGTTTGGGTGTGGAGAGTTTCTGTACATGTTGTGGATCTTACCTTCCTCAGTAAGTTTAACTCTTGATTCTGGTTGCTTCTCAAATACAGCTAAATCCTATGTAAGCAGAAGAATTTGACGTGCTCATTCAAAAGCAAAATTATATTTATGTGTCCTGAAGAATCTCAGAATCTTCGCAACCCCAACCGCATCAAATTAACGATTTGTTCTTTACCGTTATCATTCGCAAGATTTCTGGAACATCCTCTGTTGTCGCCATACGCACTTGCCATGTTGCCATTCTCGAACAGTCACAAATCACACCAAGAATGCTGAGAATACCAACTGTGCAAACTGAAAAACTTCATTGATCGTATGCAAAATGCTTCTGTCTGTGCCTCTTCACTCGTAATTGCCGGTGAATATGTAACTCGTTCCCAGGTCTTTCTCGTGCAAAGATGGCCCTTCACAACATTCCCCTTAACTTTTTATGCGAAGAATGATTGAGCGGGCTTTTTTCCTCAAGAAGCGTGTTTAAGATGATAAGGTCTTTTCATGTCCTCGTGGACAATTGAACATGACTTGTGGATGAAGAGCTGAACTAAATGTGATTCACGCACCTTTTTTTGTCTGGGTGATGAATTTCCAGCCATTGGACTTCATATGGATAAATAAAAGCCATGAAACAATTTATGGTCTTTGAAAAAATGAGATAAGACAGTACGTTATCTTTTATCATTTAAGACTGGTCAAAACAAGAAAAATAAAAACAAATTAATTCGTAAATTTTTAAAATTTTTTTTATTTTTATGTTAAGGGAGCAAAAAACCGCCCTTTAAGATGAGAGGAACAGAGAGGGACTAGTTTTTATGGTCGACATAGTGCGACTGACGTGAGCAAGATGTAAACAACTTTCTGATGATGCCGGGCAATTCACGCTGCGTTTGACTGACTTCTTGCTTTAAGACGAAACCGCGAGAATCGCTTTTCGATTTTAACGGGCAATAAAAGAGAAGTACTCCGCCTTTAATGGTATTTTAAAGATTCCATAAGAGCGATCAACTTTTTGTACCAACTTCAAAAAAAGTCGCGGGCGGTGTTTCAATATTTTTGTGCTCGAAAGCTTTCTTTCCAAATCACCCCTCTTAAAATATTCCGCAGTAGTTTTCAAATTAACTAGCTACCATTTCGCGTTGTTTGGACTCCTTATACTCAATACTATTTAAAGAAAATTGAACAACTTTGGTAACCTTCGTCATGTATTGACAACTCGCAATTAGGAAGTAATTCGTCGTATGCAAACAAACCTCGAAGCTTGCCGCCTCGAAAATCAATCGCAAGTTCAAGTAAAGCGTTTTGCTCAAGAACTAAGAGCAAGCTATTATTTCTGAAAACTTTCTTAAAACCCCGCAACAGAAAAGTTGCAGCTTGGAGATTCATTGTTAACAAAATAAGAAACTTCCTCATTGATGAAGATGTCCGCTCGTTTTACGATTGCTGCATCGCTTTTGTTTCACGACAAAATCGAGACTCAAAATTAAAACGGGAGGGACAGAGTATCTCCTCTCCCAAGGCCCCCCTTGCTGACTGATGATGATTCTGAGCAACTGCCCACCTACCCCTCCCCTAACCCAATGACAGTCAACTGATAACAATTAGGGTTAATGTTTGGTTAAGGGAGGGGTAGGTACTCAGTTGCTCAGAAACTGTCATTGATCCAAATTTGTTAATTGTGTTGGTGTAACAGGTAGTCTTTGTGTCATCAAATCTTCAATGGTCCAGGAGAGAACAGCTTTTTGTATGTAGTTGATTGATTCTTCAGTGTTCACTCATAATAATTCAGAATCTACCACCAGAGAATTTTACAAGCCTACTGGTATAGTTGTACTACAAAAGTTCCTTCCCGGCAAAATCCAGCAAACTTTGTCCAGTTAGGCGATACAGACGCCATTCATCTAAGCACACTGCTCCAAGCTTGTCATAGAAATCTCTTGCAATTTTGTTCCAGTAAAGAACACTCCAGTCAACCCGAGCACAACCCTTCTCAACAGCAATCTGAAATAAGGAAAAATAATTAGCAGTTTGTATTTTTACCACACTACACAGTATCTCTTCGATCTTGGCAACATGGCTCTCTACAATTTACAAAAACAGGAAATTTGTAAAAAAAAAAATTCAACTTACTCTAGCCACTCTTTTCAACATCTCTTTTCCAATTCCTTTTCCTGTCCAAAAAATCAAATTGAATATGTCTTTAGGTGCTAATTATCAGGTAACAAATGCTTTATGTGTACCCCTATAAGTGGTTCGAGCTCAGACTTGTATTTGTCATGGAAAAACGAAAAAAATTTGGAAATAGAAAAAACAATCACAAAAATACACAGCTATAATACAACACCCATCAACAATCCTTGATTTGACCTACTCGGGTTGACAGAGGAACCAGCCAACTGCTGCATCAAAGAACAGCACATGAATGTTCTCTAACCAAATTGCAGTGAGTCACTTATCTGACAACCTGTGTTTGTCAATTATGTATTCACCCTTTAACTCCCAAGATCTGATTGTTAAATCTCCCCTCTGGCTGCTTCACACATCCTTAAAACTTAGTTATGAGAATTTGGTGTTAGATCAAGATAACAACTTCTACCTGATAAGTTTGAATATTCTCATTAGCTGTTTGCTGGATAATTTAGGGTTATTGTAGGGAGAAGTTTTATGTTTATCACTTCTGGGAGTTAAAGGGTTAAGCTGTATTACTTAATCAAATAGTAAGGGTGTTTATGGTCTTTCGCACATTAAAGGAAGATAAACATTTCATGGCTGGAAAATCACCTAATCTTTGTTTGTCTTCTCTCAGAGTATATTTAATTTTAAAAATTGTCTACACCTTCACCTTCACCTTAATGTAATTCAATTTAAAATAAGAAATTGATGGTTGGTAAGTACAGCGATGTGACCTATCAAGCAATAATTTGAACAAAGTGCTCTTTTCTTTCTTTGAAAAAATTTACCACTCCAAAAATGGTGAACAAAGAGACCCTGAGCATTGTGCTTGGAATAAAAAAAATTATGCAAGTAACAGGGAATCAACTTGATCATAGAGTTCACCTCTAAAAGCTGAGTCGACATAAAGGTCTTCCAAATAGAGAGACCGGCCTTCCCAGGTGGAATAAATGTTGAAAAATAATGCATAACCAACAGCCTTTTTCCTTGGTAAGCTGCAGTTTTTTTCTTCACTGGGGTTCACCTCTTCTGCTATCAGACAGCTGAACCATGGTGTTTGTCCAAATCCATCCCTCCGCATTTCTGCAAGATAGAAAAAAATTTTGTAGCATGCTCAAAAACTCTTTACAACATAGCTAGTAAATTTGTCTAATCAAATTCAATTGCATGAGCATGCTTCATATTCCTATTGTGCACACTCATGACGTCAGGAAACAAATCAAATCAGCAAACCATCGGGTTGAAAATGTTATAAAACAATTGGTTCATACGTCAGCTGTGTGTTCATCGAGATAGGAAGCACTCGGGAAGTTTGGAGAGCACTCAAGAAGCAACTCTTAGGCATCTTTCGTGCTCTCCAAACTTCCCACGTGCTTCATATCTTGATGAATGCAAGCTTACATATGAACCAATTGTTAATGTTTCTACAACTAAGTTAGTGCAATTTGTAAAGTAATGATAGATCTGTTGTCTCAGTGTGTGAATAATTTGTCACAAATCATTTGGTACTCTATTAGTCTTGAGAACTAAAAAAATAATCAGGAGAGAGTGCAACGGTGTCTGGCCTTGAAACCTTCATTCTTTTCCTTGATGATTCTTGATTTCTTCAGATACATAACAAATCTCTTGTTTGACCAGATTGTAAAGTTTAGAGGGTCTCTTCACAACCCTTCACACCTAACATCAGTATGTACTTTCTCCCCACTGTTTGCTATACATTTCCTCAGGTGTTGACAAGGAGAATTTGTTTAGAAATCAAGATCTTCTTTGTTTGGTGATCATTTGTGTTTTTCTTGTTACACCAATGTTTGATTCAGGGCTAATATTGTTAGGAGAAATTTCATGCTGGTCAGTTTTGGAGGTGAAAGGGTTTAAAGTCCTGTAAGGCTTATTTTTCATCAGATTATCATTTCCTAATAATTTCTGAGGGGAGGTCAGCAGAGGAGTCATAAGGGATCAGTTGGTGGGGAAGAGTGGGTAATTTTTTTTTTTGTTTTTGCAGCTTTTTTAACCCATCAATCACAGAGAAATCAAAGACTAGCATCTAATATCTCCTCACAGTATCACCCCTGAATCAAACACTAAGGTCATGAGAATTAAAGAAATGATCACATAATAAACAAGCTCATGATTGTTAAACAAATTCTCTTTGTCAGCGCCTTATGAAATGAAGAAGGAATATGCATATTGATCACGTTTGAGTGTTGGGAGTCTCTGTGGATCTTACCTTCCTCAGTAAGTTTAACTCTTGATGCTGGTTCCTTCTCAAATACAGCTAAGTCCTATGTAAGAAGAAGAATTTAACGTGTTCATTCAAAAGCAAAATTATGTTTATGTGTCCTGAAGAATCTCAGAATCTTAGCAACCCCAGCGCATCAAATTAACGATTTCTTTTTTTACCGTTATCATTCGCAAAATTTCTGGAACATCGTCCGCTGTCGCCATACGTACTTGCCATGTTGCCATTCTCGAACAGTCACAAATCACACCAAGAATGCTGAGAATACCAACTGTGAAAACTGAAAACCTTATTGATCGTATACAAAATGCTTCTGTCTGTCCCTCTTCATTCGTAATTGCCGGTGAATATGTAACTCGTTCCCACGTCTTTCTCGTGCAAAGATGGCCCTTCTCAACATTCCCCTTAACTTTTTGTGTGAGGCATGATTGGGGGTTTTTTTTCTCAAGAATCGTTATGACTTCTCCTTACATCGTGTTTTAAATGAGAAGATCTTTTCATTTTGTCATGAACTATTTCTTTTTTACTTGAGTGAATGAAGAGCTGAATTAGACGTGACTCATGAATCATTTTTTCTGCGTGATTATTTCCGGCCATTAGACTTTATATGGATCGATGGTTTGAATATTATTCGTTATGCGTGAAAAGACCAAATATTTTCACTTGGCTGAGTTTTCCAAAGATGTATAAAGGACCTTCTAGAACAGGGGGGGACCATTAGAATTTTCCAAAATTTCAGGGGAGGATCAGGTAAATTTTATTGTGACACAACAAAAATCCCCGACCCCTCCTCCTCTCAGGCGGTATGCATTGAGTGGTCCCTTCGCGCAACTATTTATGGAAATTTCACGTCAGCAGTGACCCGTTCTCTCTAACGATGAATAAATTCGCGCTGGGAGAAAGGAAGTGGCACTTTTCTACGCCCTGAAAGCTGCTAAGCGTGCATATGGTTCTACGTGACGGCAAAACAGCTTTACGTCCAATGGCAAGCGAAATCGCTTGTGCCACTGGATATTTTGCATCTTGAAAAAAATTGGTGGCAATGTTGCATAATTTTTTTATGCGCTGCGCAACGTGATGGTTTGCAGCTTTCGCTAGCGCGCCTTGAATAAAATGTTAGTTTAATCCAGATGCATGATCTGTGCTAAGGTTTTCTTTACAACGTTAGAATTTGTACGGTGATTTCAGTATTGCTCGTGCTCAGGTCAAGCCGGGGATTTTTGAAAAAAGAATGGATTTCCAAGAATACGACGAGGAGATCATGAAAAGGTATTTTGCGTCAGCTTTTTTAACTGTTCGCTCGCAAGACTTGAAAGGCGTACGGCCGAATTCAGCAGCCCCTGGACCTATCATATGATAGTAAAATATGGCGAGGCCATTTGATTTCAGGGTATGATTGATTCGAGAGAGGACATAAAGGCCCGATCTTTTTCGTGTTGAAAATCGAACACATTCACGCGCAAAGTTGTGATTTTTTTTCTTACAGTCGCCTGACAAATTAAGATAGATTTTGTCTGCAGAAAGATGTTCGTATCCGTGCTGAACTAAAACCGCAAGGTAACTGGAAAATATATCCTTTCTTTTAAAAATTCCAACTGGATTGATCGTTGAGTTTCCATACTTTTTTACTCGCTATACAAATTTAAATTACGGAATTTAACTTTGCTCAGTAACTCGCCTCAGATAATCTTTAATTGTGTGAAACTTTAAAGAATTTTTTCGGTCAGATTTGTTTTAGACCAGTTTACTTGGTTAGCCCTAATATTTGACAAACAGTTCGATCGGAACCCTTTTTTACGATCAAAAAGAGCAATTCCATAGATTCATCTGTTGCGGTATAATCTAACCGACAGAAAGAACACCGTACCGCCCCGTATGACCTCAACTACTTTATTGAATAACTTGTAATGTTCTTACTAAGTAGCAATTCCTAAAGGCATTACAGTAATTATTCTCAATAAACTTATTGAAGCCCAGTACAAACTAGATCTTAGCTCACCACTAACACAATCTCACATGTCTCTACAAAGTTCCTTGAAATCTTCTATAGTGGCCCTCCCTCGGTATAGCCTTCCAAATAGTTGGTCACTCCCAACAATAACAACAACAACGACGACTATTACTACTTCTACACGACTAAGTCCTTCCATACATTTCCAAAGTATTCTAGAACATTTCGGAAGCTTACAAATCGACTATTTTAGTAGTATTGCATCATGACTACGTGAATACTATGATTTTTTTTTCATTTTCTTGATTAATTTATATTTAGTAATTTTGCTCATTTATTCGTTTTTCATTCATTTTCCTTTTTTCATTCGCAGATCTTCAAAATGCAGCGTGCGAAACACCGACAAAGAACGAAGATTGAACGCCAACATGATCGAGCGTAGGAGAATGCAGAACATTAATTTGGGGTTCACCAGTTTGAAAAGACTGCTTCCCCCAACAGAGAAAAAGCAAACAAAGGCAGCTATTTTGCAACAGGCAGTACAGCATATCCTTAGACTTCAGCGAACAGTGGTCCAAGTGAGAGAAAATAACAACATACTACGAGAAAACTTGGCGGATGAAAGGAAGCAAAGTCTATGCTGTAGAAGCCAGTTAGGAATTTTGCTAAGCGAGAAATATACTCGAGAGACTGACCAAGTCTTCTCTCATATGGCGCAAACAAAAGGACAAGTGCGAACTCCTCCGCATGAAGAATCAAGCGACAGTTCACTAAACCGCTGGCTTTGTTTGCCGTACGGCAACTCAGAAGCTAATTACAAAGGCCATTCGGCCGTTGATCTTCCAAGCAGCCACGATCCAAGAAGAAAGGAGCTTAACTCTGTGATGGAGAAGAAATGTGTAAATTCAGATGGAAAAAGAGACCATGGAAGACGCTTGAACCACTTTGTACGGATGTCAAGACACTCAGCTCGTGGAGATGAATCTGCGCCTTCGAATCCGGAGGTCAGGGTTGGGTACTTCCCCTCGACACGTGACACTTCAGATGCAGGAACATCCGGTCACGGTCCCCGGGGGAACAATTTGCATTGCATTCTCGATGCAATAAATTTCATTGAAAAAAAGTAATTTTGTAAAGTAACACATATCTTGCCATGGAGACCTTAAACAGGTCCGTGTAGAATTTCTGTAAAACACTTTCCTTGAACAAGGGTTCATTTTGAATAATTATCATGTTTGGGGAGAGTAGCTTCTCCGTGTGATATATGAGATTATTTAATAGTTTATTGGCAGGCCCAAGGTAACTAACTGTTTAAACTGTGCTAGATTATAAATATATTTGAGCTAATTTTAGGTACCTAACTCAATATTTGCATAATTTTCCACGCTGGGTGTGGTTATTAGAATTGTGCGCTGTAGATATTCGTTCCCTTTTGTCGTTTATTTTATTCATGTGTTTATTAAGTGAGTGAACAATCGATCGAGGGTCTGGTCGACCTTGTTAATGAATTAGTGAAGTTGAAGTTTTGAGAATGTAAATTGGCGTAGGGGAGGAGAGGGTCTTAACACCCCAGGTGGGTGCAGTTGTTAAATGAAAGTGTCTGATATAAGGCTTTGAGGTCCAGTGTGGATTATTGTGATATTGGAAATTTTCCTCGCCTTGCATTCGTAGACAAAACGTCATGAACTCTAACAGGGTTAAATTTGAGTATTATGTGTGTTTAGAGGCTGGCCTCTGTTTATAGCGAAATTGGATAATGTTGTAGCATCTTGGCTGGATCAAGGTTTATTTAGTTAGTATCTGGAATATTTATAAAGGTACCATTTATAAAATTTTCACGCTGGGCGTGGGTTGACGGAGTTATATTGATTAATTGACTTATTTATTTTTTTCCCTTTGTAGCTTATTACAATCATCGCCGTTTTTCTACTGCTGTTCTCTTAAAAAGTTATCACTATTTTTGCTATAGAATGACAAAAATTTTATGTAAGAAATGTAGAATGGCATCGGGTTAGTCGACTGGTTCGGCACTCTGAGAGGATAGGGTTGTAAAACCTAAGAGACTGGATTGAAGATTTCGTATGAAAAAGAAGAGTTATGGCAGGTCCAAACATAACATTAATAAATATTTATTATTACATCATGACTTTTCTCTGCTATGTGTATTTTCGATTCATGACGTAAGCGATGCGTTAAGTTGAAAAGTTTTTAACCTGTGTGCAGGTTGCAAATCTCTACAACATTTATGCAAAGTGGGAGCGACGCGAGTTATTTTATCAAATGTTTCCCGTGTGAATGGGAAGAATTAACAGATATAACTTCACAGAAAGTAGAAGATACCTGTTGTTTCACGTTTCAAAGGTGCAGTAATTTCACGATTCAGTCCCACAAGAAAGCTGCGAATTGTAATTTTGCGTTTCACGGAAATAGCTTAAACGAGTGTCACGATTCACGTTTCTTTGGGCAATTCAATCGAAAGACGAGTAGGTCTCTATCCAGTCTCTATCCAGTCTCGTGATAAAATAACAAACTGTCTTTTTACAAAAAAACAAAACATTTTTCCATTTTTCAAGAGCGCGGGAAAACGCGGGCGACCAAGTCGTGATTGGGTTTAATTTTAAATCTGATTGGTTGAGAAAGTAGCACGAGTTTTCTGGACCAATCACAGAGAAATAGAGCAAAAATAATTAAGGCATCACTTTCGACTCTTAAGTGCAAATTGCTCCAAATGGAATGATTATTGCAACATTCATTGCCAGCTACGACCTTGATATAATTAAAAACGACAAACAACACCCATCATTCAAGAGCTTAAAAAAAAGTATAATTTTAATCGGGACTTACGACTAATCTGTGATAAGATTCACGCGCTTCGCACGAATTGAATTCTTAAAATACGAAATTCACTTAAGCATCCTATTCATGTTGCGAAAATTTTTGTTCAAAAAGTTATTCTGTTTGAGGTCCACTAAAACTGAAATTGTCAAATTCCCCACACGCATTGTCACTTGTATCGCTACTACTGTTTTGTCTTTGTTTTGGTCGCGCACCTTGAATTGGACTTTCACTCGGACTTTTTTCCTCGGCGTCATTTTTTTGGCCTTCGCCAGTAATTTTTTGAGTGTCCTCAACGTATTTTTGGTATTTCTCAGGCTCAATTCTTTTCCGGTCTTTTGCGCGTCGATTTTGAAACCAAACTTGTATCCGGTCTTCTGTCAGTTTTGTAACTTTCTCCAGCTTTAATCGTTCTTCTATGTGTGGGTATTTCATTTCAGCGTACGCGGCTTCGAGAATCTCAAGTTGTTCTTTGGTGTAGTTTTTTCTTCTCCTCTTCGATTCTTGCTTCTCGTTGGCTGCACATTCAGGAGAACTTGTAGACGTAGTGGACAACCGCATCCTCTTTGGAGCTGCAACAGAAAGAAATTGAAATTTCCGTGAAAATGAACAAACGGCGTAGAGCCATCTTCAAAGTGGGTAAGGAAACCACACACGTTGCCCAAGCCTTGGCTATCATATCATGCAAAAGCGCTTTCCGATTGAGATAAAATCACGATGGCCAATGAGGAGAATGAAAAATACCTTTAAGAGCCGATGAAAACTCAATATAAAAACAAGCAAACCGCCTGAAGCGCGGGATCTGATTGGTTGAGTTGGCGGTGTGAGTTTTCTGGACCAATCACAGAGCGAAGTAGAGCAAAACCAACGAAATCTTGGATCACTTTCGACTGTCAATTAAAAATTGCGATAAATCGACAATTTACAGCGCACTTCACGTATGACGCAAATTGCTCGTTTAGATATAGTTGAAAGCTCTTTTTTTTCCTTTTTTTTAAATACTGTACTCTGCTATTCATTCCTATGTGCATGTCTCTTAAAATGAGCGTTGTTTCTGCGTCCTTGCCCAAAATTTGTCAATTCTTCTTTGTAATTATAATCGCCTAAGTTAATCAATTATTTCCTCACTGTTTTTGCCATGGATTATATTTTATTCATGGAGGAAATTTACTGTGAAACGTTTCACTGCGTGTTGTGCGTTCTTGTTTTAAATAATCCGCAAAAAACTTGTGATAGAATTTAAACGAGTGGTGTTACGTCTCACTCAAAACCATGCGCGCTCAAAACATTCGTTTACGGTAAGTTGAAGTCTTTGCTTTGGCATTTATCAAGGTAAGGATGGGGAAAAAAAGCCACTCTTGGGGGACAATCACCTGATTGAGTACTTTCACTGTCCACAACACCCTCCATAGATGCTCCGCGCTCCCTGGACAGCCCTACATAACACGAAGGCGAAGCCAACATCCCATAATACGCAACCGGCTGCGCTAATGGAAAATGGTAAGCCGCTGGCATGGGAGTGATATCATAGAGGGGTGAAAATGGGATTCTGTGACCAGCAAGAAAATGAACTTGAGCGGAACCAGGATTGAGTGCTGCGAAATCCAAGAAAGAGAGCTGATGGCGTGCTTGTTGAGCTTCTAAGAGAAAATATCGCATTCCACGCTTCATCGCTATCAGAATACTCGCCGCTTCTAAGACATCAGGTGTCAGATTGCTTGGCTTGATGGTGTCTTGAGCATCGGTCATTCTCTGTATGTTTTCTTCCTAAAAAAAAAATTAAGATTTCTGACAAGGCAGTCAACTTCGAATGGAATATTGTACAAGATCCAACCAGAATTACCAGAGGAGGGAAGGGGGTTTTTTTCAATGGGAGGGGAGGGAGGAAGGGGTATTGAATGAATGAAGGACTTTATTTAAGTGTCAATAGTATCTAGCTTGAAGAAAACTAATTGGGGACACTGTTTACGCATAAAAATATACCTAAGCTACATAAAGTTAAAATTATTTACACTTCAATTCATAATGTATAGAATAGATAGATAAATAAATAGGTGAATGAAGTCTAAAAACTTAGTGAAATAAGCCTAGAATATATGAAATATAAAACTGTTTTGTTTTATGACGAAAGAACACGGTTTGAACAATTTTTTGCAAATAGGAAATGAATTTTAAAAAATACAGATTTGGAACAATCTGCTCAGAGAAAAGCATACAGCTTTAATTACTTTTTCGTTGTATTCATAAAGACTGAACTAAAATACCTTTGGAGATTTCTGAGTTTACTCTAACCTGGACGTGCCCCTGAAATTATCGAGAACGGCCTTAGTTTACTCTTTCCTAAGTGTATAAAATACTTAAGAATCAAACCAAGGGTTCTAAATCAATTGCAATTAATTCGCGTTGAATCAAAAACGGCACCAATTAAAAATATGTGGAAACAACAAAACAGATTCGTTTTTCTCTTCCAGAACGGTGATTGGTTTATGAACTGACATATTACAACGTTATGGAGATATTCTCTCAAAGCACAGTAAAATTAAGCATTCACAATCTCATATAAATTTAATCGTAGTTCAACATAGTGTACAATTATTTCTGGGAAGTTTAGTGATTGATCAAAATCGTGAACAAGCGAACGCGAGAAATTGGCTTGCCTCGAAAATGCATTTTAGCAAAAGCATGAATGAGACTAAGGTGAGAGTGAATTAAAATGTTAGATGATAGTCAAGAAATTTTTTTCAACCGTCACAGAATTTAAAATCGCCATTGATTTTGACGTATATACTAACTGTGACGCTTTGTAACGTTCAAATAAAACTGTAAAGGGATCAGTTTACAAATGGCGAATAAACATCTAACTGAAGGTGATTCGTGATTTTTTCAACGTTTGACTTACAAGAAAAGTAAAAAGATTTATTTCAGTAAACGACAGAAACGCACTCTCAAAGAAAATCGTTGATAAATGAGGATCGAATTTTCATTGAACAGTCGGCAATTAGGTTTTGGTTAATTAGAACCTCGCTTGAGTCGATCACGCGGCCAACTGATCGGTCATCTCGATAAGTTTAAACTAGTAAAAAGGAACATACTAACTCGTTTTTATTTAAAACTAGATACAATTCGTTTATTTTAAGAATTCTGTCCCTTTGGCCGTTTTCACTGACTCAAGTCAGTTTTAAGCTAATCCTTGAGCTGTCAAGTGACTGTCGGACGCGATTTGTTGTTCTCTCAGCAACCCTCGCGAAGAACTAAGAACCGATTAGCTTTTAAACAAGGTTTACCAGCTTAAAACTACTTATATTTGTATAAAATAATTCTAGCTTAACCCTAACGACGATTCTTGTTTGTCTTTTCTAGTAAACAATTCTTCAAAGCCTCTTCTTGCATCAAACAAGTTAGAGGAAATATTTCGCGGGCTTTAATTATGATTTACTGAGAAATCTCGCGCTTGTAGGGAATCTACCTCAAATGTCTAATTAAACCATACCTTCAATTGTATAATCGTTAAAAGCTGATGCTTGCAAGAAACAGATCTCCCTTTTTCGGGTCGATCGTGGCCTAACCAACCAAACTTTTCGCCATTCTAACTTTTCAAAACACGGTCTGACTTTGCGGTGAAGCTCGCGTCAGCTTCATCGCGTTCTCTGATTGGCTACGTATGCGTTAATTAAAATACTTGGTGCTTTAGAAGGGTTTTTTAGCTTGGGAGTATTTGAAGAAAAGAAAAAATCTCACGTACTTGAAAAATTTTCAGCAACATTTTTCCAAGTCAGTATCAAAATGTTTCACGGCTGAAATTCATGGCATTCAAAACCCATGCGTGGTCTTTTCAACTTGTACCTTTGTGTAAAGCGTCTAAGAGAATCATCGCTGAGATTGTTATGCTGGTGAGAATACTGCTGGGCGGAGTCGAGATTTTGACATACCTTACATAGATTAATGATCGAAGTTTATAACCCAGTGTGGTGCTGAGCTGAACGTACCCGGGGAAATAGAGCAAAAATAAATAAATAAATAAATAAATAAAAGCAACCCGGGGAAGTCACTGCTTTTTAAGTCAGATACATGTATATCAATTTTAACACAAATAATAGATCGGGACCGACAACTTTTTGGTCTTCACTTTCAATTTTATTGATAACCTAAGCGTTACATTATATTCTAAGCATTAGGTTCTGTCCTAGTTGAAAAAGTTCTCTTTATGCCCTAATGTTTTTCCTGAAAAAGGAATATCATTATGATGGATATTGCTACGACATTACAATCATGAAAGAATATTTTGATTAAGATATTAAAGGCAGGCCAATGCACAGCTCGCAATTCTATAATAAATTGAATTCTACACGGATTTTGATTAGTTCTTGGTTCTCATCTATTGGAGGGCAGACGCATAGATGACGTTATCATTAATAACTTCAGTTTTGCTTCTTTATTATATAAAACAAATAGATTCCATGTTGCTGTGCGTATGTCCTGTGGTAGATCACATCAGTGACACACTTGGCTGCGCCCCGTGTGCCACGTTTTGTTCAAACCCCATTTTAACGTCTCCTGTGATCTGTTATTGCACAGACACACGGCAACATGAAATCTATTTGTTAAAATAATTACGGGGACCGTCTCCTTATGGGAAAAGTAAGAGATTGTGCATAGGCACGAGTTGTCATGAACTTATAATAATAATGATGATGATGATGATGATGAAAATGATAATAACGACGACGAAAGTGAAGAAATTAAAGGCACAAACAATTGGTCAGATCTGGCTAATCAGATTGGTTCATTCATAAATGGTACATGTATTCGGTAATAAGTCAGAACTTTCCTGTCAGATGACGTAATCACTAAACTACAATCACTATTCCGATGGATTTTTATTTTCAAATTTAAGGAAAAGTCTCTTTCGAAAGGCCTCTTTCCTACTATTCATTTATGAAACTGGCCTGATCCAGGCGTTTAGTTGGTAAAAAGAGCGAATAGTAAACGGCGCGATGCAGGAGGTTTGGGTCGGGTGGCGACTCGACCCAAGCCTCCCTGTTTTTTTCTTTTTTTTTCACTCCTCCGCTGTTATCGCGCTTCGCTTTACTAACCAAACGCTTGGAACACGCTCTTTTAATCTGATCAGTCTAATCAGTCAGTTCTGAAAAATGGTAAGCACCCTAATTATTGTAATCAACGCATTGTGACCAACTCTTCGGACGATGTCGGATGGATCGCCACAGTTTCGTCAAAATCTTTTTTAGTTGCCCCCATCTTGACAGCAACGGAAAAACCTTGTAGCATCTCATCGCAGCCAATCCCAAGAATGTGAAGTCCAAGGATCTATGGAAAAAGAAATCTAAAACGTCAATCCAAAACACTCACTGAAATATCCGTTATACTTAACCTTTACAAACTAATATCAGTTTAAATGGTTAAGAATGTATGAAAGTCATATATTTGAACTGCGGATAAAGACGTGAATGAAAGTGATCCTCACAGTAATTTGCACTACTTAGGCAGTAGTGAAAATAAGGCCTGAAAAAAAATTCAGGCCTGTACGGGATTTGAACCCATGACCTCTGCGATACCGGTGCAGCGCTCTACCAACTGAGCTAACCAGCCAACTGGGAGCTGGTCATGATGTTGGTTCTAAATAAACTCGTGAAGTGATGAATAAACGGTTAAGAATATATGAAAGTCATATATTTGAACTGCGGATAAAGACGTGAATGTTTAAGCTTGGTGTGAATGAAGTAAGGGTATTGCTACTTCTGTTTAAAAGAATGCCAGACCATTGTAAGTTAGCTCTCTCCTAACCTTTTCTTCAGGCAGGAGACAAACAAGTTTCATCATTGTGCTGGTCTTTCGATGAGTAAGCGCATGATACATGTTGCTGAACGTAGCCTTGTAAACTTTTATTTTATCTTTTCCATATTTCTGTTCTGCCTCCTCTGAAAAAAAAGAAGACGGTCAACTTCAGTTAGCCTTCTCGTTTCATTTGAGTTACAGTCACTCTTTCCTAGCGGAGGTCGGATACCTGATATCGTCTTCAGGAAATTCTCGTTGTTGTGCTTTCAACGAGCTCTCTATCGCACTAGAAACCCTTGTTGATAAATTCCAACATTCGGAAAATTGTACTGCCTGCGCGCATGGTGCAATGAAGATGGCTTAAGTTGCTTCAATTGGCGATTCGCCGGCCTCAACAACCGATTTTTTTTAGTCGCATATTTTGCATCAATGCGGCTTTTTTCTATGTTTTCATTTGAAATTTGCGCGGACAACTGCTGCGTTACCGGCTAAAAATTGATCCCCTTGCACATGCCCAACTATTGACCGCTGTGTTATAAATGGTAGTTACCCTGAGTTAACCCCACAGTTCCAATTGGTGGATGACTGAACACCACTGTTGGTATGTTGTTGTAGTCTAGTTTCAAATTCGACTGTCCATCGAACAATCTGTGGGCGAGTCTTCGCCCAGCTGCAATCGCCACTGAAATAGAAACATACAAAAATTTTAATAAAAAGTCTATAAAATACCAAGGGTTAATTTCTCCTGAATTATCACTAATTCTAAATTTCAGGTCTTTCTATATCCGTTCCGCTATCATATTTGCGCTTAACAAATCGTAACCTGAGTCGCTTCTATTCCTGCCAAAGCAAACGCGATATGCGTTTACCAAACGCTTGCGAAAACGTGCACAAGAGCATTTTACTTCAATGGCTAACAACTGTCCAATAACCACAGCTGTGCAAAAAAAGGGAAAAAAAAACGCAAAATTCCACACAAACTCTAACTTCGAGGTCGTATTTCAAGATGGTGCTTAATTTTGGCACCGCAAAGTTCAGAAAGATCGGAAAATCATCGGGAGTCTTAAGGAGTGTTCGGAAGTCCTTGGAAAGTCTTAGGTAATTGTTCGGGAGTCGTCGGGTTTAACGGAAATTCGGTATTTTGAATACTATAATCAGACTCATTTTGAATGTTATAATCATGACTCGTGAAAATCAGGCAGGTATACTATTCTGAGAGTAACAACTGTATATATCTTTACCTGGCGTGAGAAGTGCTTTCCCGCAAACATCTCCTAAGGCGTATACACCTGGCCGGGAAGTGTTTTGAAACTTTGCGGGAAAAAAAATCAAACCTTTAGAGATCTCGTACCAATCAGGCTTAAGATACAAGCACAAGTGTCTTTTACGATGTTTTCATGATTACAAACAAACCTCATCAACTATTATATGTCCTTTACTGTCGGCATCTATTCCCTGAGAATGTCAAAAGGTTATAATTCTTATCAGTAAGTGTCTTTCAACTAGTTTTAATGCAAGTATAGTGATGCAGAGACAGTCTTGAACTGTTCTATCCAAATGGACAAAGATTCTCGCCAAAAATCCCCCTGTCATATGGATGCCCCAACACACCTGTTGCTTAAGATTATTTTCATCGCATTAAGGGTGCTGTGTATGTTGTTGCTTACTTACCAGACCATCTATTCCAAGGGAGTCTGTGTTTGGAACTCTCCCAATTGCCAGTAAGACGCAGTCAAACCCGGACAGAGCCACCTTATCTTGCTTGTTTTTCAAGATGTGAATGGTCATCAGACCAGTTTCACTGTCTTTTGTGATCTCCTGAATCTAGAATGTGCGAAAATATTGAAAACCTTAACTAACAAATCCGAAAGCATTTTCCGAGACCCAATTACTCGAAATTTTTAAATCAAAATAATTTAACACCAACAACAACAAAAACCATTCCTCATCTTCCTTGATTAAGTAATTTATTTTCAAATGGTGTCAGAGAGGGCACAAATCTTCAAAATTGTAAAAAATGTGAAAGCTTCGAATAAAATGGACAATTCAATGAATTTTTAGGCTGCAACTGAAGATCTGATTGATATAATTTTGTTGAATAAAAATTCCTCCAATTAGCGAATCGACATTTCTTGAAAGATTGTTTGGGAGACCAAAATCAGACCAAAGATCACCCCCTGTAGTTGACAAGAAGAGTTATTTTTAAATTTAAGAAAGTTTAAAAGCTTATCAACAGAAGTTAGGTGTTGACCACTGAAGCCAGATTTATGGTTTAACTTAGTTAGTGTTTAACTTACCGAAGTGTGAGTTTGCAAGTCAATTCCAGCTTTCACCATTTCATTTGTTGCCCCTTCACTAAGCATGGAGTCAAACGTTCGCAAAACCTGTAATTAAAAAAAATTTCACATACCCACCAACTTGTTTAATTATTTTGTGCAAATAACACTATAAACTCCCAAAATTTGAAGAACTTTATACATGCCCTATTACCCTGTCATATCTTATGAGAGACGAAACTTTGGACCCAAGAGCATTGAGTATTCCTGCTAACTCAATGGCAATATACCCTGCTCCAACTACAGCAACTTTCCTGAAAAAAAAAAAAAAAAAAAAAAAAAAAAAATATATATATATATATATATATATAATGATATTATTTCTTACAAAATCAGTAAAAATGCTCGAGATGAGGGAAAGGAGATTCTTTATACCCTGATATCATTACTCTCATATTCTCCATATTGTTTCCTTTACATTTACCATGTTACTGATGAGGAGAATGTGTCAAATGATCGAGTTCAATTTCCATACTCTTGCAACCATTGTGATTCAATTAGCAGTGATACTTGCAGGAAAAATCAGATGCCAGTCACTCTTGGAAGTTAATAATTATGGTAAGATAACCAAGGGGAATATAACTCAGTGGTGATTGAAAAAAAAAAAATGGTCCTTGGCCAAGCAACACCTCTTAGTCAAGTATCGTCAAAATCAAGACTGTACAGATTTTTTCCATCCACAAATGAGCCCAATAGTCCATGTCACAAAATGCCCAAATGGTAGGTAAATTTCTGTTGGTAGGCATATCGCATAAACTGTCCTACTGCATGGTTCAATTAAACAGATCATGCACACATTCTCTTAATGGAGAGAAAATTTGGCTGCTGATAACCAATCACACTCAAGAATTTTGTTAAAGTTTTGATTACTGCTAATCACAAAATTTTGCTTCATACACTCACTTTGGTAGATCCTCTAAATCAAAGAAGCCATCACTGGTGATACCATACTCACAACCTGTTCAAAGATGATTGGAGGTAATCAGGAAATAATTTGAATTTGTAAAGACGTCATTAACTTAACAACACTAATTTATTCATTTAAAATTGTTATAAATTTTATGACGTTATTCACATACCAAATGAATGTCTACCCTAACCTCTAGAGCTCATTAACTTACAGCCAGTATTATTAGTTTATTTTTTTAAAATAATTAACCTTACAAGATGATTAATTCATTACCACAGGGCTCAAGCCTCCACCCTTTCTGAAGTTGCCACCTGGCAACCTCAAGAGTGCAAAAGTGGTTATTCATTTCAACAATAAAGTTGCCTAACAAACTTACTTTTAGACATTCCTGTAAATTATCAGTTTATGTCACACCTGGAAATGCTGGTACAGTTGGCCGCCCTCCAATTGCAATTAAAATGTGTTTACTGCTGTAAACAGCATCTCCAACTTTAACATTGCCCTCTGGAGTGAACACAGCATGACCAGGAATATACTCCACATTATCCTACAAAATAAGGCAAGTTATAGCTAGCTACTAATTCAGTTAATCCATTAAAAGAAGAATTTCTAATCATACATTATTTATTATCTTGCTGATTGCCTGACTGATTGAATTTTGTCACTGAAAAAAGTTAAAACTTAAAATTAAAATAAAACACAAGAAAAGTAATCGAAAGCTGTCTTAAAATCACCTTTTTCAAGTTGTTCTCATAAATACCATTCAGTCTCTTGACGTATGCATCTCTGGACTTCTTAACAGTCCTGATATCAAGATTAATAAGCTGAATTATTTCCTAATAGCACAAAGATGTTCTTATTTTCATTTAATTTCATAAATTTTAAGCAAGAAAGATGAGATCACAGTTAAATTAGATGTAGAGAAGTCTAGGATAAAAATCTGATAAATTGAATGCTGTTGTACTTACGCCCATGAGAAGTTATTTAGAGTAACGTCAAAGCCATAATCAGCATGATCATGAATGTATTCTGCATGGACAGCTGTATTAAACATAACCTAAAACCAGAAGATGCCTTTATATATCAGGACTAAAAGTATATCACAACACAAATTGTCCTCTTTTTCTCTCTCTTATTCAAAGGTTTAAATGAAGCTTGTGCAAAATGTAGATTAGACAAGTTTATTCACAGGAAGTCTGTCTAAATTATATGTTCATAAGTTTTAGGGGCTCAATGGCAGAAAATTACCAGAGCTGATCCACAGTTTCTGAAGATGCAAATTCACTGCAGGTAACCCCCCCCCCTCCCCCCTCTCCCTCCTGGCATTCCATCCTTTTCCTCTGAAAATATAGTGGTACTTATATACTCCTCTCTGGAGAGGGGGAACATTAGGTAAGGGTGCCCTCTGTCCAATAGTAAAATACATTGTTCCTCCCACAGCGTTAGATCTTTAGATCTGAGTAGCCCAGTGAACTGATAATTGGGCATGGCAATATTTCCCCTTAGAGTTAACCTAGTCTACACAGACTTAATTTCAATTTCAGAAGACCCTTGTTATTGCAGAGTTTATTTCAGTCATTTCTTTATGCGTTTCACCTGGGGGCTGGCTCTTGTCTGCAATAGCCAGGTGTCCATAATAGCTAGGTGTCTGCAGGACAAAAGTCAACTGTAACAGAAAAGTATATAAGAGAGTGGAACTGACCTTCTTAGGGACACAGCCAACATTGACCTAGCAAAGTGAAAACAGAAGGAGGGTTACTTATCCTGTATTACCATGTTACCCTGCATTAATACTTATGGGCTCGATTCTCTATCTCCATTTTCCCTTTAACCCTGAAGAATGACTAGCATCTAATTTCTCTTTGCAATATCCCCCCTGATTGTTAAATGAATTCTCCTCATCAGCACCTCAGGAAATATAGAGAGAACAGTATGGAGAATATGCACATTGATGGTAGGGTGTACAGGGTTAATCTAAGTTTTTTAATTTTGCAGGGAAGGGTACGGTGTTCTCCTTTTCAGGCGCTAATCTAAAAAAAATTTATCACCTCTGGAACCTTGCATCACCACCTTAAATTCTTTGGAATTTATTGAAAATTCAATGGGTTAAAGGATTGCTCTGCCAGTTTGAAAATTTCTTTTACCTGTTGTGCTTAAAACAATGGAGAACACTGAGGGAGTTTCTTAAGCTTAATTTCCATTGATTTATTTAGCTGGGTGTTTGTCTTTGCCTCCACAAAAGGAACTTGGATTCGTCCCTCACACAGCTATGAGTTATTTTATGAGAACAAGACTTTGTACATATTTGAGACTATGAATATGCATGACGAAATTTTTCTGATTTTCAAGAGCAAATGTTTAAGAAACTTTGATTTGGTTACCAGAGAGAAAAGGTTCTGAAACCTTTTTCTGAAAAGTCATCTGTTATATTAAATTGAGTACATGCCTTTTATTAACTATAATAATAGCCCACTTAAGGCCCCTCTCATCTTTGGATCACTTGACATTTTGAAAGTAATAATGACTGTGCAATTTTAAAATAAATTTTTTTCTCCATAGTATCGTGTGATTAAAATTTAATTAATTTGACTTATTGAAATTACCAATTAGTTTATGACTAGAGCTGAGGTTGTTAGTAATTATTGCGGCAAAGCGTGATCAATTTCGCGGAAAGAATAGTTTTTTTGAAAAGTCTATACATATTTATGACTACATATAGTCATATGACTATGGCAACAGTTTTGCTAAAGTACGCATGTAAAATTCTTACCGGGATGAATTTTCAAGATTGAAAAAGACGGATGGATAAAGAGGATCTAACACTAGGTGCACACAACGACTTCACATCTTGCCATTATTATGTTAAATTTGTTGTGTTGTTTGAAATACAAGAACACAAATTGTGTACAGTCATGCTGGTGGAGCTATTTTGCTGTGCCCGATTGTAAAAACCATCAGTGGTACCAGCAAACAACATCTGCTGATTCATTGCTTTTGGGGCAAGGAACAAGGGCCAATAAACAAAGCATAGCTGTAGACCCAACCCAAAAGGACTTAGTTAATCCTAGTTAAGCTAATCCTTGCTAAAATCAAGAAAACTCACACAAGTTCCACCGAGTCTTCCATGTTCGATCACAGCAGCTTTTGCTCCGAGCGAAGCAGCTCTTCTCGCACTAGCGAGACCACCAGATCCACCACCGATTGCAATGTAATCAAAGGTTTTCACTGTTTGAGACATCATGAACCGAGAACACAACCTCATTTGAATTGGAAAGTAATGTGATTAGGTCACGGCGATGAGCAAATTTGTTTGTGACCGAACTTTTCTCCAGTTCCTCTCGCTGGTACCGACTCAGAGAGGACTGGAACATTGAGTTATTTAATCAACATGGCGGCAGTTTGATTGCGTGAAGGGTAAACATCTGAGAACCCTAAAAGATTTTCTCTTGTTTTCTCCTACGAACTGGTGGATGACTTTGTTGTGTTATTGAAAAGTGTTCTTTTGTGATTTTTAGAAGGAGAATTGTTCACAAGGAAGTGTTTTTGGGGATCAGAGGAGTTTGTTTACGAGTTGCTATGCTGTGTGCATAAACTTAGAGAATTTGGATTATGTCGCTCGTGTTATGAGATCCTGTCATTGAGCCATTTTAAGAAAACAATTCTTAGTTGTAGAGGATTTTTGCTTAGGGTTAAGGTTTTTATTGACAGCGTGCTTCGATCTGTGGGCCTGAAAAAATATGGAATTTTGCAATGACTGAGATAATTTAGAAGAAACAGTTTGAGTTTGTTGGCAGACAATAAACAACCTAGTTTGCTAGATCAAGAAGAAACGTACGCTATAACTTCCGGACGTCATGTCTCTACGGACCAGAATAAATGGCTTTACTGCATGGGTAAACCTCAGACTTAGTCCAACAGGACACTTCATGCACAATATATTGACAGATCTGCTGAAGGGGTACAACATGAAGGTTCTCTTAGAAAGTTAGTAACATTGTCTTTTTTTTTTTTTTTTGAATTTTTAAAGGGTCAAAGTTGGGATTTGGTCGTTTCTTTGCAAATTCCTCCCCCTTCAAATTAAAAGTCATTTTTCTCCAAGACCAGTTTACGAAGGTCTCAAGAAAAATGTACTTTTGATCTGTCATGAAAGGATTTTTGATTTATAGAAAAAAATACATTTTACTAAATAACATGTATAGAAGGAAATGAGTGAGGGGGAGACATTCAGATCTTAGGAATTGAAGAAAGCAAAATCACAATTCCTTTCTTTTTTTTAAATTTTTTTACTCATGTAAGGTTTGACTGGACGGCCGCTGGAGAAACTGCAGAGTTTTGATGGGTAAGTGTTACTTTGATGACATCAATAAAGGATGAGAATTGCAGTTCAAATTATCATTTACTTGTTACCCATGGTTGTTTGTTTACAGTGAAAGTTGTTGTTTGTTTGCTTTGATCTCTCGTGTGGTTGGTCCCAACACAATAAAAATTCCTGAAAACATGATCATGTTTTCCTAAGGTATGCAGTATACTGGAAAATTTTATTTTTCTTCCAGACTGACCCAGCAACAAAAGACAACAAGAGTGGAATGGATTGTGAAGGAATTGAAACATGCGTAAGTATACTAAATAGCACATGCCTGGAACCAATTTAGAAGTAAAAGCCATCATGCGTAAGTAAATAGCACATGCCTGGAACCAATTTAGAGGTAAAAGCCATCGATAACATGATTGATGTTCATGATAGGGACAGTGTTCTGTTTAAGTGTTTTTACTAATCATCTAAAAATGTATCTAGTCACCTGTGCAGAGTCATGTATGAACAAAGTTCAGATCAATGTCAGTATCTGAGCAATTGCATACCTACATACTCCTCCCTTAACCCAACTAGTCAACTGACAAAATTAAGGGTTAGGAGAGGGGTAGGTATGCAGTTGCACAGATACTGACATTGGTCCTAAGTTTCTCCCTGAAAATGTCTAAAGTTTTGACACCAAGAATAATTATGTGCAACTTGACATCCAAGTGCTTGAAAATTACTCAGTTTTTTGGTAAATAATTTAATATTTTTTCTGATATTATGATTATGTCTTCAGGAACATTATCCCCAAGGACACATATGTGGATTCCAGAATGTTTGCCATGAGATGTGCAGATCAGGTTTGGAATCTTGATTATCAGGGAGCTGATGTGAATTGCATGAAAAGTATATCAATGCATACATGCAGTGGTGCTAATGTCTGGAAGACTGGAGCCATTTCATGGAGTATCCAAGCATGGAATCTGAAGTTCTGGGGCTTGCTTCTCCATGGAGGCTTAGAATGTTTCTTTGTTTTAGACTCTTGATGAGACCAATGACATCTTTCCCTAACTTTTAATTTCTTGAATTTGTTCTTAAAAATCAACAGGTGTTTGATTTACTCTGGTGCCTGGTTTGTCATGACATCTGGTTTGTTTGGGAACGATCTGAATTCCTTCAACAAGCTGAAGGACAAATGCTGACGTCAAAACCTTTCTCGGTAAGGAATGTACAATTACATGCAATACAAGAATTTATCTAGGGCATGATATTTCAACCACTGGTTTGCAGTTTTAGAAATTACCTCATAGAAGCATATATTAGAAATCCTATGATAATTTATACATGGAAATAGTCTTGATCTATTTTGTCTGATCTTTGAGGTATCTATGATATTTATTTGTTTGATATTTTTTATTGTGTTGTTTGATCTTCCAGGTGAGAATAGTTCTGAGGGGAACTTTTGTCAGTAGTAGTGACTGAGGCTTTTAAAATCTTAGAGGAGGCCATCATTGGGGTCAAGTGAAGACTTGTTTGTCAGTTGAATGTTATAACCCAAAACTTTCACACTCAACTGGAAAACATCCCCTCATTTGGCCCTGATTGTGCTCAAAATGAAGTTGGCAAACATCAGTTTAAGAAACTTCTATAAACAAAAGAAAGCAATCTCCAACCGTGTTGAACAAAACCAACCTGAGCTTCAAGATGTGTTTTAGCTTTGGTGTGAATGTGGTATTCATGCATGACCAAATTGGTTAAGTCATTTACTGTGTTATTAAATATTTATTTGATATTTATTCAAGTGGACTCCTCCACCTCCGCCACCTAAAACCCCAACCCTCAAGACAGAAAAATCCATGCTGTCAGGATTTGGATCAAAATCACTGATTCAGACACCAATAACCTCCCCTGAGGTAAGGAGGAAGCTGGATTGAAATATAAAGAAAAAAACCTTTTTACTATGCGACATGCATCTTTATATATATAACTTTAATACTATTGGATCAATGTCAGTATTTGAGAAACTGTGTACCCACCCCTCCCCTAACCTAACATTCATCCTAACTTGTTATCATTTGACTGTTAATGGGTTAGGGGAGGGGTAGGTACCCCACTATGCAGATAATGACTTTGAACTTTATTAATTATATCAGCTATGTATTATTATTATTATTATTATTATTATTATTATTATTATTAAGAAACATGGCTGGAAATTATTGCTTCATCATAATCACCAGTTTCTCTTCTTATAACAGGTGCCTTCTCCTAGTCCAACAAATACGGCGTAAGTTCTTTAGAAGGAAAATTCTCCATTAATTGTTTAAAGCTTGATGTTATACCCATAGTGGCCAAAGAAAATTTGAAAAGAGATGTTTGTTTTTGATAACCTTGTCTCCGGAAACATCCAACAACTTCTTTGTGATGCCTTTGTTTCTTGGGCAAGACACTTTTCCTCTCACCTAGTCCCTCTCCACTCAGGGGTATAAATGGGTGCCTGAAAACTGTCAACTGAAGTAAACCCTAGAAAATCCTGTAGGGGGAGGTGGGGGGGAGGGTTTCCCCGGTGATGGGTAAGCTTCCTATCCATAAGGAATAGTTAAATTTGTGGTTGCCTTATGCCTGAGATAGGGGGTTAGCTCTTCTAGCTATGGACTAATTAGCTCGTAATCTTAATCTCCCTCTCTCCCCCCCCTCCCCACTCTCCTCTTTGACTACTACAATAACTCTGGTATACAAATTGAAAACAAACCTCTCAAGTTTGCTCTGATTGTCCAAAAAATCCACCTGTATCAGTTTGTGCACACTAATCATGTGAGTAATTATGCAGAGCACAAATTGACCTATGTGAATACTGTATGTTGCCTTGCAATGGTAAAGAAATAAGCTTGAAATTAAGAGGCACTTTACAAGAATGACAATGAATAGCTTTCTTGTGTGCCTACCCATACAACAGGAGGTCAGATGACATGGTGAACAGACGTCACAAGTCAAGAAATTATCCATCACCAGAATACTGCATCTTGGATATGGTGAATGCCCACCTTAAAATGAACAGAGAGGGACGCAAACTCACAAGGGGTGTTTTGGTATGCACAAGTCCAAGAATATGTAGCTTTTACAAGTGAAATCTGTTTAAGAATAAATTCTTTTTGAGCTTGCACAACCTACATTTTTTTTACAGGGTAGTTTAGTATTGTCAATTGAGTTGATAACATAAATTGGCCACTATAAAGAGTTTAGAGGGTGATTTTTTGAGCATTAGCCCTTTGTTAGAGCAATTGGCTCTAACGCTCAAAACGTCGGCTTTTTGACACTTTACAGTGACAAATCTATGTCATCAACTCAGTATATAATACTAAAATTATCCTGTTATACTCTCCCACCAACACAGCATCACAGTTTCTTTAGAAACTTACCCCCTTCTTCCATTCTTTTTTGAAGTTTATTGAACCTAAGGAACTCATGATGTGTGTTAACTTTTAAGTGATTTGGGGGGAGCCACAATCCTTTGGTTGAAAAACCAACAAGAGGAAAAAATAGTGAATTTATGTTTCAAGTGCTAAGCATAATACCTCATGTTCTTTAAGTTTAACATCAGCAAAACTAGCCCAAGGTACAGTTAGTGTTACTTACATAGGCAACTGTGAAAGTTTTCAACAACAAGAAAAGATTTATTGTTAAGATGAAAGTGGTTACTGTGTATTGTAGATATTTTATTCTCTGAACTGTAAATTAAAGTTTTAGTTGATAACTGTTTTTTTGCCAATTTTTAATTTGTTACAAGGTCTTTCATATTTATACTAACTTAGTATGTTGTCTCCACAGAGTTTGAGTGATCTTACAGACAGCAGGTATGAACTGTGGATGGAAAAAAAATGAGTGACAGGCAAATTAAATGAAAAGCAAGCAAACACCCCTCAGCTGGACTGATAGATAGACTGACAGATAAACTGACAAAGAGATGGACATACAGGCAAAGTCAGCCTGACAGGCAGATAAATGGATGTTGGACAGACAGACATACAGACTGACAGAAAGAGAGACAGACAGACAGTCAGGCCGACAGACAAAGAGACCAACAGAAAGTCAGGTCAATAGATAGACAGACAGTCAGGCCAACAGATAAACACACAATCAGATTGATGGACAGAGCCGGGCCAACAGACAGCAAGGCCAACAGATAATTAGGCTAACAGAGAGATAGATAGACAGATTGACAGACAGAGCCAGGCCAACAGACAGCAAAGCCAAAAGACAGCCAGGCCAACAGGCAGACAAACCAACAGACAGACAGGTAGAAAGGCAGACAGACAGACAGGTAGATAGGCAGACAGCCAGGCCAACAGACAGACAAACCAACAGACTGACCGACAGACAGATTGACAGGTAGAGAGCCAGGCAAATGGACAGTCTAACATACTTTTGGGTTAATTTTCAGTAGTTGGGTTGGGGTGTGTTGAACTTGTTTTCGAATAGTGGTATCATGACAATGTTTTTATATCTATAATCATATCAATAAATTTGTTTATTTACCTTAAAATGTCAACTTTTGTTTTTCTTTTTTCTTTAGGGTCCTTTGTGCTCTGGTGAACTCATTTGTTCCAGAGACTTTCACCACAGAAGTCTTATTAAATGACCGGTAAATTTTCAATATATTTTGAGGGGAACGAATCATTGAATGGATAATTTATTTACCCTTGAATTTCAGAGGGCTGTAGATGCAAAAAAATTGTTTATGCAATTTCCAACTGTGACCATCACAGCACAGAAAAAAATAAAAAAGACGGCCGGAACACAAGGAGTTTTGTGCCCTCCTCTTTAGTTGCGTCTACTATGTGAATTCTAAAACATCCTTTGTCATCTGTACTGTCACAGTACAGTGCCACGTTTCACCCAGGAGTATATCGAGGAGGAAAAAAGATTACCGTCGAACTGTCCGAGGAACCGGACAACGTGCAGGGAGGGGGGTGGTTTTGTATTAAATTTTCCCAATTAGTATCATAGGAATTGTATGGTAGACAGGAAGGAGCATTCTGAAACCGAGATAGAGCAAATTTTGATCAGACATCGACAGTAATTCGGAATCAGTCTGGGTTTGCTTCAATTTGCTCTATGATTGGTCCAGAAAACTCGCGCCGCTCTTTAAACCAATCAGATTCTAATGATAACCAATCGCGACTTTATCACCCGCGTTTTCCCGCGCTTTAGTCAGTTTGCTCGTTTTTTTCTGGAGATCTCATTGCGATATTTCCGTTGTTCTTATTGGCTGTTTGTTTTTTTTTTTTTGTAGTTTGGTTTGTCGACATACAACCATAAAGCGTTGTAAACGTCAGTGGTAGGGGTTTCTTTGCTTGTGTGCAGACTTGACGTTGTTCTCTAACCAGGTTTTTTTTTTTCAGGTGGACAATAAACCTCGCGTTGAGGACAGCAAATCAAATGTTTAAATCTTCAAATCCCTTTGACTCTCAAGACTTAGTTGAGGTAAACTAAGCTCGGAATTTTGTCAGTAATCTGATTTAAAAAATGTGCATGGATGTAACAGTTTTCCTCAACGACAGTTTAATAAGGGCGAAGCTTTCAGAAAACTGCTTTTCTCGGAACAGATGCTGTCGGCCGTAGAAGTATCTGAGTGTATTTTTATGCTTAATGAAGGTTTTTACAATAAATTCACTTCTCCTTCAGAAATTGATAATATTGAAACGCCTTTTGCGGGTTTTCATACGGAATCAGTTATGTTCCTGTAGCTCAGTGAATGATTTGTTTCCTTCATTCAGGGTGACATAATGTCTGTATGCTGTTATTTTGGATTTTTCTTCATGAGTGGATACAGATATCGACAATCCAGAGCAGTGCTCAAGAGACTGGTGAGTTGTCTTAATCTTTAGCGCATCTATTGATGCTTAGAAAGATGTTTTTGAAAGCGCCGGTGGTGAGTAGCCGAGTACGCGAGTGGCCGAGTAGCCGAGTGGCCGAGTGGCTGAGTGGCCGAGTGGACTACTTTTTGGCTCTTTTTTGCGAGACACATCTAATCTGTTTCGGTGCTATGATCTTGTACTGCAGGATGAATTGAATGTCTTGAAAATTGGGATCAAAGACGAAATGGAACAGTTTCCATCCCTCATTACCAATGTAAAGAATCTAAAGAGAAAGAAAGAATTAGAGAATCTTATATCTGTGTACGATGAAGGTGAGGCTCGCTTTCTTGTTATGAGAAATCCTTCGGACCTTTTCTCGCATTTCAGCTCAGTCCATGACAATGGAATTGTTAAAATTTTTAGATTGTCGAAAGTAATCTGGGATTGCATTTTACTTTGCTCTCTGATTGGTCCAGAATACTCACGCCACTCTCTGAACCAATCACATGCAAAGCTAAAGCCAGCCGCGACTTGGTCGCCCGCGTTTTCCCGCGCTTTAGGCAGTTTGGTTGTTTTTACTTTGAATTCTGATTGGCTCTCACAGGAAATTTCCTTTCTTCTGATTGGCTGCGTGATTACTTTGGTTTTGCGACACTCAGTCGAGAAACGTTCTAAATCAAAGCCACAATGATTGTTACCTCTCTGAGAGAGATGTCAAGATATCTTTGACGAAACATCAAGCATAACTCCGCTCGCATACTCACTTAGTCTTGCATTTGTCGCATGTTATCACAGCGCAAAACGCCATCAAGGAGAGTTTGTTATTTAACGATATTGAAGAACGGTTGTGAAAGAGGCCAATGCTTCCTCAAATTGACTCACTTTCGAAATTTTGATCCTGACTCATGAGTTTAGCGGTAACATACGATCGTCTATTTTTCAGAGATCCAGTTTTTAGAGCAAAATTATGACATTGCTAAATGTAATGTTTGGATGAGACAAGTAACGGAGATACAAAATAAGGTTGGTATATTCAAATTAGAATGTAATAGTGTTATCTCCAAATTCCAAGATTACTGCGTCTTAAATTAACTGTTGTTTTGTTTTTGATACAGTGTCGAACAATTGTGGCAGAAAAAATTGTGCAAAGGTTTGATATTGTCAAGGTTCCAAGGTAAGTTTCATGCATATAACTGATGATCACAATAGACCGTTGAAATGTTGCGTCATAAACGGCATGCCTTACAGTTTGGAATGAGGGGTCATCTCCAATTCTGTAGTCGTGCATAGAGTTCAAACTTGTTTTTTGTCTTTGTTTTAAAAATTAGGAACACAACCATCAATGATTTGGCAGTGGATATGATTATCAATCTGGTGAGTCAGCTCTTGATTATAGCAACCTTTGGCAGTGACGACTAGAACGTGGGCGACTTTCCTCCGTTTGAGTCCTGGGACGCGACCGTCGCTCATTGCGAAAGTGATTCAATAGTAAAAATAATGTTTTTGTGGTCAGTCCGTCTCGGCAAATGTTGTCGCATGCAATCCGCGTCAATCTTTTTCATCCCTAATCGTCCATGTTCTTGTCTGGTTTATTTTTACCCGCTTGTTGTTTGTGTACCTTAGTGATTGGGTATTTCTTGGCTGGTTATCTGTGAAGAAGTTATTCTTTATGGAAGATGTAAAAGTGACGTGTTACACTACTTCCCCCGGTTCAACTGACGGAAACCCGTAGATTTACAAAGGTTGAGAATGAGGAGGGAGTGAGGGGGGATTGAGTAAGGTATCTTACAGTTTTATGTATGGAAAAGGGTCTTCGCTTAATGTACGAAGTGTTAATTTTTTTCTTTCCTTATTTTAGAGTCTGACTTGTGGAACAGGGTTTTACAGCAGTAAGGTTCACGAGACAGTGTGGAAAGGTCGCAAGCTTGTGATCAGAGACAAAGAAACTGGTGAGTTCGTTCATGAGGGGCTGTAATTCACTAAACAGTAATTTCAAGTTTATGACAGCCAATCAGAACGAAAGAAAATATCGCAACTAGCCAATCAGAGTTAAAACAAGCAAATTGCGTAAAGCGCGGGAAAAAGTCAGTGACCAAGACGCAGTTGGTTTTAAGTTTGAGTCTGATTGGTTAAGAAAGTGGCGCGAGTCTTCTGAAAATCAGAGAAAATATCGAAAAACAAATCAGTCCTGGATTAATCTTGAAATGGTTTTCAGTCCGAGAAAAACAGAGTTTATTGTGTTGTCTGCTCGTCCGCGTAATAGTAGTCCTGAGAAGGACTGGTATCCACAAGAGTAACTGAGGTTACTGAGGTTCTCCAACTTGTGCGGACGTTATCAGCAGTGTCAAATGAAGAATTTTTTTATTTCTCGTTCACTTTACAACCATAAAGCGACTAATTTCAGTCTCCTTCCCTTCTCTACTATATTCATATCATAATTGTTTTTATTGCAGGTGAATTTTTCGATGATTTTTCCGGGAATGCAGACCATAAAGGTGAGGCGTCTTGGTGGTTTTTGTAGGAGCGTTTTTGAAAAAGCTTTTTTCATCAAACATGCATTGTGTGAAGTACTTCTAGCTCATAAGTAATCGATGCATTGACTCTTCCCATATTTAGAAACTGTGCGTCAAGTACTTGGCTTAGAGGAAGATCAAGTGGCGGAAATTAGTGGCGATCATGAAAAATATGAGGTTAGAACTCTTAACAGTATGCGGGAAATGAAAGGATCAATAACTTAAAACACGTTTTTAGCAGAGAAATTAGACATCATAGAAGTTTGGAATTTCTGAATCATTTCTTAGTGGGATATCGGTCGTTTGTCTATGCTTGGAATATCTCACGGTTTTTTGTAGTGATTGTAGTTGTTCTGAGTTGTTATCAGTCTATAATCTATCTTTCACGATGTTTCTTTTTTAAACTGCAGATATACTTTGAAAGTTCGTCAAGAAATAAAACACTGAAAGCTGGATCCTGGTAAGTCAAATATAAGCCATTGTTTTACTTCCTCTCTCGCACAGTGACGCGGTTTCAACAAATCGATGAATATGAAGGAATCGAAATGAACCCCAACATTTTTACCTCATTTCGTCCCATTTTAGCAACACCAAAGTTTGGCACTCTTCTAAACCGCTCAATTAAAATGTTGCTAGAGTTTCATGTATCTGCTAGGTAATATGCGCGAGTAAACATGCTTATTAAGCCGTTGAAAGCCGCAAAAAAAATAGAGCAAGAAATAGTAAGGGCCGGCGGAAAAACACAAGTGCAAAGCGGAGAGAAACACGCTACCAGTCAGATGTTAGGAAACCCACGCAGCTAGTACTAAGCGTGAGATGGAAACAACCAATGATAATGGCGGAAAAACATGCTACCAAAGCAAAGTGTGGGAAATAGGTAACTTTTTACAAGGGCGGGAAGGCACGCAACAAGTAATATACGCAGGAAAACACTTGGCCAGTTATAAGGATCGGAAAGCGTACAACAAGAGACTGGCAGGGGAAAACAGGTAACTAGTGATAAATGTAAAAAAATCCGAAGCACAAAGCGCTAAGCACTCGTCTCGCTAGTTGGTTTTCAATGCAGTGTAGCTTGAAAATAACAAGAAGAAAGTAATACAATACTTGAACACTCAAACATGAAAATCGAATGAACAAAGTGTATTTATGTACCATTTTCTACAGGTTTCTGTACCAAATATTTCCAGGCACCACATTACAGTGTCAGCGATTGTTGTTCAAGGCAGCCAAGACGGGAGAATTGGATACAGTCCAAAAACTGGTACGAAAACTTTTATAATCTAAGGCATGTTTTTTGTTTTGCGTAATCCGAGCTCTTTTGATGATGAAACTAATTCCTTGTTGACTAGTGCATAAGTATTTGGCATGTTTAATTCCTGCGTGACGCTCAACTGATGGCTAAGGGCCTATTTACACGGTACGACTTTGTCGCATGCGACAAAGTCGTGCCGTGTAAATAGGCCTTAAGAATGGCAAGTGGTCCAAATGTTTTAGCAGTCCGCTGAAAAACAACGCGTTTTGTTAGACAGCGGTTCGTAAAAAAGGCTTTCAACCATTTTTCGAGCTGAAAAGGGTAACCCACCAACCAACCAACCGATCGAACTTTCGAACTTATACCGTAGGCTTCTTTTTTTTAGTGGCTGGACTGCCTGAATGACTGGCCGCACGACTGATCGATGGCCTGATTACCTGCTTAATTGACAGAGTGATTGACTGTCTGGCAAACGACCTCTTTCATTGACACACTAGCTGGCGAGCCAACTGATTAGTAACTGATTGACTGATTGACTAATTGACTCGCCCGCTGATTAACTCGTTACTTGACTAACCTACGGAATTATTGTTTTATTTACTCAAAGGCTTACTGAATCACAATTGATTTGCTAGATCGATTTGCTTTAACAGGTGGCCTTCTTTAATGCAGACAAGGACTTCATCAAGTCCAAAGAGCATGGGTCTGGCAATACAGCTCTGCACATGGCCTGCAGGCACGGACATTTTGTAAGTATCGATCACGTTTACTTTTGCAAAACTTTTTCACTCTCCTTTGTACGGCCGCCGCTAAATTTCTTGAACTCTCAAATTCTTTTGCGGAGCCAGTGACAGTCACAAACCAAGCTCGATGAGTGGATTTAGACCAGAAGTACTTTAAATCACAAAATGAAACAAACAATACAGCGGTAGAGGACCGATTTATATTTAGCTGTTACGTTGCTGTAGGTTTATTTGCCCTTTCTGTTTTCTTTGAAATAATTGGTTCGCAGGATATTGTGTTATATTTGTTGGAAAACGGAGCTGACATTGATATGTTTAACAATCACCACAACACGCCTTTTTTCCTCGCCACTGAAAGCTTACAAAAAGAGATATGCCAGGTAAGGAACAGTGATTTCACTTGGTTGTCCATCTCCTATGACCGCTTCAAAGAGAGAGATCGCGAAGCCTTATGGGAGTCGCACTGGACTCCGGATTGAGAGGTCTGGGTTGAGCTCTGGCCGGGTGATTGTGCTGCTTTCATGAGAGAGATGCTTTGGTCTCGCATCCGTATCATTTGATCAACTGACTGACTGAGTGAATGAATGACTGACGAATGGACTGACTGATTGACTGGCTGAACGACTGACCGGCTGAAGGACTTACTGACTGACTAACTACCTTATGGTATGACTAAGCGATAATTTGTAAAAATTTTTTGATGGACAGCTTCTTATCGAATGGGGTGCCGATGTGATGAAGCGAAACAAAAGCAGCAAAACGGCGTTTGACTTGATGCGTCATTATGAACTCAAGAAATTCTTGGAAGGTAAAATATTACATCTTACACCAGCTCCTAACGTTTTTAATGCGATGCAAGCTTATCAGGTAGTCTATTCCGGTTGTTCAGAAGGTTACTTGACGCTGCAATGCAACATCTCCTAATTAAATACATAGAACACGATATATGGAATGAATTGTATTCTGTTACTACTGTTAACCCTGAACAGCTTAACATCAGTATACTTACATAAGTTTACATACTCTCTATACATTCAAGTTACCAAGGTGCTGACAAGGAGAATTTCTCAAACAAAGAAGAGTTTTTTTAGTTGGTGATCATTTCCTTTATTTTAGTGACCTCAATGTTTTTTTTTTAATTCAAGGGAGATATTTAAGGAGAAATTAGATACTAGTTACTCGAAGAGGTTAATACTGCTCGTCATGTTTTGTTTCCAGCCAAGTATAAAGAATGGCAAGAGCTTGTCCCTAAGTTGATATCAGGAGACATCAAGAAACTAACTGCTGTGATAGACGCTCATCATAGAAGAGAAAAAACTATGGCCAGTCTCAGAAGCAGGTGATACTGAGATTCGATATCCTTTTGGTAGTATTTTGTTTTGGTTTTATCTAGAGCCGCTCTAGTCACCAGTGATTGTATCAAAGAACAGCCACGTTAATGCGAAGCTAGTGACATCGGTCGTAAAAAATAAAAAATCAGATTAGAACTTGAATATACACATCAGCAGTAATAGGCAATTTTCCTCATGGTGGGATGGGGGGGGGGGGGGGGGGGGAGGGGCGGTACCAACATGTTACAGGCAAGACACCCCTCCCCCCCCCCCCTCCTTTTTCCTTCTTTTCTCCTGCAACGTTTAGTCTCATTAACTGTGATGAGGGGGAAAACAAAGCGTTTTAGCTCCGGGACTCCTAGAGGACGGGATTACCCAATAAGAAGCGTAACAATGAGCGCATGCAAATATAATACAAGCACGAAAAAGCTGCCAACAAGAGATGAGACTCAGTAAGAAAGAATGCACGGTTCTTTTGTTATTCATCATGTTTTCTTGTTAATCCCGCAAGGTGTGTCAGTGGTAGCACTCTACTCCATACTGCGTCCTTCTTTGGAGCAATCCCGGTTATCAAGGTACTCTGTGTGACTGAATGGTTGCCAACTCAAATGCTTTCTCAATTACGCTTATCGGCATTATCGACGAAAAAAACATGTTTCGCTATTTCTTTACCGAGCTAAAAAAAATTGACCAACTTTCTTACTCTTTATACAAACATGACGCTATCGACATTGCTAATCCTAGCAGTATGCAGGACGTGTGTCATGTATGAACTTCGTAATGAGCCCTGCTCACTGTAGAGTCTCTTTAGCACAGTGGTAGAGCATCAGAGCGCGAAATCCGAAAATCTGAAGTTCAATTCCTCATGGGAAGGTAGAATTTTTGTTTTCTTTGTCCCATGGTCGTGACATGACGAAGAAACATCTTTTTTCTTTACCGAGCTCAAAAAAGTTAACATCCTTCTTATTCCATTTCTAATTATTATTTTTATCATGTTTTTCATTTTCAGACCTTGCTCTCAGAAGGAGTGGATGTCAATACTTTGGACTACAAAGGAGCCACGCCCCTGCACAGAGCCAAAGATGCGGCCACCGTGGAGGTATGTGCCATTAACACAAGCTGGTCTTCACTAACGTCAAAGTCGGTGTCTTTATCTGAAGCGTCGAACGTTACGGTACAGTGAAAATAAAGCGGAAGGAGAAGGAGTTGTTGGCCATCGAATGGCCTGGAAAAGAGAGTTGTGATTGGTAGTTGTCTGCCTTTGCTTGTGACTCCGACATACTAAACGATTGAGTTATAGCGGAGTTCGCAGCGCGCGTAGCGTAGCCCCATACCTATAATAAACGGCATCGGAATCTTCTTACGACTACGATTGTCGATGTTCACTGTGCCATTAGCGCCCCTACAACTCCGAATACATCTTGGACTCCAAATTGGATCTCAACTAAATTCGTCACTTGTGGAAACCGGCCTTTAATCTGCATTTGAATTTTAATGATCCTTTTTTAATCCCTCTGCAAATGTCGATTTAAGAAACAGGTCGGCGTAGCCGCATGCTTATTTGTTCGTTTGTTTGATTGTTTATATCCTTTCTTGATTTTGCAGCTTCTCCTCGAGGCAGGATCAAACATTGACTGTGAAGATCATGATGGCAACACTCCACTGCATGTCAAATGTTACGGAGAAAGCGGAGAGCCTACTGACTTAGAATGCATTGAAAAAATGGTACGAAAAGTGTGCATGTAAGGAATCCTTCAAACATTAGTCAGGGCTGGTGAGCTTTCCAATCGACAATGATGCTGGTTTGAATCCGATAGCGACAGGCGTTCCAGTAAACGCCCGCGACCCTTTGTTTGATCTCAGAAACGTTAAACGTGGCTGCTTCTTGTTTTTCAGCAATAACGCGCATGGTTTTCATCTCAACGTTTTGCTTAGAGTTTGTTATTATGTTTATTAATTTTTTTAAACCTTTGTTTTGTTTAGCTGATGAAAGAAGCTCCTCTCAATACCAGAAATAATCGAGTGAGTACGAAAATGATTTTTCTTGTTATTATGTTGTTTTTTTTAATTTTCTTTTTTGTCGTGATGAACTTTGGATCCCGTTTCAGTTCCCCCGTCTGTTTCTCCCGTTGCCGTTCTCGTTCCCGTTCTTTCCGTCTTCGTTCCCCCTGTCCCCGTTCCCCCGCCGCCCCTTTCCCCTCGTCTTTGCTCCCCTCGTCCCTGTCCCCCCCCGTCCCCGTCCTACCGTTTCCGTTTCCCGCGTCCTCGTCCCCGTCCCCGTCCCCGTCCTCCCTGTTCTTGTCCCCGTCCCCCATTCCCTTTAAAAAGCAACAATCCTGAGTAGAACAGAAATCGCAATTTTCTTTTGAGTTCCCTTAAATTTGATAATGTTTTTGTCAGGCTTCTAGGAACTACATAGCAATGCTTACAGATCATCGTGACTTCACCTAATTACGTCATGTTCCTAGGCAAACTCTCGTGAGATTTATCAGCCTGCGCAGCACGGGTTTGGGGGTTGAGGGGTGGGAGGAACGGAGCTATATATACACAGAAGATAGCAGTTGACATTTGATGTAATTTATCAGGACTTGATGCCTATTCACTGCTGCGCTATGCAAGGTCGGATAGACGCCATTCAGGCTTTGCTCTTCTTCGACACTGAAGGAATCATAAGGCAAAACTTGGAGATGGAAGGCGAGGTATTTAGGCTTTAAATTGAACAAATATTACATCACCCAGTTACAGATAGATCGGGTAAGACGTGACCGTTTGCAAATGGGTCAGTTTTCATGAAGAGTTCATCTTCCACGTTTCAGATAGTGATAAACCTTACGACTTCATAAGCTATTTTTCTGAGTGCATTGTGTTGCCGTCTGAGTAAATTTGGGTTAGTGAAAAGATTCTGTTTTTTAGCTTTGCCGAATCGTTGAGTTTATTTTGCTTTTATAAACTGAGTTACCGGACTCAGAAATTTTGCGATACGAATTTATTTTTTTAACTTCTTCAAATACTAAACAATCTTGTTTCTTGTCACTTTAGAAAACCCCACCCAGTCTTCTTCATTTGTCTGTGGCTAACGACTTTCTAGATTGTGCAAAATGGTGAGCAGCCATAGATGATTTCTTTCAGCTAAGACACTTTTATTGATGTTAGTTTTTCGTTCTGGAACTTGACCGTCCAAATAACAAAGTGCGCAGTACGTTTTGCACGCGAGAGCTTACACGTTTCCCGCCTTTTGCACTTGTTACAAATTTTCCCTCGCTTGTCACGATTTGCTGGTCCCCTTTTACCTGTTACACACTTCCACGTGCTCTTCACGAGGTGCACGTTTTCGCGCTCTTTTCACTTGCTCCACACTTTCGCGCGTTTTTGACAGTTTCACGTTTTCCTGCGTTAGAAATGCTTTAGCTTTAAAATGCTTTATGGTATGAACTTTACTGTGTTTTAAGGCCAGGGCCCAAAAAGACAGTTTCGGTATCTTGTCCTGCATTGCTCATAGAACACTCTCGTGTCTTTATTTTAGGCTAGCAGAAAACAAGTTTGAATTCAAGGAGAAGGAAACAGATTTACTTGTGCATAAGATTCTGCTTGAAGAAGTTCCTTGGTAAGACTTTATTGATACAGCATCCAATGTAAAATATTTAATCTTGGCCTACAAACGAGTTTTTTCAAGACCAGTCGATGGATTTGTATACTTTCGCAACTGTTGTCTGATCTTGTCACATAACATCCTCTCTTCCATCGTTGGAGTATCTGACTTAAACCTCGGAGATGGCTGCGGTTGAAATCTCCTCCTCCTAAGTTTAAGTACTGCGTGAAAATTGTTTGAAAATAGTTAGCTAAAATTTTTAATGGCTGTATGGCGCCTGTGTGGGTCGATTACGTTGATTTTTACTCATTTTTTAATTTTATTTCATGAAGTGGTGATCGTGTGGCAACCGTCAAATTTCTCCTCGAAAATGGTGCTTCCGTCAATCCCACGTACCCAGGAGGAAATACGTAAGGCTTTAATAATATGATTGTTGTGAATAGTCTATGTTAATCTTACTATTAAATGGATTAGATTAGAATTATGTGCATTATTGTCTTACAGAGCTCTTCACCTGACCGCCGGCTTGTCGAACGCTTCAGATCTGTTAGAGTTGTTATTGTCATTTGATGCCGATGTTGATGCCATGAACGATGATCTGTGTAGTCCGCTGTTTTACGCCGCACAGGCTAATAATCTGTATGCGGCAAGTCTTCTGTTAAATCAAGGTAAGAACTTTTGGTAACGAACGGACGAACAGATAGACGGTTCAATGAACGAACGAACGAAGTGACGAACGAATGGATGAGCAGATAAACGAACGAATGGATGAGCGGATAGACGAACGAACGAACGAGTCGACGAACGGACGGATGAATGAAGCGGATGGACGAACGAACTAACGAACGGAACGAACCGACGAAATAACGAAATAACGGACGAATGAGCGAACAAACGAGCGAACGGATGGACGGACGGACATAAGAACGAACGCATAGACGAACGAATGGATTTGCGGATAGACGAACGAACGGACGGACGGACGGACGCACATAGGAACGAAAAAATTGATAGATGTGCGTCAGGAAGGACCGAAGGATAGCTAAAAAGAACTATGAAACAACGAGTAAACTGACAGAAGGACGAGCGAACAGACAAGAAACTAATGGTAGAACGAATAGAAGAACAAACTAACGGAGGAATGGACTGACGTATGGAAGGACGGAAGAACGTAAGGACATACGGATTGATGAGGTTACGCATTTTAGTCGTGTTAATAGCCTTCTCTTCAGTACTCAAGCTCTAGTAATCTAGATCGATTGTGCTTTGGTCATTTTTTCACAGGAGCCAATGTGAGGACAAGAAACTTGCAAGGTAAGGCATAGCTGTAATAACACCAACCTGCAAAGGCTGCGATTTTAACGAGCACTCTTTTCGTTTCGTTTCCTTTTTCAATTTTATATTTTTTTATTACTATATCTGCCATCACTTTCTGGTCAAAACACCATTCATTATATACATTTGTGGACATTCTTCCTTATCGTTGCCATTATAATTTCGACGGTCGGTCTGGATATCGTTGTCGTTATCCTCAGTAGCGTTACTGTTACCATTGCCTTGATCGTCACTGGTGTTGTTCCAGAGTCGCAAACTGTGATTTTAACAACTTCAATATCTATCCGTGCTGAACATTTAAATTTTCGGTCTCCCTGCAGGTCTGTCTGCCTTTGATTTTATCTCTGACTTCGAAGAGTGGATTGAATGCGGTTATTTCAGCGAGGAAATAAAGGCGAGATTAAAAGGTTTGTCAGCAAGAATACACTAGTATCTCCTCAGACGTCAAAATCCTATTATTCTCAGTCTATATCTGGCCGGGGGTAAATCGTATGATAATTTTCTTAGATGAAAGACTGTGAAATGAATTAGACATTTCGTCGCGAAGTGAATCAATTTGCACATGTGTAAATGACATCTTTTTTTTTGGTTCGTTTATCATATAACGCTTGTCTAGCCTTGCTTGTTTTTATCCTCTTTGTGTAATTGATTCTTTCCTTCTTTCGTTTTTATCTCTTACACTGGCGTTGAGATGTAATTACGAATATTATCAAGACACACCAGAGGAACGCGATCGCTTTAACAAGGTCATGATGAAATAGTGATAAGTCTTTCTTACCGAAAAAGTTTTAAGTAACCCGCTATTTTGGCAGCCATGTACAGCTGTTTCGGCCCTATTTGGCTCATCTGCCTGGCATGTCTGTCAAGATGGCCCATGAGAATCCTTTCTTACTTTTCAGCCTATAGCCTCAAGCATGCGCGGGATCTGGTTCGAGCTATAACCAAGAAAGTTAAGAACCAACCGAGACTTCCCACGTCACAGCAGCTAGTGGGTCGATCCCAGCCTGCCTTGTCGGCAATCGGTGGTGGTCATGTGCCTCTGATGCTTCCGCCAATCAGAAAAGGAGCGACGAGTTGAAGCGCGCGATTATCAGCTGTGATCACCTGGAACAGGCTGCTGTCCTCGCTTCTTAGATCTTAGAAACACAAGAAAAGTCTAAAACACTGATCTGAATATCGTACGCGCTTCCATTTGTAAATTGTAAAAAGTTTTAAAATGAGTGTAGTTAGTTCACCTAGTGAGCTTCCTAATCGGATATTGCATTGGTTTTACTCTACCTCGCTCTGTGATTGGTGCAACCCTTGCGACACTTTCTTAACCAATCAGAATCAATACTCAAACCAATCACGACGTGGTCAGTCATCCAAGTTTTCGTGCGCTTCAGACAATTTACTTATTTATACTGGAAGCTCACATTGGTTCTTTGTTTTTTGGGAACCACTAAACAATCTTTTCTCGTGAAGAGATAGTTTTTTAATGCTTCGATAATATTTATAATTTAAAAAAGCCGGCCGCTTAACCCGGTGTGTCCTTTAATTTTTTTGTAACTCCCCACTTCCTCCAAGGAAGGAAGCTTACAACGTAATAGCATAACGGCCCAAGGTCGGAAACATAACGACATAAACAAAAGATCAGCAATCCCTCCTTTTCGGCGAAGTCCGTCGCGCGAATCGAGAAAAAGGTGGAAAAAAGATCTCCATGAGTGAGGCGCCTCACTTGTGGAGCTACCGTCGCGCATCGACGTCACTCAAAATAACTCCTCGTAGCACGCTAGTATCAATATTTTTTAATTTTTTCACCGATTATTTTTAATCGGAGCCAGTTATTGATTATGAGCCACCTCGGATAGAAGTCCCCCTTTAGCTTTTACCCTTTAGCAGTACTGATCGAATTACGTTTTGCATTTACCGATTATTAACTCAGCTTCAAAAATTTCATATTTTTGAAGCTGAGTTAATAATCGGTAAATGCAAAACGTAATTCGATCAGTATTGCTAGAGCTTGTTCGAAAGCATTTTTTCTACTACGGTTCTAGGCCCCCTTGGATATGAAAGCTCTCTTACAACCCCTTACGAAGTTGTATAAACTCAGGGATTTTCAGCGTCAGGTTTCAGTATGTAACGACTCTTTTCACTCTATAAAATAACGTCATAACCTTCCTATGCCATGAGGCTCGTCGAATTGTTGGCGTGTAAACCAGGCGCAAAGCTAGTATTCCTATTGCGTGACATACAGTGACGTTTGCGTGATTAAGTTTGAAGTTTAATATCGAGCCGGCAATGATTTGACCAGAGGATACAAATCCAAAAACATGCGTATTGAAAAGGAAGGCATTGCTCAAAATTAGATATTTTTGTCTTGTTTTGGTCAAAATTGGCGGGTTTTCGCATTGTTTGCTCAGGAAAACTTATTTTAGCTTTCAGAAGAGGATTAGAAATTCGGAAAGGTATCATTGCATTCATAAAATCGCTATTAAATGTTCCCTGGTGCTTCTTCGACGGGCTTCTGTAAGTATCCTGACAACTGCTCTTAATAACAACCTTGAATTTCCTTTTGTTGATGAGTTCGTTGACTTTGTATTTTGGTGTGCAGCAGGTGTTGATGTTATATAAATGAATGTATATGTTTTTCCTCTTAGACCATGCGCCGTTTAGTAAAGGCCTCTTGGTCTTAACCGGAACAGCTTCGTTCTTCAACATCCTGTTTGTATCCTCCACAAGACACTTGTTCTCAAGTAATCCATGGATCCAGATTGTGCATAACTCAAAGGTGAAGTTCGAATTTCATTCTTACTTTTGATGATAGTTATTTACTGCGGTCTTCAGTTCTGTGAGGTTAGTTTTCAACACACTGATTGCATCAAAGACGTAAGATGGCCAGAGACGTTATGAAAATCAACGACTGTAGGGGAAAAATTGGTAAAATCTCCGCACAGCCCCATACTATTGTAAAACAAATCTGTTTTCTCAATGGCAATGTATTGTTTTAGTCCTTGTTTTCTCTATTCAAGAACTGAATACATAATGAAGTATGGGGCTGTGCGGAAATTTTACCGAAAAATTTCAGTCTACTAAATACTATTCTCAAATAAAGCCCAAGTCCTAAAGGGAATCTATTGTTTTCTTTATCCTTGAGCTGCATGCATAATGAAGTATGGGACTGTGCTAAAATGGAAGCTTGAAGCTGAGTTATAGGCCTGACAGAATCTAAATCTGATAAGAACTATACTTCCCATAACTGGCAGAATCCGTACATAAGTAATCTTATTTAATGCATTGTTTCATACAAATCTCAAGTAATTTTCAATTCTTTACTGAAGTCCTAAAATTGGGAACCCTCTTCTTGTTTCAGTCACTTGTTTGTCAAATCTTTTTAGCTTTAAGATGAAAATACAAGAGTTTTTACTTAAATAATCACTGAATTGGCTAAGCCGTACTTTCCCAGCACTTTTAAGTGAGGTGGCCTCTCCCATAAGCCTGGTAGCTTCCTGGGTCTCCCTGCCTTCTATAGATTATAATGCTGTCAATAATTTTTTTTTGTGTAAAAGGCAAATGAAATGATGATGATGATGATGAATCTTTATTTTTTTCTCATTTTTCAGTTATGGCGAGTTCTGACCTCAACTTTTTACTATTCAAGTACTAGAAATTTGATTTGTGGTTCATTTCTTCTTTATTCTTTCCGGATCTTTGAGAGACGATTTGGTTCTAAAAGATATGCAGTAAGTGATAATTAATTGTTATAGGGCTGAGTGGAGTGCAATTCAGTCTGTAATCATGCAAGTGATTAAAAAAAAAATCACAAGTATAATAACAGAGAGAATTGGTTGACATTTAGGAGTCCAGTGTTACTAATCAATCAATAAATACACCTGTTAACTTGGTAAAATGCATGAGAACAGTAAATGCATATGACATGTACTGTCCAAGTATACTGGCATGATGCACTTACTATCCTCTTACACTGTCCAATTACAAGCATGACATGTACATAGTCCTATTTGTGCTCAAATCAAACTACTGATAATGAATCACATTCAATAATTTTGTTCTAGTTTCGATTAATATATTGATTTTGATGAGACTGAATGATTTAACTGGTAATTTATCATTGGTTGTAGAATTTTTTTCTTGTGTATAGTCAAGTTACTTATTATTTTTATCTTTACAGTCATATATTTTCTGTACCTCTGCAATTGCAATTGGACTTCAACTTACCTCAGTAGCTGTTCTCAAACATTTTGGACATGAAGTAGGACTTCCTCCAGCAGGACTGTATCTTTTTGTCTTTTAAAACATGTTGTCATGCTTATGTTCCATCAAATTCTTTAACATGACTTTAATAAAGAGTTATTCACTGTAAAGGAGGTGAATAATGGTGGATATTTACATGTACCAAGCTGCAAAGCATTGAGGTAAATATCCACTACTTTCACCAACAGTGACGTGAAGTAGTGTTTTAGTATATACGACACAGAACCAAAGAATAGTTTATTTCTGTCAATGTGCCCAAAAATGGTCAGAAATGTACTCTTAAGATGCAATTTTTTTTCCTTCAGTTGCCTATAGGGGAATAGTACTTGCCAATCACTTCCAAACTAGCCAATCAGCCTGTCTGTTTTGGCTCATGAATAAATCTCATCACCATAACTTAAGGGTTACCAGGATAGCATCTAATATCTCCTCACAATATCACCCCTGAATCACACCTTACGCTTACGAGAAGAGAGGAAATGATCACCAGCTTAAGAAGCTCTTGACTGTTAAAACAAATTCTCCTTATCAGCGCCTTAGGAAATGCACAGAGAACAGTATGGAGAATATGCATATTGATTTTAGGGTGTAAAGGGTTAAGATTATAGTATTTTCCTTACATGTCCTTCAACACTGACAGTTTTGGAGTGCTGTTTGCAACTCTTGTCAAGTATTTCTATGATGTCCCAGCATCAGATGCTATCACCTTCATTGGATTCCCAATCTCGGGAAAAATATTTATTTACTCCATGGCACTTCAGGTAAGTAGTTTTCCTTTTGGTCTTTGCACCAGGTGTAATTGTTTGCTATGTACTGGTTTTGGGTTGCATTAGGAAAACAGAAGAATTCCCAATTTCTTCCTGATCTTTCCAGATGATCCTGAATATCCAAGATTTTGTTCTTGGGGAAAGATGTAAAGTTAATTTATTTGTTGCTGAATTTGTTCATCATGGTTTTAAAGCACAATCTTTAAAATTATTATGTTAAAAGTCATTCATTTATTTCTGTACAGATGCTGTTAGCTAATAAGGAATCACTCTTGGCTGGCATTTGTGGAGTGGTAAGTGTAGAAAATTCTACAAGTTGTTAACCCTTTTTATTTGGCATATACTGAGGATTAACGCTAAGAAGTACTATTGTTTATGTCTCTGACTGGACGAACAATGTGTTTTCACAGTCATTTGCCTCCAATCTTTGAAATGTGTTTGTCAGTAAGAAAACCTGAGTATGTATGAAATAAAAATAGTATACCATGGAAAGTGCTTGAATGATTTTTATTCACCTGGTGCAATGCATATAAAAAGTTACTTGTTCACTGTGCTCACTTGTTTGTTTTTATTTTTATGCATCACAACTCGTGATTAAAAATTGTTGGGCACTCTGCATGGAATAACCTTTAAAACTCCTGTGACTGACCAAAACAGCATCTCTCTCTACAATATCAATACAATATCAAGTAGACAAGTGATGAGAATAAAGAAAGATATAAATTTAGAGGATTGTAACCAATGATTTCATGATACAAGTCTTGAAAAAATACAGTAATAACATTTACTACTAACTTGTACATCCAAGAAATACTATAATTATTTGTTCTCCCCCTATTTTACAGGTAGCAGGATTTATTTATAGGTTCAACTTATTTCAAGTTCAACAGTGGTTGAAGTTGCCAGAATCCCTGACGTCAGCTGTGTCCAGAGCATTTGGTGGATTGTTTTCAACAGAGACTACCCCTACTCAGCCCTATGCGATGGGTGCAACGCTGGAAATACAGAGAGCACAGCAAGTGGAACATTATGAGCAGCAAGCAATGAGGGCAAGAATGGGACATCTTAGAAACAGGGTGTGTATATTTAATTGTTCCAACCTTATTTTTCCACAAAATGTAGTCACTGTGATCATCTGATGGATCAATGTCAGTATCTGTGCAGCTGTGCACCTTTCCCTCTGCTTACCCAAATACCAAGGTAGGGTCAATGATGTAATGTAAAGCACCTTGTAACAGCCAATGCTACAGTGTAGTGTTGGTCAGCAATGATAAACCTTCCTGTGTAGAAATCCATGTTCTTATTTATTGAGCATCCAGCCCCTATTCAGCCCCTCACAAGTTTCCACTGTAAATGGACACTGTAACATCAGTTTGTATATTCTCCATTCTGTTCCCTATACATTTCCTATGGTGTAAACAAGTAGAATTTGTTTATCAATTAAGGGTTTCTTTAGATGGTGACAATTTTCTTTATACCTGTAACCTAAATTTGTGATTCAGGGGTATAAATATTGTAAGGAGATGCTTGATGCTAGCCACTCTAAGCAGGCAAAGGATTAAGTTTAAAAGTAATTTTTTAGTAACATCTATATTTAAATATTTGATGTCATCTAGGGTCCTCCAAGAGTAGGCCAAGGATATGCTGATGTCCTCCTCCCCCCTGGGGGAGGAGGCTGGCTTTGGGGAGGGGCAGGTGGCCAGCAGCCGCCACCCCCACCTCCACTGAATAACTGGCATGACAGAGGTGCTGATGTAGACAATGCTAACATACCTCAGCAACCAACCGTGGAAGTGTCAGAAGAACAGGTTGGTAGAAATTGTTGCTTTCAATCTTTCAATCTTTGAACCACGCAAGAGTCAGATTGTGGCAAATGTAGCATATTTTGCCGTAACTGTTTGCAAAGATAAGACAATGTAAAGTTCCTCTTTTCAAGCTTGGTTTGGAAGGTGAGGCAGAAGTGAACAGTGGAATCAGGTAATCGTTTTGGGGCGAAATTTTAGGATTAAAAGGTGTTGATAAGTTTTGAAACATGCATCAGAACCCATGGTGAGAGTTACAGAGGATAGTTGGAAGTTTACAACACAAGTATTTAATATGCAGGGGTTTCAAAACAAGAAAGTTTCATTGGTTACTTGATAACATGTCGCTAGTTGCTCTGGTCGAAATTATTACCTTTTGGCCCTTATTGAACTTTTCACAATTATTTTTGCAAAGTCTGACTCCTGCTTCGAAACATTTTCAAACCCCCGAATGTGCTCTTATGGGTCTGATCATCACCAGCCTGTTCACAGACCACCTTTTTTCTCTTACATCATTATCTAAGTGGGGATGAACTAAAGAACACAGATGCACGGGAAGGTAAATCACAGCTAATGATGAAAATGATGCTGGAGGGTGGCTATATGCTGTTCTTATCCCCCAAAGAAAAAACAAAAAGAAGTGGTTTTGGACAGGCTAGAGTAGTAATACTTATTTGAAATTGAAATGTTTACACACTTCAATCATTGAATGACTGTTTTGAGCTCAATCAATTTTTCATTGTTTGTGAAAGGTTCAGACTTTGGTGGAGATGGGATTCTCTAGGCTGGCTGTCCTCCATGCCCTGACGGCAAGTAACAATGATGTCAATGTGGCCACAAATATTCTATTGTCACAGTCTTAGCCTTGATCAAGTGTTGTTAGTAGTGGTTCACTACAGCATCTAGTTCTATATGGCGACTGTCTGTCAGAGGATTTCTGTAAATACAGTGTAAATCCAAGATCAAAATATTACAGATGTAAAAATCTGCTTTTGAGAGACTCAACATAAGTTGGTGTAACATTACTATTATGTTACGTGCATGTTAATTTTTAATGTAGAATAATTTTAACAGTGGAGGCAATTGGAAGCTTTATTATGCAACTGTGGTACTCTGGAACTACATGTACAGTAAAAAGGCCAGAAAAAAATGAATAAAATAAAATTACTCTAAATAGTGATGAATGCGTTTTACAGTGTTAAGCTCAAAACCAATGGAAGTCAACTTGTGTCCTTTTTGATCCAAAGGTCCTGCCTACATGTTCAATCTAGGGTTATGCATTTAGATAAATTCTGCAATAAATTCTGCAAACCGATGAGCTTCAAATATATGTACAACTTATACAATGCAATGACCTCCCATAAATCTTAATTTTACTTAATCACATCTTGATTTAAGACCAGTTAAGGTCAAAACTAAATTCCACTTAGAACTTAGAACAAACTTAAATTCACTTTCACTAGTTTTTTGTCATGCTAATTTTTGAGCATACTGTGACATTATTACCATACTCAGCTCTCTCTACATGCTGTGCCTGTGGACATACTACCATCCAAGAATGAGTAAATTTTTTGAAGACAACAAAATTGCACAGGCCTGTAGGGCATGTGCAATTTGTAGTCTTTGAAAAATTTACAAGTGTTTATCACACCAAATTGCAAGAGAAATCATGGTATTACTTGTTAAAAATTTGCATGGAAAGACATCACAGAAAGGCAAGACAGATGAAATTTTGAAAGCAAGTATGTGCTATTTGTAATTTTGCACTTGTATTACATGAGAATGCACTCATTTTCAGCCAATCAGAAGCAAGTAATTTTCTCATGTACATTATTGAAAGTAAACTTGCTCATTCACAAAACTCAAGCATGTCAGAATCCAGAGTCACTGTAAGTAAATATTAAATATTTAGAGTTCTTGCTGCATCTGCAATCTAATAGTCCCAACTCAGATGGCCATGAAGTAGTTACAAAGTTGTCTCACAAGTATGATTTGGCCTGTCAGTAGATGTTTAGCAGCCCCTGTAGAAGTCACTGAACTTTGTCTACAAATTGTACCATTGTGTATGAACTCTCCAAGCTCATTTCAACTTGGTAGACTTTTTGTGGATTCCTTGCCATAGAATTGACAGGGTATACAATATATCCTTTCTCAAAGTTTGCAGACTAATTTGTACATTTTTTTGTAAAGTGAATGCTCACTTCAATACAGAAAATTTCTGCTTTGTAATGGAAATTTCACATTAGACATTGATAAGTTTTCTCTGTTAAGTCTCAAAGACATCAATTATTCAACAGACAAATGAAATCATGCTTCTTGCTCTGTTCAAAATTTTGTGAAATGTTTAGGGAAATCTTCATTACTAAGACCCTTCCTCAAAGGGTTTAACCAAAAACATCTTGTTACCGGCTTCATCTGTAAAGATGGGATTCCTCTTGTAATGTTCTATTAAGTCTTCCACTCTGTCAAAGCTTCGTGGACCAATTTTATATTTTCCATCTGTAAAATTTACCCTAAAATGCTTGATTTTGTCTGGAGCTTTCATGGACACTGAATATCCTCCCTCCTAGCAAGACAAAAGAAAAAAATAGGCTAATTGTGCTTTAGTTTTGAAAAACAATCAACCATGTTGTGTTCATCTCTGGGACCAAATACAATATTTTTTCAGCAATTAAGCATCTTTGAGAGAAAAACCAAAGAAAAGCTTCAACAGCAGACCCTGAGATGAAACTGCTAAGGAACATGAACAGAGAAAAAACTCTGCGTCCATCTCTGTCCTGTTCTCAAGTATATTTCCATTTGCCCACATCTCTCTTATTATGGATCTGTTTCTAAAAGGCAACTTATGTGTAGTCATGACAGACTCAGTGACAGTGACTGTTCTTCATACATTTCCTTAGGTGCTAACAAGGAGAATTTGTTTAACAATCAAGAGCTCTATCAGTTGGCTATCATTTCTTTCAATCTCACAGCCTCAATGTGTGATTTAGGGGTAATACTGTCAAGAGAAATTAGATGCTAGTCACTCTTGGGGTCAGAGGGTTATGAACTTTTGTTATCGGGAAGAAGGTTCTGTAAAATCAAGCTTCAGTTGAGAGCCTAACAGAGAACTTTTACAGGAAATTATACAATCCTGCAGAACCCTCTGATTGATTTTTTGAGTCCTGGTTGTCCCAGAATTAAAAGTTGCCCCACAAGTCCCTCCCTGTTAATCTAATATAAGCATGCATATTTTCTATACTGTTCTCCAGAAATTTCCTACGGCACTGATCAGGAAAATTTGTTTAACAATCAAAAGATTCTTACACTACTTTTCTTTGTTCATCTGAATTAAACAGTTCCATTCAGCAGCAACATTGTTCACAGAAATATCATGCTCGCAACACTTAAAGGTTGAAGGTGTAACTTCTTACCTGAGTTTCACTCACTCTTACTAGAAAATCTCCATCCGCTGCATTTCTATTCAACATCTTTTCAGCCTGAACCCTGGTGATTTTCCCCCAAAACCATGCCTCATCAACAAATGGAAGTTTCTTATGCTGAGGCAAAATTGCTCTTCGTGGTTCTTTACTTTCAGCCGCTGGCTCAGCATTCAGCATTGGCATTTTGCCTTCATTGTCTACTTTTACGATATAATTACTAGGGACCAGTCCTGAAGAACCATCTGACTTTTTTGCGACCCACCACTCAGGGTCATCATCAGGTTTCTCAATTATATCCAGAATCTCATCCTTTTTAAAACTAAGCTCTTCAGGATTTTTCGGATCAAAGTTATACAGTGTCCTCACTTTGTGAAGTACTGGTTTATCAGGGATAGATTTAGCAACTTTTGAGTTCTCTTCTGCAAGTACATAATTGGATGGAAACCAGCCTGAATCTTTTCCGATTTTTCCCTTCCACCAGCCATCTTCCTTCTTCTCAAGAACAGTTATTCTGTCACCTTTCTTCAATACAAGTTCATCATCATGTTGTGGCTGGAAATTGAATTTAGCAATTACAGTTTCTAATGCATTTAAAACATCTTGTGGAACAAAGTATTCACCAGGTGAATTCATAGCTCCATTTTCCTTTGACGATTTTCCAGGTCCTAAACTTTTTAACCAGTTTTTGGCATTAGGTTTGCTCTTTTTCACATAGTTGGAAGGGACATATCCTGTTTCATGCTTTGAATTTTCCACATGCCACCAAGATTTGCTGTCATCAAGAATGACCAGTTTCTCGTCCTTCTTTATGGAGAGTTCTTCATTCTGCGTGGCTTTGTAGTCGTAAAGAGCAATGGCATTGGTGTATGACATCTGCAATAAGAGACAATTCATGAATAATATCACTTTGTCAGGAATTGTGCGGCAATTAACCCTTTACACCCTAACATCAGTATGCATATTCTCCATACTGTCCTTGAAACATTTCCCAAGGTGCTGACAAGGAGAATTTATCTAACAATCAAGAGCTTCTGTAGTTGGTAAGTAGTTCCTTTTATTCTCCTGACCTTTATGTTTGATACCAGAGTGATATAGTGCAGAGAAATTTGACACCAGTCACTCTAAGGGGTTAATGAGCTTGAATGGAGAATTTGGCATGTTTAATTTTTTTTTCAGAGCCATGAAATTAAATCAATAAGAAATGAAAATCAAACGTTTGTGCAATGTAAGCAGCCAATAAACAAATTATTTTCAAATCACTCTGACTTCCCTCTTATTTCTACCACAATTTTTTTAAAACTCTGATGTCAAGATTTTATAATTTCCAGCCAGCTTTGCTCACTGGGGTATTTGAATTTAAGGAAAATAGAAGCCATTTAACTTGTAAACGATGGCATGATTGTTTAACTGTTTTGTTTTAATTTTTTCAGTTTTTTTTTCTCCTCAATGCCCTTCAAAGTGATGGTCATAGTAATACAGTTTATGTCTCAGGCCCTTATCTGAGTCATTTTCACTCTAGACCCTTTAATGACACTGAATCAGGCCGAAAATATATTTATGCCTGCAAACATAATCTCTATTGTTTTATTTTAACCAAATGATCAATCAGCAAATCTTTGGGCATTTCTCATTTCTTTACAATTACAACAAACTTCAACTCTGCTGGCAAACATCACTGAGCTTAAATCTGTAATGTGGTTCCATTTTCATCTTGGTTAACAATTTATTCACACCAGACTCATTTTTATTTACCTCTTTTTCCGAGACAACCATGAATTTGAGATAAAGAAAAATTAATATCACATTGATTAGAGAACTTTAACCCAGTACAAGAAAAACTTTGAACTACAACAGATACAGTTACTCATTGTCACAAAAGTAACTCTCAAGATTGCACTTGAAGGAACGATGAAGAAGCTCTGATCATTTATCATATGTAAATGTACTAAGGAGAAAACTATTAAAACTGCTGAAGTACAATTTTTTCCCTCAAGGGAAATTGAAAATCGGAGTTGTTTCATTACAAATCACGACAATCAGCAGGGCGAGAAAGATCTAAAAGAGAGTTTAAATCAAGTATAGAAGATTTAAACCCAAGCAATGTGATAACTTAAACATCTGAACCTTGTACTGACTGAATATCGAACCGATTGCTCATTCCACTTTTAGATACAGTCGTACTTTACCGGTGCTTTTTTCTTCTTTAATTTGCGTGAAGTCATCTGCTGTATTAGTCTACCATACGAAAGTGAAACAACGTTAATTTTTGCTGCTACTGCTAACTCACATCTGACTGAAATTTCTCTCTAATTAGAAATACAAAGATTCCGCAAGAAAAAAATACTCTTACTTTCATTATATCCTTGCGCAATTGATGATTCTTATCCTAACTAATGTATTTTGCAAGAGAAAGTCTACTTAGAAGACAAAAGCTTGCATTGATTGGTTTTTAAGAACAGGGTGGTCTAAAAAGAAGTAAATATTTAACCAAGACATCTGAATTGTGCTGCGAATTTCACAACAATCGACCGGAAAATTTCAGTTTGGTGTAATCCATATTTAGTAGATATATTTCTATGATTTCTGACAGAGAAATAAAATTCCTCCTCCAAAATGCCTATTTCGATTGTTAGACCTTACACAGAATCAGCGGCGTAAGGAAAATCGCGTCTTTACGAACGCAAGGGAATGTTTAGTGCAGGGAATTGAATATCAATGCCACTGACGGTATACTAACTCACGATAGTTGATTCCCGTCCAGTTGGCACTCACGTTCGAAACACAAACAATCTACCAGATAAAAATCTACCCAAGCGACCGTAGATTATTTACATTTGTGTTTTCCATGGATTAAAGAACAGACAAACAATATACAAACCAGGCCTACGGGATCCACGTTCGTAATTCTCTCCCTTACGTGAGTATTGTTGCATGCAGTAAAAGATGAGATAATATCAATAAGATAACTCTGTCATTTCATTTCCCCAAAGAATGGCTCTTTAGAAGTCAAAACTCACCTTTTGATTACAGAAACTGAGTGAAAATCCTTTGGTGTGGAGAAAGCTTGCTCACTTTAATAGAGAGGTCCAACCCGTTCAGAGCGCGGATTTCAGATTACCGCCGACGATGTCAACATGGCGGAAAACGACAATTTTTAACACCCTTATCACGTGATAGTCAAACCCAGTACTCCTGATACACGACACGTTGCATTCTTCGCATCGCTCATTTCTGCTCATATAACCTAAAAACTATTTCATTAGTGAAAGACTTAACAAAGAAAAAAGGTTAAAAGGAAGGAACGAGTGAACAAATGAACGAAGGAACGAAGGGACGAAGGGACGAAGGGACGAAGGAACGAAGGGACGAAGGGACGAAGGGACGAAGGGACGAAGGGACGAAGGGACGAAGGGACGAAGGGACGAAGGGACGAAGGGACGAAGGGACGAAGGGACGAAGGGACGAAGGGACGAAGGGACGAAGGGACGAAGGGACGAAGCGTGGCATTATTTCATTCCTTTGATAACACCATTTGGCATATTATTTATATGCTCTACTGTATAGTTATTCTAAGACTAGGCTGGTCCCGCCCGCAAATGCAGCAGATACTTAAAGGCAAAACCTGGCTTTTTTCAGGTCTCCATAGGGAAATTATCACAATGGGTATAACAAATAACGACCCATAACCAGAACATAAACAGAAGGTTTAATTTTTCCATGCAAATGATGTGGAGATAAAAATAAGCAACTTGAAAAAGAAGTTTCCTTGAAGCTTCGTCGAAATTATCCTTGATTATGAAATATAACAAGAACTTAATGCAAAAAAAAAAATACTGGAATTATACCATACCAAAAGATGATCAATTTTACGTTCAATCCGTGGTTAAAAAGATGGCAATTTTTTTACGCACTTCCATACCATCTCCGCACAGGTTATAGGGTTAACATCATCCAATGGAATTTCGTCTGACTTTGTTCCTTCTTTTCCATAATCATTATTTTCTTGTTTTGAAAAAAGTTTTCTTTTGCGTTCTTGGCGATGTTCGTCCGTGAAGAAATCTGGAACCACACAGAAGAGATAAGGCCGGTAGAGGAACACAATTGATACAACTACGTTCAGTACTGTGTTGAAAACCGACATCCATATGCTCTCTTTTACGTCAAAGCCACAGTAAACTGGGTGCCTTTCATCTTCTTTAGCCCTCCCCCTCCCCTATAGCAATGATATTTAAATCCGCTTCCAGAGCCGAAAGAGAATCCCTTTCAGACACGGTAACGAACTACACTTGGGTTTAGCTCATTCGTCGGTTTTTACCAGTTGAATTTGTTGTTGATATTAAATTTTTCAGCACTTCTGCGATGGCAATGGCCTGACATGAGGAATTCAAATCTGGAAGACATCAATTTTGTGTTTCTTTTAAAGACAACACTATTGTCCTTGCGCTTGATTTTTTAACAGACCCAGAAACAAAACGTTATAGTCGTAGGAGAGACCTAACATCGATTCGCACAATTCTCTTTTAATATAATTAATGAATTATATGCATAAGCTTCCGCTCGAATTGTAAATTTAATTGTAATATCATAAAAGTAGGAACTTGACGTCTCACGATAATGGACTTCTTCAACTTCATCACGATTTTCACTTTTCCCAGTTAAACAATAGCAACGAATCAGCTCAAACTTTCCTCCCAAGTATTCCTTCGTTCCCTTGTTACTCTTTCATTTATATATTCATATATTTATGTGGCATTTGTTCAGAAATTCCTTCAGTTCGTTCATTAGTCTATTTTCTGCTTGATCCTCAAGCAAGCCTCTATTTTAGGAGGAACTAATCGTATGAATCAGGAACATTTGGTTAAAAATTCCTGGGAACATGAGAACTTTTCACGATTAAAAATAAGGGAACAGGATATTACCCTTGCAAGTTTTTTAGAATTAAAAGGATAACCTCGAACTCACTCTAGGAAGCAAGGAACCACTCAGTCCACTTAATTACATTTCTATAATTTTCACTGACGTAAAACCAAAACAAGAAAAGAAAGAGTAACAGCTGCAAAAATCTAAATTTTGTGGTTAAAATTGATGAAAATTTCATAATGAATGAAAACTGACTTATCTTTTCAGGAATATAAAGGTCCTGGAATGTCCTCATTCTCGTTCCCAGAGCCATTCGAGACCAAAGGAAACAAGGGCTCTGGGAACGAGACTGATCTTCATTAATTTGCAACTTATATTACTAAATTCGATATTGTTCATTGAGCGTTTAGGCTTAATCGTGTCTGTTGTTTTAAAGGGAAAAAGTTAGAAACCATGACGAATTCAAAATGGTCCATTGTTCAGAATTCGTGCAAGAGTTTACGCATGAAAGCAATTACATCGTAAAAATAGTTGTGCTTATTTATCGTTTACGATTTAGTGACTTCAGATGTAGATCACGTATCGACTGCACAGCATCACTATTCTTCAAGTATTTCCGGTTCATAGACATAAGGGGAAATAATTCCATTTGACTGGAAACTGAAACATTTGGGAAATGTGGTTGGAATGGGGGCTAAGAATGTTCCACTGTCCAGAGTATCCTCAGTCGGTTCCCCGCCATCAGCACATTTGATTCTCGTCTCCGCCTTTTTCTGCAAAACACCACACACATATTATGAACACGTTTGCAATCTTGCAGTGCTTTCCCCTACTTGCCTTTCGAAGCCCCGCGCCCTTCCATTCATTTCCCGTGCCTTTAACCCCCGTTGCACCTTTCTCCACACCCTCCCCTCCCTTCCTTTTCCAAAACCAAACAGATGAAGGAAGTTAGATGTTGTAAGATCCATTCTAACATTGCAGTTTCTCATGCGAAGCAAACAGACAACATGGCACAAATAAGTTTTCTTCTTTCTGTTCTGATAGTTTATTGTTTGATATGTCGCAGTTTCGCAAAGTATTCTTGCGGCAAATCGAAGTGTAAAATTTCACTTAAGAGAGATTTGTCTCCTGAGTTCAGATTGAAAGCTCCGGAAGAAGGTGTGAAACTAGTGTATTTAAAATTCAGGATCTTCAATGAAAGTTACAAGCCACTCGCGACGAATAACAGAATTTTACCGTACAGATGGGTTTGGGCCCGAAGCGAAAACGAATCGATGTTAGGTGTCGCCTACGACTATGACGTTTTGTCTCTGGGTCTGTTGAAAAATCAAGCAAGGACAATGATGTTGTCTTTAGACGAGACACAAGATGGATGTCTTCAAGATTTGAATTCTTCATGTCAGGCCATTGCCATCGCAGAAGCGCTGACAGGCTTATCAGCGACAAAAAATTCGACTGATACAAAACTAACGAATGAGCTAAACCCTGGTGTGGTTTGTTTCCGAGTCTTGAAGGAATTCTCTTTCGGCTTTGCATACGGATTTAAATACAAATGCTGCAAGAAGGTTGAAGAAGGTCAAAGACCCCAAGTTTACTGTGGCTTTGACGTAAATGTGAGCATATGGATGTCGGTTTTTAACGCTGTCTTGAATTTAGTTGTGACAATTGTCTTCTTCTTCTGGCCTTACCTCTTCTGTGTGGTTCCAGATTTCTTCTCGGACGGACTAGAAAATGGAAAAGAAGAGGAGACGTTTTTGGGAACATCAGATGAAATTCCAGTAGATGATTCAAGTCCAATAACCTGCACAGAGATTGTGCGAAGAGGCCTGAAAAATTTTCCATCTGTAAACCATGGATTCAGTGTAAAATTGATTCTCTTTTGGTATTGTATAATTCCAACATTTTTCTATATTAAGCTTTTGTTATATTTTATTATCAAGGATAAATTCGACGGGGCTTCCAAGAGGCTTCTGTTTCAAGTGGCTGATGTTTATCTTTACATCTTTAGCATGGATAAACCTGCTGTTTATGTTCTGTTTATTGTGCCGTTATTTTTGATACCCACTCTGGTAATTTCCTTTTGGAGACGTGAAGAAGGCGAGGTTTTGCAGTTAGGTAACTGCTGCATTTGCGGGCGGGACCAGTTCAGTCTTAAAAAGCATATAGTAGAGCATGTAAAAATTATGCCAAATAGTGTAATCAAAGTAATGAAAACTGTTTTGAAAAAGGTCTTCCTTCGACAGTTCGGCTCAAAGTTGCCGCCCTGCTCTGAATGCAACGATTTTCAGCAGTCACTATGCGGGCACGCAATTTGTATAATATACACAGTTGCATTCATGGTTATTTACGGTCCAATTGCCGTAACAATCTCAGTTTTAGTTGGCTTAGTTGTGTTGCTTGTGACAACTATTGTTTATTCTCCTCTCGCAGCCGGATTACTTTACGTGACGAAAACAATGACGTCACAAATGAAATTCATTTATAAACGCGGTAAAATTGGCGAGTGGCTGTCCAATTTTCTATTCCTTATTATTATATTTCCGTTTTTCGTCAGCATTTCAGTCATTTCTATCTTCTCTTGTCAGTTTATTGTTCGAACGTTTGGCTTCGTTGTCATGGGGATTACCTTGAACGCCGAATCGGTTGTTCCCTACGTAACTTTCGCCTTCGTGGTCGGGAGAAACGTATACCTTTGTTTCAACAATTTACAAAATACGTACAAGGAAGTCAAAATTATGATTTGGGAAGAATGGAAAGAGCAGAAAAAGCCCAGAAGAGAAAACACCATACCGACAAAATTATTTTGGTGCGTCTGCAATGACTCGATCGCAAATGAAATTTGCGCCATGTTGTGTAAAATGGTTGCGATACTCATATTTTTGTCTATTGCTTTAGCAGCAATCTTTCTGTTCAAAGTTGAGTATAATTCGTCGACGATAGTCTCTAGTGTAGCTGTATTTGTGAGCGGAAAAATATCAGAAACGTTTTTTAGCAGGGTTACAACAGGCGACAGTATAACTGGCTGGGAGAGAGTTAGGAAAAAGGAAATTATCCAACGCGCTGTGCGAGAATTCGACGGTGAACGGGATGTATATGCCAAGGGGGATTTATCCATGGTTTTAATCCATGAGTCTGCAATCTGAGAATGCAAAACTTGGACTTATATTAGGCTGAAACTTGATTCTTGGTTTTCTGCAGATCTAAACTTGGGAGGGAGAGCCAAAAGTAATTTTTTAGAAAGTAAGCCTTTTGGGGGGAAGGGGGGGAGAGAGGTTGTCAAGGGAGGGTTTATGGAAAATTATCGTAATACAACCAAAATCCTCTCCGCCCCCCCCTTGGGCGATCAATAATGGCTTGTCCTTAAGGCCTGCTGAGATTTTCGGCCAGCTTATCTTTTCGGACAATTACTCGACGGTGCATACTGCTACCTTTTGATGATTTCGTATCTTCAAGGTTTAAATTAATTAGTAGAGGTTTCCTTTCCGTGCTAAATGAATTAAAAAGCAAAAATTTTTTTAACGATTACAATGACCGGGAAATTTTTTTTTATCGAAAAACATTTTCGAAAACGCTTTTCAAAACTAGCTTTGCGTTTTAGTGTGGATGAAAAAAACTTTGAAACGGAACTTTTCATAAAAGCTGACGTAAACGTTGTTGTTGTTGTTGTTGTGTTTAATTGGTTCTGGGGTTCTCATTATGCATTTGACTTGCTTCAATTTTGGAGTGAACAGAACACGTTTGTTGTGATTTGCGAGTGAAAATGCTTATTCCTGGTTCTCTTTCGTTTGGTGTAAGCAAGGCCTATGAGTGTGTTATTTGCCTTTCTTTGTCTGTTTAATAGGTGATTTTGTTCTTTTTTATAATATTTCATTGCCTCTGCTAGTCGACAATGTACCGCGTGAGACTTTTTAGAATGAATTTTAGATAATCAGTCTATAGGCTCTATGGCTATTATTAATTACGTATTCCTGTAAATCTTATGCAACAATAAAGAGCCTATTGTAACCATTCTTGACAAAGAGAATGATTTATTTCTACTAGGCGCGTGTTATGAGCCATTGTAACTGGTTTGTACGCACCGCATTTACTGACTAAACGCCTGGAGCGAGAGCGCGTGCTTACCTTCGTGAACACTCCTAAATAATAGTCGGTCTAATGGACCGCCAATGGTACAAACTCTCGCGAGCAAAACGGTACAACATCAGCATCATCGTCAAGGACAGCGGCATACACAGTAGCTTCAGTTTTCGTAGCATGCGAGTAGGCCTTATTTAAAAGCGCCGTTACCGGTTTCTTCGCCCATGGCAATGAGCAACGTACTGATAATGATTTATGCCAGACCCCCGGCAAACTCTCCACGAGTCGTCTCAAATCTTCCCGCGCGTGGGTGGAAAAACGTGCATTCTGCAGCACTGATAATGGAGCCTTTTACGAGAATTTTCTGTCACTTCTCTTATGCTGAGCTCCGATCCTAAAGCTTATTTGGTTTTCCTATCAATGCAATACGGCAGTCTAAAGACTGATCTCTTCTTTTAGTATAGGTAATCACATGATTTCGAGTGCAATTTGAAATAAATAAGCGCGATTAAAAACTGAAAAAATTTACAAGTGCTTATTTATTCCAAATTGCACGAGAAAAATCATTTGATTACGTATTAATAATATACATGAAAAAATACGAGATAGCTTATCACAATTATGCAGAAGCATAGCGCCGCATCGAGAGCAATAATTCTTTTTTCAAACCCTGCAAGTAACATTATGTACTCGGTCAAAACAACCGCGTAAGATCAAAACAATAATATACAATGATATTTTTATATCTTTAAGGCGCGAAAGAGTTCAGAGTCCGGCTAAACAGTTCAAGGAATTTTTCGGTCTGGTTTGTTACATTTTTGCACTGAATTAACCCTCTTCTGCGTTGAATTACCTGAAAACTGCATTTATCTTAACCAATCAGAACTGAGTCTTTTTTTTCATGTATCATATTAATTTGAAATAAAAATGTTGTGGTAGTCCTTTTCATTTCCTTTCCGCTTAATGGGAGAGACATGAGCCAACCGGGTGTAACAAGTTCCTCCCTTTCCTGATCCGTGCCTCACGCTTAGCACACGCATCTCCCATTCACGCTTTCTCCGCTCGCCTCACGCTCAGCCTACTCCCGCTTGACAAAAATAACTCGAAAAATTCTATCATGGAAGCAGAAGAATATGGAACACGAGTTATAATCTAAAAAGTCGTAGCACCATAACGATAAAAAATATTTTATAGGATAGGGTTCAATTTCAGCCTTAAAATGAATTTTGATGATTTTAGACAATGGAAAATCTAGTTACTGAAAAGAAACGACGAAATGTTTACACAAAGTACAAACATATTAAGAAACTTGCCCCATTATCATGTGCATGTTCTTTCAGTTTTATTTGAAACTGAAATCAAGACAGAACAAGACAAATCAAATTCAGATTTTGTTTCTTGTGTCATGTATTCGAACATAAAAAATGAAATGAAATTCTAGCTCAGATCCCAGAAAGAAATCCATTTACACAAATTGTATTAACGTTTATTCATGCGAAAACGAAAACCGTGAAACAAAACTGGGGATGACATCGAGATCTAAAGTTGGAAAGGCTGATAATCGTCGCTAATTCAACTAACACATGACGAACACAACTTTTCTGACTATGTGATGAAAAAATGTAAAATGGAGTTGTTTACCTTGCGGCAAACTGATCGACGCTGTACGTGCTGAGAGACTGACTCAAGTCCTTGACCCACTAAAACTAACTATTTATAAATTGACTCATTTATCAACAACAGAAATCCTTTCATTTTCTCTAAGTTTTCAACTAAGATTATCACAGCTTTTTCGTCTTGAAAATCATCCAACTTTTCTTGAATTTCGTTATTTTTAGTGTTTACCGGCCACAGAGAAGAATAGCTTAATACTTCATAACTTTTGACACCATTCTGTATTTGAAAAATTTCGTTTTTTTTTATCCATGTACACTTGTTTGTAGTTTTTGTCAAAATAGCGCGTGTTTTATTGTCTTCCTGCGTAAACATTTGGGGTAATAAGCCGTGGGATTTCTCCGTCTCTAGTGTGCTTGCTCTTTATCATTACATTCAAACTTAACCTTTCGTTTAAAATCATTGAAATCTTCTTACCGCAGATACATTCAACGGTAAATTTCAGTTTTGAGTACCTACGTGATTATTATAATTTATCTTTTAACGTGATTTTGTATTGTGTGTTTGGATAGTTTCCACTGATATGTTTTAAACGTCAAATTTTCCTCCATGGATATTTTAGCCGGAAAGAAGAACTCTTTGGCAAGCTAATTTGCTTATCATGTGTTTTTATTGCATGACAATTTTCATCTTTTTCCAAGTGTGCGCTTTTCAGAATTGTTGACTAATCGAGCACCGGACCTACACGCAGAAAAGGCGCAAGATTTCCTCGCTCAGTAATCGATCCTTAAAATCATGTCTGCAACGAAGTGAAAACATTTGATTCAATAATTGTTTAACTGACGCAGAAACGCCTCCTTAGTCTTATTCATTTGATAATTTATTTTTAGTTGATATGAAAAAGCTTTCGCCGCAAACGTCTTCCGCTGTTTCTCACCTTTGACATTTTTATATTTCAGTTTGTTAAAGTTTTGCTGAAATATGAATACTAATGTTGATCAGACTGTGATTTCAAAGTTATAGAGCTTTGTTTTCACCAATATTTACCTCAATGGATTCGCATGAAACATCAGATTTCAAAATGCAAAGGGGTACTATTTGCCGAGCAGTGTTGCTGTGGGGCAGTATGTGTTATGTTTGCAAACTTTCGCTCATCTTTGTTAAATTAATGTGTTATTGTTTACTCAGTTCTGTACAAGGTGTTTTGAGTCAGTGAGTGAAACATATCCTCGAATCTTTTTCTTGAATGAAGCAATCCAGTTGCAATTTTATACAAAACTGGTTTAACTTTTTACTTTGCGCTAAAATAGTCTTGGCTATTTTTTTCTCTCTCAGTTCACTCGCCGTTGAAAGAGCGGATAGTTTGCGCCACATGTTTTCATTTCATTTTCCTTTCTATTTAATCTGCTTGAAAGAGGACTCAAAAAGTCAGCCGAGCTATCTTTCCGAGATAAAAAGCATTTCGGATTCTATGATTAAAGGGGTACGTTTCAGAATAAACTTTAGTGCTGCAAGCGTCGGTGGGAGATTGCAAGATGAACTGGTTTTATCAACTTAGTTGACGATGTAAATTGACCGCCGTAAAGAGGTGATAAAGCTGACGTTTCGAGCGTGAGCCCTTCCTGAGAGCGAAAAAAACCAACTCTGATCTATGCCAACCATCGGATCAGCTCATCTGAACTGACTACCATGACCCAAAGTAAATGGAGGAAGGCATGGCTGAAACTTCCCTGTTGAAACAAAAGCCAACCAACTGTTAAGTACAGTAAAAGAATGCTTCAAACTTAGTCTGTGGAGAAACGGTCAGAATTTTTCGATTCAAATGAAAGTTACGCATTAAACAAAACATCAAATTGCAGTTCGGCGCGGTTAAGGTCGATTTGACATTTTTCAGGACAAGAAAATCTTTACAGCGCCGACGACCCTCTGAAATGAATCTCAGGGAAGGAAGAACCCATCAAAATTTTCCGGTATGATTCAACGACATTTTCAGTACAAACCCTCTTTGTTAGAAACTGGGTTCTTTGTTGCGCAAACGTTTGGCGATTCAGAAAATGAATACATGTGCGCCATCTCCGTTGTTTTGTTTCTGCGTTACAATTTTCTTTTCCGCAAGGTAGGACACAATAAAAAAAACCAAATGAAATAAAAATTAAGGAAGTTTATTTTTATGCCACAGGACAATCGGAAAAAGAAAGTCTTTTTCGACTGATACCGCACTGAGACCAAATTTCAAGAAAATGCTGAAATTCTCTTAAGATTGAAAGAATCTCCCACCATTTGTTTCACTCTTGTCACATTTCATTAAGTATAGAAAAAAAAGATCCCCGAGGAACAAGTCTGAAAATGTCACAAAATTGTCAGGATTAATATTGTACGGTCTAAATGATTGCTTTCAAGTGTCAATAAAGTTAAGACCGGGTCAAAATTCACTCTGCATACCTACACACGTTGAAAATATCGTATAAAAAAGGATTTACAATTTGGTAACCTTGTCACCTTGCAGCTGTTTACTCTAATTTTAAAGAGAAAGACGCTCTGATTGTTTTCATTTGACAATAAGTCCTTAATTTACATGGAATTTTCACGTGCGCGCGTCTTGATGCGTGCATACACGCCCCTGAAAGAGTGACATATATTAAATCCTCTTCCGAACCTCTCAGAATTGGCTGCAATTGTAAAGCCGGAAAGATGGCACAGAATTTGTCGTTCTCTATCGCCAATATTCTTCGCTCAGACTTTCCTCCACCTTCACACATAAGACACGTACCGAGGTGTATTTACTTAGAACGCCTGAATGATAGCAGAAATTTGCCATACGTCGCTCTAAGATGCCAGCTAGATCGACGAGCTAGCTTCTGTAGTGAAACGGAATTTTTTGCCAGAAATTATTACAGCGCGCACACATTGTCCGTAATTTCGGAGAAGGATGCCAAGATTCAAAACTCTGGTTATGCCAGAGAACAGCAGAGAAAGAAAGGTATGTGAAGTTTATTTACTTTTTTTAAACACGCTTTCAACTGTTCAATTTGAGTTCATTTCTCCTCACTCTCTTCAGCAGTTGGCCCCTAAGGGCACTTATGTTGAAAAACGTGGTAAGTTTTTCACACCTAACAAAACACTTGAAATATCTGGCTCTGAGGTGTTTAAGGTGTCTGAGTGAAAAATGTTAGTTTTTCTTATTTTCTAAGTGCAATTAGTTCAGTTTAAATCAGCATTGAATATGTCGCCTTTTGCTTTTAAAGCAAGCATTGAAATTTGGCGCTAGGGAAACATGTAATTTTCATGTATGCATCATCATAACTCGCACGTTCAATTCCGCGCTAGGACAGATTTCCGTCAGCAACTTGTCATTTAATGCCTAAAGTGTAAACTGAATTGTTTAAAGCTTGTATTAATTATCTGCGCGGTGGTAAAATTTGTACTCAAACATGGTTGATGCTTTCGATTTCGGTGGTGCGCGTTGTAGTTTCCTAATGTGCCACCGCTGTTAATTGAGAGCGCTTTTGTCAAAATTTCGCTTCCACGAATTATCTCCCAGGATATTTGTGAAATTTAGCGCGTGAAAATATGCGATGATGATCGAAGCATCCTAAGCATATCAAAACTCGTTAAAAAAGGTATTATTCAGAGCACTATTCATTTCTTTATACCGTTATACTTACGGGATGGTCGCCGGTAAAGTTTCCGCACAGCCCCATACTACATTATGCATTCAGTTCTTGGAGAGAGAAAACAACGACAAAAAACAATACATTGCCATTGGGAAAACAGATTTGTTTAACAATGGGGCTGTGCGGAAATTTTACCTGGTTGCCCTGTTGGAAGAGGACCTTGTTATTGAATTTTTCATCATATTAGCAAGAAACACAAGTCAGGTTCTCAGCGTTTAAACCCTTGAACTTCGAAGATCTGATTATAAACTCTCCCCTCGAGCTGTTGTACTTTTCCTTGTAAATTAGTTATGAGAATTTGATGTTACATCAAGATGACAACTTCTACCTAAAAAGTTTGGGTAATCTCATTACCTGTCTGCAAGAGAATATTAACTGCTGTCTGCTGGAAGATGTATGGATATTATATGTTATATGTAAATCTCTTACGGGCATTAAAGGGTTAACTACAAGAGTGGACTACCCCGCAAATTCTCATTAAAAATTTCAAACCGTTTTCTCGGAAACAAGTGCTGAGTGAAGAAAAAGAAAAATCTCAAAACTGATTGTAACACAGCAGATGTTTCAAGCGCCGGCTCTTCGTCATTCACTCAGACGAAAGGCGAACGCTCCAAACGTCAGCTTTAAAAGCTCTCTACGGAGGCCAATTTACCTTAACAAACTAAGGTGGTAAAACCAAATTATCTTGTAATACTATCCACCGACCCCACACAACAGTTTGTGTAAAAACTTACCCGCTTTATTCATTTGAATTTAACAAAGAGAGGAGTAACTAATAAAGAGAGAATCATGGATTTCAAAACCAGTTTGAATAGAGAGATTGGTGATTCAACCTCACGGGTGATATTAAAAAAGAAGAAACTTTTTACCTGTTGTTTTATAGATATATTGGCAGCTAACGGAAATAAAAAGACGGAGGAAGATAAACGGAACAGTGAACTACCTGGCTCTGCAGCTAAAAGTGCAGTGAAAAAGAAACGCAATCGAAGCCATTTCACGCAAGGGCAGCTTAAGTATTTGGAAGACGTGTTTACCCGCCAGCAGTACCTAACACGCGACGAACGCGCCATGCTGGCGACTGTTTTGAACATGACGGAGCTGCAAATAAGAAACTGGTTTCAGAACAGGAGATATCAGTTGAGGCACCGAGGATTAAACAGGGCCAAACAGGTTCCAGTCAAAGTGCTGGTGAGCAGCAGTACAGGGCAGGATTCTGATGATCGTAGCATGTGATGCGCACGATGTCTGCACGTGGTGTTCATGGGATCTTGATTCTGGCGATTGAAGCTGTGTTCAAATCAGATCATGTGACGACAACCGTTTTCTCTTCTTGCGATTGGACTAAAAACCAAGGACTGTATCGCCTTATTGAATAAGCTTTGTAAGAGTTACTTGCTCTTAGAGAGCAAGTCTGATTTAATTAAATTAACAAAATGTCGAAGCCGTCGGCGTTAATTAAAACTTGATTTAAATGAAAGAATTCCCATATTTATCTTGGAGGTGGTTCGAATGAAAGACATGAGAAGCTCGCCTATTCCATTCAAAAATGATTTATATTTAGAAACTTTTGATAGTTTAAGCCGTTGAGATAACACCTTGAAGCTGTAAAAGGAATCAACTGAAACAAACCGAGTTAATTTGCGTTCATCTCAATTTTCTTTGGCTAAAAGCATTCCTATTAACCCTTTCTACCCTGACATTTATTTGGTATTTAGTTAATTGAGAGCGCTTTTGTCAAAATTTCGCTTCCACGAATTATCTCCCAGGATATTTGTGAAATTTAGCGCGTGAAAATATGCGATGATGAAGTTCTCTTTACGTTTTCTCTGGCATTAACAAGAGAATTTGTCTGGCAATCAGGGGCTTTTTTTATTTGAAGATCATTCCTTTTATTCTCATGACCTTTATATTTAAAACGAGGCTGATATTGTAAGGAGAATTGAGAAGCCAATCACTCTCAGTAGTTAAAGGATTAATGCTCGATAAGGCCGGATGGTTTATCGAATATGTACTCGTGATTTTTCCGAGGAAAGATCCCCGCTGCTTATTGTGAATTAGAGCGGACAGATAATGAAAATTCAGGATAGAAGGAAAGAACTTAACCCCTCCCTTGATCGAGGGTCTCCACGGGGTGCTGGCTTTTACGGCTACAGTTTACCAAAAATGACACAAAATGACATTTTGTAGAAAGGAGAAATTTTGGAGCAATTAGGGTTAAAATTTGTCAGTTGTTACGCCTAATGGTTAAATTTTTTGGTCGTTTTACGGCTAACGGTTAATCCTATCTGGGACTTTTAGATCCACTTTTGTTTCTGAAAACGTGTGACCGTAAACCTCAAGGAGTCACGTGACCAGACTCTAGCGGTCACGTGCGCCGTTTGCCGTCCACGTTTGAACTTCGGGCAAAGGGAGTTTACACACAACTCCCTTGACGCTTTTTCTCTTCTGTTCGAAAGTTCTCACGTATGTCCTATAAATGTGTGTGAGGTGAAGTCTTTTCTTTATAACCTATCCGTTTGAGACGCTAGGAAATCATGGCGGTGCACATGTTGATTTTTTTTTCAGGTGAAAGCCGACGTCGATCTAAAAAGCTGAAAGTCTCGAAAACTCTAACTTCTAACTGCTGACCGCTGTTTGACGTTTGCGGTGAACATACGAAATGTGGATCTAAAACTCTCTAGTGAGACCTACTAAATTCACCTTGCCACACTGTCCCTTTACATCTCGGCCGACAATCAAAACTTCAGCATATAAAATATCTTTAGGGTAACTTCAAATATATATATTTTTTAATTATATGTTGTACACGTAGTTAGTGATAAACCGTCGATCAAGCCGACGCAACACAGCAATTCAGTCTTCAGAATTTATTTAAGTACTTGCCCACTTCTCCTCCCACTTAATATCATATCACTTTTTTACGTTTACATGAGAGAGCCCAGCCATCTTGAAGACTCAATTAACTCAACTAATCCCCTCAGTGCATGAATGTGCAACACTTTCATTCACATGAAAATCTTAAGAGCGAGATCAGAAAGTTGCCATGACAACGGCGAGGAAAAAAAGATTCAATGCAATCTTAACTTCAAAATTCAAGAATTTCGTGAGTTTGTACTCTCAATGTTTTCGCTTTAATTGCGGACACATCTAAACTCTTTGAGAGCTACACGCATGAAGGCAGCATTATGAGTGAAATTTGGAAACACGGAAAATTTTTCTGATGGGTGTCCTGGTTTTATAAATGACCCTTACGGGAAAGGCGCAGATTATTTAATAGATAACGTAATATTCTCGATTTAAGACATTTCATGAGAAAACACTGACATTAAACTTAATTTTCATGGCTTTACTGGTAAAATCGCGCCCTAAAAAATTAGCTTAAGGGTACTTAACTATTTCCTATGACAAAAATTCAATTCATGAGAAAGGCACGAGTTTTCTTTGAAACATTTGTTGCCTAAGCGAATACATGAGATACGTCCATGCATTGTTCTTCTTGTCTGTGCAAAGGTTAAGCTTTGAAGTTTTCGCGCCGTATGTAGCGCCATCAGGGATCTTATAATGTACCACTTAACGTGAATTTCATATGACTTCGTCGTCTGCTGGGTTCGACATGTTTTGGAAACAAAGTGCTACAGTAATCAAAATTCCTGCTTCGTGAGTGTTGAGAATAGAACATGACTTAATTGTACCGTTGTTTATTGGCAGCAGTTGAGAACATAATGCGCGCATATTTCGCCATGATAGACTCAAGAAAAGTGAGATTTTTTGTACTAACTGCTTTTAAGAGTAAACTGAAAAAATTCTTCAATAAAAAAATTTAGATTTCTGCTTTAAACGTGAATAAGATTAAGTCAATTTTTTACAGGATCATTGAATGTATTCTACGATTTTAGCTTTGAAACTATCAAAATGCCTCGAACTTTAATTTTGAAACATTTCTTTATTTGACATCTCAATCATTCCTATTCATAACATTTCTTCGTCAGCTCTGTCGCTATTTCCGATCGAGTATGTACTTTGAAATTCTGATGGTCAAACCACTACTATTCAAGTTTGCTCTTCCCTTCTTTTCTGCCACATTATTCACTCGACGGCTTGGAGTTCATGTGCAAACATCTCCTCGAAAATTCCCGAAATTTTTTGTAGGGCGTGCAACACCCCAATCAACCACCGCCTAAAGGAAGATCCAGTTTTGAGACAAATCCGATTAATTTCACTCAAAAGGTTACAGTATGACTTTAAGATGTTACACACAAAAGCTGAAAGTGGTCTGTGGTTTAACCATCCTCTTTGATACTTCATATGTTAAATTTCGGAGTAGATTCTTGAAAAACTTTTAAGACGGAAATCGTGTCGCCAACAAATTATTATGGATGGAAAGCCCGGGCAGAAATTAATACTTTATTGAGTGTTTGAAAGTTGCTGAATAAGAACCACAGCTTTCTTTAAAAATAGAATGAATGAGGAAAGGAAAGGCACTCTCCTTTATATTCATATCAGAAAGGTGAGGCTTTCAAACTAAGCCGTTTTGTTTTGTTGTTTGTTGTCAGGAAGCCGCGATCCCAATAACGTTTCTTTACGCCTACAAATCAGACGCAAATCAAACAGGAAAAAAAATATTATTCAAAGTTAACTGATACTCTAGTGTTCCGAGGAATAAGGCGCAACTGCGCCCGTCTTTTGACGTAGTCTTGTCTCTCTGTTAGTGGTCTAGGGATCGATTAACAGCTCCTACGTTCAGGAATGAATGAAGATCAAATTTGCATTGTTACGGTCCGTCGATTTGTCGGCTCACAAACTGGGTGTAACATACTTAGTCCGGTGCCCATTCGTGCCCTAACTTGCGTCAGGGAAAAATTCCTTTTCTGAGGTGATGTTTTAGAATAGAACATTAAATAAAAAAAGGATAAATAATTAAAAAAAAAACTAAATATCCATTTCGTTGGAGGTTTGTTCAAAACTTTTCCGTTCCTCTAATAGTTTTCTTCGAATCTCGCGTTTTCGCCGGAAATTAATTCTTTCAAAGAAAAAGGCTAATTTTATAATTTACAACCAAATTGTATATTGGGGAATACTGAATATCAAAAACTGCTGAAAGGTGATCAGTCTTAATGGTAGATGTCGTTTCAGAAATGCGGAAACCCTGGTCAGGACACAGTCCAAATGAATCGGTTTATCGAGACTGATAAGAAGGAAGCAGTTATCAATTCGTATTTCTTGGATATGCCAAAACAAACCATAACAATTTTTAACAGTTGTTTGGTTTATCCTTCCTTCCTTTACGATACATCACGGCTTTCCTGTCTCCCCGTTGATAAACCGTCTGTGATTACGTAAAATTAATCAAAAGGTGATTTCACGGTGACTTCAGAAATTGTTCAAAGAAACGACAAAACTGTTCCTCATCTGGAGTCTGTTAAAGTTACCATGGTCAAAATTCACTTATAAAACATCAATTAACGTGTGTTTATTTATCTTGTCTCATTCGTGCTTCCGTTATTTTTCATTCAGTTCATGATTTTCTCGTGATAGTCGCTAATCATGCGATGAATATGTTTTTGTTTTGGCTGAGAAACCGGAAATACGATTTTAATTGTTTTGATTCGTGTGTCACGCACCCAACATGCGGGGACAATGCCGTGATGCTTTTGATGATGACGTAACCGGAAATGCAATCTGAGAAACTTTACAACTTTTAAGGAAAATCTTGTTTCATCTTCATATAATGGCTTCAACTGTTCCGCGATCTGTTTTTTCCTTGTCGACTGAATAGAACCAAAGCTGGGTAATTTTCGGACTTGTGTTTTTGTTGACTAACAAATTATTAAAGTGATGTTTAAAAAAAATACGGGATTTTTCCCTATTTTCTGAGTCATCCCACGGAAGCGTGCCTCATCACCACAGGTTTTAGGTTTTGCAATATTTTTTTTATGTTTTTTTTTTCCAAGCCACTAAAACGATAATAGTGTAATTCATCTACAATCATTTTTTCTTGATCTAGAGGTAATATATATTTAGGGTTTTGCGATTGCAAATTAGACAAATTCTGCTCAGTTGAAATAAGCACATTACATTTTAGGAAAGTAATCTCGAAAAAGTACTGACGTACACGACCTTCCTAATTTCAATTCTGTTTCTATCGATTATCTAATCTTATGTGTATACCAGCTCGGACGGCGTTAAGAGTGCTGAGGCAGTGATAATTAATTTATTATCACTGCCTCAGCAGTTGTAAGAATATTATTTTCTGTTGAAGACAATATTCAGCATTTTATCAAACTGCAAACTCGGCAATTTCTGTTTGAACTGTGCAATTTCAGTTTCGCGTGAACAACGGAAGTACTAAAACATTGTGGTTTGACCGCTGGCAATAATTGACTTCGAAAACTATCAGCTCTGTTTTCCCGGAAAAACTACTCCTATTAACTGAGTTAATTAGATGTAATTTCCCAGGCAGTGACGGGGTAGAAATGCAGGGCGGAAAATCTACTCAGCCTTGTTGCTAAAATTAGCAACTCCACACGGGTCTTAACAGGTCCAGGAACCCTGGCTTTAAATATCTGTGACTCTTTGTTGTTAAAATCATGCGCTGGCGTCAAAAGTTTCACTTTCCTCAGTGATTTGACATTGTAAGGTCACGTCGTGATACGAAGAGCAAGCTAATGATCTCGATGGATCTTAAAAACCAGAAATCAAAGCTATCCTTCTCGATTGAGAATATTCTACGCGATGATTTTTCTACAAGGCCAAGAAAAGATGTTCCTACTCTGATACCATCCATGAATTCTAGTTTTGCGAAATGGCCAAATATTCCGGTGTACCGCCTTTGTGCAGTTCGCTACAACCCAATGTTTGTGCAAGTTTTGCCGCGATGGCCATACGCTGGAACCAAACTGAACAAGGCGAGAACTGAGGATCAACAACCGTGCCAGGAGCAGCAAACAAACATCGAAGCCGACGTTGGTTTCTCTGCCTGTGAAACCCAAGAAGGCGAAGGTTGGTTTACATGTTTACAGAGCTATTATTGGAAAAAAAATTTTCATAGCCTTTAGCTGAATGGCAAAAATTAGTGGCTTTAAATAATATTGATACGTTCATAATGGGCAAAATTTTTGTAGCATCGCGGTTTGGTAACCTAAATTTTTTTCAACCCCTTAAAAAAATTAAGCGTTCAAAATTATTTAGCAATAAGTAGGCAGAGGCGTTTACAAAAGATGTTGTAATGGGCTTATTTAAAACGCTGATAATCCTTCAGATACATCTCACATGATTATGTTTCAGTACCAGCGTGACATACGGCACTCAATTCTTAAGCCATCAAAGGAGGCGAAAGTCTAAAATTCACTTAAATATAAGTATTTTTACTTATTTTTTAGCGCGGGTCAAACTCGTCGCGAGAAGAGAAAACAAAAAAAATAACTTGGCGTTCTTTACACACGAAAAAAAACACAAATTTATCAATTTGAGAAAGGTCCAAATTTCAGTTAAAACGGTGTTACTTTTGTTATAACCAACGCTGTGAGAGCAGTCCACATTCCGTGGCTTAAAGGCATAGGCCAAAGCAAGTCTTGAAGGTTAAAGAAGTTTTTTTCAATATACTTCATCGTCATAAAATGAGCATGGATCCCTTTCTATAGAAAACTGGATTTATATGGCAAAGAATTTTATCCTCGTTTCACAGCAGATGAAAAACATATGGTTAAATGCTGAAAGAGGAAAGTTCTTGTTGACCCCAATGAGTGGGAAGAAGTGTGGCCCCGTCTTTAGTAATTTGAAACAGCTAGGGAGCAGAATTTCTGGGCGGGACTACTTAGGAAAGGCCGAGGAAGAAACATCAACGAGTGTTTCGTTTCAATTCATGAGAAAAGGATGCGAAAAAATAAATAATTCACAGCTCAATTCATCTGCAATATCCTATACAATTGAAATTCCTTGCTTGGTAGTAAGACCGATGAATTCATATGCCACAAGGATTTCGGTTTATAATAGCTATCTTAACTCTTTTTGTGCTCGGCTTTCTCTGTTTAAAGGGAGATCGTTACGAAAAAGCGGCTATGAAATTGGTAAATGCCATTTACTACGAGCGTTTGAACATTTTGCGAGTGAACCCCGTTTACAATTCAGTTTTCGAACGTCTTTATCGTTTTCGGGCTGTACCAAAAGTATTTTATCTTAAATTTCCTTTCTAATGAAACTTGCTTTCATCGAAGCCACTTTTTAGGCTATTCCTATCGGAAAGGTTTCAGCGCATTTCAGTAAATTCTAAGTTTTCGCAGTAAGTACTCTGCAGTATCAAATTTCATGCTGCATTTTGGTATAACCTTAAAGCGCTGAATTAAGCGCTGAACGGAAAGCATCTCTCTACGACTCTCTGACGTACGATCAAAAATATGCTCACAGCTTGCCTTGAGGCATTCCGCAATCCGATCACATTTTCAGTTTTTCCTTATTACATGCGCTGACTGCGAAAAGCTGTTGGTGCTAATTTGATCGCAAAATGTTCAGGAATCGTGGAAGTATGTGATCGCTGCTGTTTTGCCATAGAAAGAGACATGGTTGCGTTTTGCGTTATTTGTATTATTACATAACTTGCGGTTTAATTTTTTTTTCGTGCTAATGAATTTCCGCCTCAAGTGCTTTTTATAGTGGTTTGCAATGTTTCAAGTGTTTGTTGTTCGATGCACTGACATTTTAGAATGTCTTCTGCCTTCCATTTAGGGCTGTGCCTTTTATTTTCTTCATTTATGACGCTTTCAACAATAAACACCTTAAAAGCTTACATCAAATACTATTTTTAGGGAAAAGGCTGGTGAAGTTTTAATAAAGGACAACCAATCTTTCCCATAAAGTTGAAAGTGTTTTAAGAAACTCCAGAATGGATTTCGTTATTTCGCACCTCTTAAATACTTTATTTCGCGTTAGACATAAAAGTTCCGACAAGAAGGAATCTTTGAGTAGTTAGTAGTTAAGCTTAGTATTGTATCCTTTCGGTCTATAGAGAGCCTGCTCAAACCTTGATTACCCGCTTCGACCTACTGTGGTCCTCTTCAACTCTTACATGATATTAGAGACAATTGACAGATTATGAGTGATTTATTTAAGACACGCACAGTTCAAATAACTCGTATCTTTTGTTTGTCCTGGAATAGCCAGTGTGTGCACTTTTGAACGCAGTAATGAGGTCCTGTACAAATTGCAGATTATGTTTCCTTACGCTCTCGACGCTGTTTATTTACAAAGAATGTGTTTGATTTTGCCACAGTGTTCATACTAATCAGGGTGGGGTTTTAGATCACAGGAATATCCGCTTCTTAACATTAATAACCTTAGAGGCACTCGTGTTATTAAATGTAACCGCAAATATTATATCAAATGAACTATTTTTCGTTTCAGCCATTGAAAATTTTCGGGCACGGATCATCATTTCAGTATATAACTCTACAAATTTCTGAACCTCATGTTGTTTTCTGTTTTATTTTCAGACGAAAGAAATGAAAACAAAGCCAAGATAGAATCTAAATCAGAGAAATGCTTGAAAGTGAAAGCTTTGGAGAGAAAACGCCGTCATCGCAGCCATTTTACTCAACGTCAGCTTCAATATTTAGACAAAATCTTTTCTCGCCAGCAATATCTCACTCGAGACGAGCGCACGCTATTAGCAAGGGGCCTGGAAATGACTGAACTTCAGATCAGAAACTGGTTTCAAAACCGTAGATACCAGCGAAAACATCGCGCAAACAAGACCACGAAACCAGATGAAGAGGGTTCACCGTCAAGTGTGAGAAGTGAAGATTAGGTCTTCGGAGAGATTAAGTCTAATTTGAGCACAGTCGAAAAAGGAGAGAATAAAAAAGGCTTTCTGAATATTTACTAAAGGAGTCTAAATGGATTCAGTACAAACTGCGAGTAATCATTAAGTAGATTCTACTTATAACAAGGAACACAGTTTATTCAAAGCTTCGCAAAGAAGGGCATTGATGTTAACGTGAATGAAACGCCTTGTATTATTATGGCGTTAAAAAAAGTTTCAATCGGTTTAAGCCAAAGTAAAGAAATACTCTATCCAAACGTTATTTATATCGAGCTATTTATGTTAATCCTTGACCAAAAACACACGTTCAGTTCTACGAGGGACTAAAAAAACTCCTGATTATACAAACTAATTTACTTAAGTCTATATTTTTGAAACTCATAATACGTGACTTGTAGATATTGTAGAAAACTATTGTGTGATTCATTAAATGTAGAAACAGAAATACGAATATACTTTAAAGATGGCGATCGTGATCTGTTAACTGACTCCATAGTTGTTGTAACACATACATCCAAGATCAGAGGGAAATGTTTTGACAATGAGTTGCTCAGCCCTCCCCCTCTCCGGCCTCCCTTGTCTCACCCCCCCTTCCCCTGCCCTTTCTCAACCCTTACTTTCCCATCCTCTCCCATTCAACCTGAAACAGTATGAAGCCAACACTACGGAGGTACAGGGTACAGTTCATGGGTTGTCTAAGCCTTAACGGGTAATAGGGGTGGAGAGGGGGGGGGGGGGGGGGGGGGGGGGGGGGGGGGGGGGGGGGGGGGGGGGGGGGGGGGGGGGGGGGGGGGGGGGGGGGGGGGGGGGGGGGGGGGGGGGGGGGGGGGTGGAGAGGGGGGGGGAGGGGAAGTGGAGAGGGGGAGGGGGAGGTGCAGGGGGTTGGGTGATCTTTGAAATTCAAAGGGAAAACAAGAAGCCCTCAGGTAGTTGAAATCGTTTTTGTCGACGATGAGGTTTCTCAAGAGCGTTCGGGAACACTATAAAGTGGCCAGAATTTCACTGTATCCATGCATGCATGTTGTTTTCGCTCAGATTGGCACAACAGATATCTGCAACTCGAACATTTACTTATACTGGCCTACTGCCAAGTTGAGTCACTGATAACACTGATTTAATTACGATCTTCTTAACTCTCATGTCAAGCATTTAGAGTAATTTTCTATATTGTTGCCATGATAACGTATTTGACATTCACGCTTGTGTGATCGGTGTGGAAATCGAATTCAAGCTGGAATTATTCGGAAAAAACGTTTCAAGGTTGGGTAAAACATTCCACGAAAGGCGAAGGAGCTGCAAAACGGAGCTTATCCTCTTCGAGTTATAATTAAGCTGCCAATTTCACTCATTATACGAACTCCAACTGAAAGATTTTTAAGTTCTACAATGATAAAAACTGGAAAGCCTTAATGATACACTGAATATAGATGTTATAGTGGTCTTGTATTAGGGTACATAGTATCTAATTTTGGTAAACACAATTGATTTTATTTGATCACGATCTTTCCCACGACCTAGTTTACGTTTAAAAAATAACCATTTATCGGGGTAACCTTCTCGACTATAAATCAATCCCTTTACCACTGAGACTTTTTTATTCAATCTAGCCCATTACTCAATCGTAACGCGATTCAGTAAACAGACGGCGTATATGAAAAGAAATATTATTAAGAGATTCATTGTGTTATCTCGACTAATAAATGTTTTGGACAAATGTCTCAATTTTTAGCATGTTTAAGATATTGTAAACTAGCTTTGGTACAATTTATCTTATCCCTGATTAATTTCAATCTTGTTTGGAAAATAAATGAATAACAATGATTTTTAGAGAGAAAAATGTCACCAGTGTCTTTGTTGCTTTCATTTAATCCAGGAAGGAAGCGAACCGACTGCCAAGACGTCCTTTTTCGAGAATTCAGAACAGACATACCTCGCATAACTTAGAGCAATTGTCTGAAGTATTTTAAGTATGTTCACTTAATAAAAGTAGTAACTGGCGGAGGCGTTTATTGCACGATGTGAGCGTCAGATCTGTTAATAATTTTTAATGACTTTTGACAATGCTGCTCTGATAAAAGCAGAGAAAAGTTAATGAGAAAGTTGACGAAGAACACTGCTGTTAACATTACAGCTTATAAAATGATCATTTGATCATTTTGACGGACAAGACAGATCTTCGTATTGTTCCCCCCACATTATTTTCATCATGGACAATGCATGGTATTTCAACTTTGATAAATTTAAAACGAGTCAAGTACTGGCCCATGTAAACTCTAAAGCAGCTGGTTAAACATACGTTAAGAATTCTTAACGGTTGCCTGGTAAAAATCATATATTGTTGTTATAAGGAACACTGGTCATTTCAAAAATATGTAATCGGTCATCATTATGAAGTATATTAAGTATGCGGTAAAAAGCTAGAATTGATATCATGAAAGTTTTATGCGGATCAATAGCTATTTTTATATAATAATTCTTTGCATTTTTGTTATAAATTTTACGAAAGAAGCCTAGTGTGAGACCATTTAAGGTCTCTAAGCTACAGAAAACTATTTTCATGTAGCACTGGTTGTTACGTTGTGAAAATCAGTTCTAACTTTTAATGGGAAAACTACCGCTATGTGACTATCCAAACGAAAAAAAGGGGTAAGTTTCTAAACAAACTGTCACAGTGGTGCTGCGTCGGTTTGAAGATCATTTGGTTTCATCAGCTGAGTTGCTAAATAAACGTAAATTGGCGATAGGAGAGAGTTTCTAGGAATCTAAAGCTGTAGTTTTGGGCGATAGTCCTTCGTCAGACTTTGATGAGAGACTGTTAACCATTCTGTGTAAAATGACTTTAGCTTCTCAGTTTTAAGACCTTACTATGAAAGCCACTGGCAGTCATGTTAGATGGCGCTCTTTGTTCTGCTGTAAATTGTGGTTCTTACTGTTAATGAATCTAAAATAAAACTCTAGTGTGTAAATTTACGAATGAAAGCTTCTCAGCGGTTACGTTAGGGGTTCTTCTTACACATTCTGCTTTATGTCACGGTGGTGGTTCTTACTGTTCAGTCTTAAGATGGAACTCTAGTCTTTACGAATGAAAGCTTCTCAGCAGTAATGTTAAATGGTTCTCCCTCTATATGGTGGTTCTTACTTTTCAGTCTATAGATGTAACTCTAGTGTGTAACTTTACGAATGAAAGCATCTCGGCAATGGTTTTCCCTACTAGAATATAGTATATTCTGCTCTATGTGGTGGTTCTTGCTATTCAGTCCAGTGTAACTTTACGAATGAAAGCTTCTCAGCAGTTATGTTAAAGGCTCTCCCTAAATATTCTGCTGTATGTGATGGTTCTTATTGTTCAGTCTATGGATAAAACCCCCAAGCGACTTAGCATCGTTCTTGTAAGGTATTTTTCATTTAATGTTAGCTTTTCAGTCAGGCTAAAATGTTATTGTGTGGCCATCGAAATGAAAATGTTTGAGCAGCTTTTCCATATGATCCTATTTATTATTTCTTCACAATAATGTCGTTCTGAACTCTATGTCTGTGGATGAAGGAAAAGTCGCGGTTCGCCGGACGTTCTCCACCATAGTGGTAAACTTTCTCACTTACGTAAGAAAATGTGCGCCTTTTTAGGAAAGGCGAGGAAGAAATACGTTGCTTTAAGGATAATAAAGATGATAAAGTTCTTCTGAACTTGGTTGAGAAATAGTAGAAGGTGTTATAACAAGAGTGGGACGACGGAAATATTTGAGCTCTTTGAGCGGAATCGAGCCTAAGGGCTTTACGGTTTTTGCGCTCTAGTGCTCGGCTACGACTTAGACTCAGTGGTGTGTTCGGCCGTCACTAGGTTCATGCTGCACACTGCAAGGATCAGAAATGTCGATAGGATCATTTGAGCACACAAATAGAAGAAAGATAGCAAATTTTGCCATCGTAGATTGTTTAAAGTTTATAAAACAAGATAAATTTTCCAAATTGAAGAAACTATCCCTTCACGGGAAACGTTGATATACAATTTCCGAGTCGTTTGAAGAGCAATTTGGCAAGCCAATGGGGATTTGGTATAATCTTTAAAAACTATAATGTAAACAGTGTTCTTATATATATCAAATAATTAATGTATGTGGTGATAAGAACATTAAACCTGATGTTGGATTTGATAGCTAACATTTTTTCGTGTCCGTTTTTGGCGCCATTTTAATTATATTTAACGAGTGACTAGAAAAAAGGCTGGTTTTGTTCAGGAGAAAACTTTCCAGAGATAACATTTTTGCTAATTAAGTGATGTCTGTTATAACTCAATGAAGGAAAATGTTTTTTTTTTCAGTTGCGGATCATTTGTTTACAGAGAAGGAAGCTTTGATTGTTTCTGTCATTAATAGTTCAAGTATTACAGCTGAATTATCCCAGCCAGGGGCGATTCTGAGACAATTATCATTGCGGATAGGAGACCAATAAGGAAATGTATAATTTAGGAATGAATATAACACGTTGACTAAACTTATGTATTAAGTCATTGGAAAAATGAATAGAATCTTTATTTAAGCGCAAAGTAATTACAAATATTTATGGATTAAAACATCTCTTAATTATTGAAATTCCACTTGAATCAACATCTTGATAGGCCGTAAATAGAACAAAGTTTCCAACAACAGTAAATTTACGCGCTTCCTTAAGCAGAACGATTAAAACTCCGGGCTAAACAAATTGAATTAAAATAACTTTTTCTTATAGGAGGTAAAACGGATATAAGTGGGAAGAACTTGAAATAAGTCTGGTTTGTGTAACATTGAGGAACTTTCACGAACACGGCTGCAGAAATAATCCGGTTTTAATACCAACTGGTTGGCAAGTTTGTCAGACTCTGGAAAATACCTTAACACAACAGATCAAATTTTTGCTTAATATAATTAGGAAAAGCTAATTAATGAATGCAAGGAGCCGATTCCTTAAAACACAATTTATTTGCCAAAAGACTCCATTAGCCTTACGTGATCGCAAAGCTTACTGGAATACCAAAAACACGTCGTTAATATTCTGGCTCATCGCGGTTCTTAGTATTTGTGGTTACTTTGCACTCAGCTCTTCTAAGCACATAACTTACAATCACGGAAACAGTTTGAACGCGGGTTAAAACAACAACTTATAAATAGTATTTTGTTTGACACAAGCTAGACCCACAAATATCTGCGACATTTATTCCGGCGTCGAGCTAAGCCCATTTCAAATTCCTTGTACAAAAAAGTAGGTTGAATTCTGATTTCGTGTGTCCGGTTTTTAGCGATGCTATTTTCAAGATTTATTGATACTATGTGAGGTGTATCGTTGGCGTAAATAGCGAGGCAATATCTACCGGTGTTCTGAAAATAGCAATACTTGAAATAACATGCCCCGACGACATATTGTAGAGAGGCGGTTTCTTTAAATAATAATGACAATAACATGCACACGAGTTGTCTATATAATGAAACCACTTTCATTGTGATCACAGTTTACACAACTTCAGGTCACAAACTGCTGTCATCAAAAATGGATTTTCACGGACAAAAAATGAGTCTCTCGTTTTCAATTGAAAATATCTTGCGCGAGGATTTCGCCCATCAGCGAAGGCCGAATTTTGTTCACTTTCCCACGCAGGGCGAGTTAGATTTCGAACGCTGGCCAAGTTCGTCTGTTTATCAGTGCTGTTCGGTTCGTTTCCTAAGCCCCGGCTTTGTGAAATGTTTACCCAATATTCACGGAGTGGAGGACAGATTACAGAGACCGAATGCAGGGGCAGAAAATCTTTCTTTAAAAGAGGAGAAGAAATCGTTTGAGGAAGATGGCATGGGTTATAATGAAGAGGTGCTTCTCCAGGAAAATGGTAAGAGATTTCACTCTGTTCGAGTGAAATTACATCCACAAATTTAAAGAAGGGTGATATTTCATACTTCGGCAAAAAACCGTCACGAAATATGGTAGCTTTTTTATCAAACGATTATAGCTTTACCTTGATTGCCATAAATTCCAGGAGATTTTACACTATTTTCAAAAGGCAATACACAACTGGTTTGACAAGTATTTTCTTTAAAAAGTAATGCTCAAATCGTTTATTTATTTATGGCATTGCGCGGAAACCTTAATGGCAATTGAATTTGCTACAAATTTGGGGTAATTCCAAAATTTTTTCATTCGTATGGGGACCACAAAAGGGACTTTCCTCTCTCAGCCGAATCAGAGGGTTGCCGTTTATAAGCGTGGAATTTGACCTTTAAGAGGAAAGTTCCAAAGTCCCAAAAATCCCATCAGAGATGAAGCATTGGAAAACTCAAGTTTAATCAAATTCGTCTTTCTTTTATCTTGTCAAACCCTGTATTTAATGTTCTGTTATGCGGGTTTTTAAGTTACCAGCAAAATAAGGAAGCTTCAAATATGATTTGACGGGTAATTACTAAAGTAATTTCATGTTTTTCTTACCGGATGAATAAATTCGAAAGTAAAGTTCATTTTTCAAGTGGACCCTAACATTCAAAACTTTTCACTTCTCACCTTTTTTCTTGTACCCAGTGACACTTAAACTTATTTTAGAGGAGGTTGTGGGAAATTTCCCTCTTCAGTTTTTTTAATGCCACAATAACGAAGAGTTTGAGAAGGAAATATAAAAATGTATAATGTTTTACAGACAAAAATAATTTGGGGCTAATTTTTCTTTGGGTCGAAACAGAAAGAACATTTCTTGTTGTCGAGTGTTGTAAATACGAGAAATTCGTTTTCGACAAAGAAGGGTTAGAAACGGATGCACTATGCAATTATTCAACGGTCAACCGAGTGAATCCTTTTTTTGTGGCCAATATCCTATTTCACTTTTGCTGCATATTTTCGTTTCGTGACGGTTGAATTGTTTTTGTGCCGGGGTTTGACGACGAAATCAACAGCGTTGGCGACTTTGAACATCCGCCCGGCAATATTTGTTAGAATACCGTGACTTACCGAAAAACAAACCAGTATATCGTGGACCAATATTGATCCTCCACTGATTTAACTTCGCTTTACTGCAATCTCACCAATCCGTATGAAGAATCTTTCACTAAGCGTTAACTTCCATGATTGCCAAGTAATTGCCAGGAGTATTTAGCTATCTTTAAAAACAATTCGTGAGTGAATTGGTTCTTCAACTAAAGACCCATGAATTCTGTTGACGTCAGTTAGCGGAGGTAAAGTAATTTGGGCGTGGGGTTTTTTTTTTCATTATAAATATCCGCTTGATTTAAAAGAGGTTTGAGTGTTTGTTTAGTCATATAGTGGCCCGTAAGATCGTTATTTTAGCTGGTTTTCGCTTATCCGTGCATTAACACATTAATAACATACTTGGAAAACGTGCATCCTTGAAAAATATTTTTTCTGGGCGTTTCTAAGCCAAGATATACATCCGGGAAGATCAGTGGAAGACAAAAAAAAGACAAAAATGAAAAAAAAACAAGATTAAAGGAGTGAAATTAGTTTTGGAAAACATCCCAAAATTATGTATTTCTTTTAAGATCTTAGAAAAGATAATCACATTCCTGATTAAGCAAGCAGTCAGACAATGAAATATAGAAATGAAAAACAACATTTGTTTCTAAATGGTCTGGTTAATTTTCGCATGACACTCGCATGACATTGTAAGATAAAACATGAGATATTTCTTAAGGTGTTTGCGTAACTTGTTAAGAGATTTTTGAAACTGTCTAATTTCGCTGTCGTAGTACGGTATTAAGAGTGAGGAAGGAGACAAATTGGTTTTGCGTGTAAGTGAAAGAGTTGTATTGCGGAAGCTCTATCAAGCCAGAGAATTAACACTTACATGGTTCTCGAAGGCTAGTAGCTATCAAAAGTTGGAATCAAATCGCAGAATTTATATCGTCGATCAACACCATTTAAGAATGAGTCCGTTATATTGAATCAGGTTAAACAGACTAACACGACAATAATTTCATTAAGTTCATTAGTTTGGACAAAATACTATTTTTATTAAAGTAAAATTGAATTACTGGCTTAGCATTTTAAAATCTCTCTTTCCTTAGATGAAGGATGCGATAAGGACTCTAGTCAAAGATCGAAGTTGGAAAAGTGCATCGAAAAAGGAGTTAAACCGCGAAAAAGAAGAAATCGCAGCCATTTTACTCAGCGTCAACTCCAATATCTCGACAAGATCTTTTCCCGCCAACAGTATCTTACACGCGACGAGCGCACGCTATTGGCGAGGGGCCTGGAAATGACTGAACTTCAGATCAGAAACTGGTTTCAAAACCGAAGATACCAGAAAAGACATCGAGGGCAAGAAGACAAGAAGCGAGTTGAACCAGAAATGTCTGTTGTTGCATGAAAATAATAGTAGAAATTCACCTCTACATAAAATGAATTTTTAAGCCAAAAGAAAACAAAAAGAAGTCTGCAATAAATATTTATGTTTTCTGATATAATATAATACTTCTGTTTTAAAAAGAAGACTTGTATTTTATGTACATATTGAGTTTACTGACTTAAATATTGTATTAAATTAATTTATGGACGATTTTTCTTAAGAAACTCCAACATATTGATACAATTACGAAGGGTTTAAAAGTCAGAACCGTAAAAACGGTGAATTCCATGTCTACTAATGATAGATTCATACTGATTTGAACACATTTTTAAGTTACTCTGTTTTCCTGATTTCACCGGCAGTTCTACCGAACTAAAGCTTATTTCAAACCAGTGGAGTTTATATATGCATAGGTACTTATTCCTAATGAAAGTTATTAATAGCAAAGAAATTGCAGAGAGGTAAATATATATATAGTGTTGATGTATTCTTGCAAAAAGCCTTTTGAATACAAAAAGATATCATATTCGTACAGAAAAAATGGGATTTCTCATAAAAGTTTTATTTTAAAAGAAATTTAAATCGATCGATTGTTAAAAACTTCAATGTAATTAAGTTATTGTCAAAGTAGATTTTAATGGTGACATTGAAAAATTAAAGCTGATATTTCAAGCAAACATATTTGGTTCCTTGGTCTGTCTCAGAGTACATCAGACACCGGTGAGATTGTGGTTAACAATTCAAATTATCCTTAATGCATAAAACCACAAAAAAAGGTTATCCACAATCGGTTGTCTATTTTAAGAACGAATTGACTAAAGAAAATCGAATCTTTAAAAGGTCACGTCAGGAATACTTTCACTTTAATATATTTCTTTCAATTTTTTTTTACGTGCGGAGATTATCGGAAACAACAAGTGCTCGAAGGTGGGACATTTCTCAAAATAACTTGGTCACCCAGGAAAAAGTAATTTTTTGTTTTATTTTATTGTGAATAAATTCTACACTTTTTGAACAAATTGAAACTTTTTCTATCCTTGTTTATGCTACATTTATTCCGGCCTGACCACTATTTAATTTTTGTATTCTCAAAAGAAATAACGAAGGCAAACTTCAATTATTTATGAGGTGATTCCATATACCTGTATAGCATACTACACTTATGTCTTTGCTTTGGCACTGAGGAATCGACGGTTTTTTTTTTCATCATCATTTCAGCACCTCCTGAAATGAAAGCTGGTTTAAGTAAGAAAAGAAAATTTGTAAAAATTCAAAAGAACTATTTTTTTGTTCCGCAGTGGCTGTTGCGGAGTTTGCGTGTTTTACTTTGAATTTGAATAAGCGTGTTTCTGAAGAAAAGACCGTTTGAGTACCTTCCTTGATATACACGTAAAAGAACCATTTTTGGTGCTACACTTAAAGGAGAGCATCTAAGCTGTTGCTGCTATATTAACGTAGGTGGGTTTAAGTGTATTTATATTTAGAAATAATTGTACTCAAAAGCTCTTAAAGATTTTTTTAAGCCACTTATTACTTATAAACTATCTTTCTTTCGTTATGTTGTACCTCTTGTTTTATTAAATGAAATATTACTGTTTTTCATATCAACGCATGGAAATTAAACTTAACTTCTGTACATGTACATCGTTCATAAGTGATTGAAAACAAATCATTGAAGAAATTTAAAACTTTTACCATCTCTCATTAGAAATCGAGAGTGTATGATATTTTTGATTTGGTGTGGGAACAAAGTGTTACCGCCTTCTCCTCATAGTTTCCCTGTTTAGTAATTACGAGATCTTTTTAAAGAGCTATTAAGCACCTAGAGATCTCAAGGGTGCTGTCTCACGGGCTACGCACGGTGTTGGAAAGTATTTGGGCTCAGACAAAAGAAAACAGGAGATATTGGGGCTGTAAACTGCTTAACTTTGAAATATCGACAAGACAAAAAAAGGGTAAGAGATCTCCTTCATCAACGAAGATGCTTCCTGTCGCAACGCCTTTGGATAATCTTACTCACCAATCCCTCCGGAAAAAATTGAATTCGGTCAGTCAGACTACAAGAGATGCAGTTAAGTTTCGAAAGTTTTGAGGACCAATTGAGGATCAATCCTCATTATAGAAGAGTCGCCTCTCTCTGGTCACTCAAAGTTGAATCGTTAGACTGGTTGACTTTTATGGCAAACGACACCTGAACGGCATTAAATTGAACTTGTTTCTTTATGGTTTCAGCCGTTTTTGAACTTAAGTGTAAATATTTGTTTTAGCTGTGAACTGACAGATAAAACAAGGGTTGAAACAACAGCTATTTTGGAAAGTTAGTTTGATTTTGCTGTCCAAAACTGAGAGGTAATTTAGTGGTCATATTGAACAACGAATTTTTGGGTCATTTAGAGAGAGGAAGTGGTTAGTGAAATTACATTTTTTCCTCTTCTGTTGTCTCCTAGGTAGTGGGGAAAAAGAGGGTACTTATTCTGTCGAGTGGTTTTTACATACGTAAACTAGCGGTATCTTTGTGATTGTATGGCTTCCTAACAGATCACAAAAGTAGCTAGCTTATATGGTTTCGACACGGGCTAAAGGAAGATCCTATAAACTATGGAGTTCGAGAAAGATTTCACACGAAGTTTACAGCAATTACAGCTTTTTCTTTACAGTATATCATACTTCTTTACTTGAAATGTGAACCCAATAACTTGATATGAAGACTCAATAACTTGTGTGAAGGTCTCAGTGTTCAATGTGTGTTTTGGTGAGAAAATAGAGCCCAGACTCTTTTCATATGAGAAATTCAAACGTGCAACAAGCTATGTCCCACCGACAGAGTTTATTTGGCGCAAATTTCTGAGCGATGAGGGAGATATTTCTTTCAAAACATCCAGATCTGGGCGTATGGATCACAGCCCCACATTTCATATATGAGCAAACTGTCCCAATGGAGACAGAGCTGGAGCGAGTTATCGGAAACGAAGCCGTTTGATTGCACGCAAGAAATTTTCGCGTGAACAGAAAAACGAACAATGAGAAAACACAAGGTGAAGTTTCTTGTTTTTGAGAATTGTTTCCTTTGTTTACGTATAAGTATGTTTAATACGTGAACGCTCAACTTAAAAGCTGATATTTCAATTTTATATTTTTACTAGAACTTCCTGGGGGGTGTTCATTTCTTGACCAGTCTCGATGCGTTGCTAGGCAACTGGAGTCTTGAAGGCTTCCGTTTTGGCGCCAGTTGATGTCTACTTCAAGCCGAATGTTTGTTCATTTGATGGATGTTTATAAAGTTGATAAAGATTTTATCTTGAATGCGGTCAAAAACAACAACATCAGCTGAATCATGATGAATTTATAGAAACCCCTTCCGAGCACTAATTGTTATGTTCAAGAAAGTTTGGTCATTTCACTATTTTACCTTGTTTGTTTTTCGTGTTGTTGAGTTTGTGCAGAAGTTTAAATCCAAGCCTCATTTGCAGATAAACGTGAATGTTTTGTTTTGAAAAGATTAAAGGAAATTTCTGCTCTGGTATCATAATTTCGTCTCCAATATCTTGTTCTTAAACCTTCCAGCATATTCATCTCGTATTTTCTAAACACTTTAAGAGATTTAACATGCGACTCTTGTATGGACACAAACGCTCCGTTTTATTTTGACCCTCTCTTAACTATTTTTTTCACCGATTTCATGTTTGACCCAATGAAGATGGGACAAGGCGCTTTTTGGGTTCGTGACCCCATGGAAATCAGAAGATGTGCTAATTAAACACTAATTAATATCTTAAATTGATGAGATTGTCTATTAGCGATAGGCCCACACACTCATAAACGTGATCCTCTAACACGCAAAAATGAGATGGGAATGTAATCTCTCGAACAATACTTAACAATGATGTTCTAGATCCTTCAGTGACATAAAAAAGACCGCAGCTCTTATATATTAACTTAATTTCATATAGAGATCTCTATGCAATCCACGAGTCAAAAGAGAGAGGAAAGGTGATGTAAACATCTGACCGACGCCAATTCAAGCGATCACATATAAGCAAACGGAAACGCTTTTTATGTTAAAGTAATATATCTCGAAATAATTAGTTTTCATCAATTTTATGCACGCGGACGGTGAAATCTTCCGAATCGCCTTTAAATCTCGTTTTTTCTCAAAAACGGGGGAGATTTTGGTTTACAGCAGCACCGACTCAAGATTGATACAAGGAATTTTAGGGTTGCCACGTTTACTCCTTTACCAAAAGCGTAGGCTTGAGGTGTCGCGTGTATCAAACTATTGGCGGGAAAAATATCTTGTTTAGATATTGGCTATGACGTAAAAAGAGTGACTTTAATTTTCGCCGCAATCAGACAATTTTTTTTATAATGTGAGTACGCGCACTCCTTTTTACTCTCTTAAATAACACGTAACGATGATTGAGGGTAATCTTTGCAATTTTTCACTCTTTTTAAATGTGTCATCTACGGCTGCTAATTTTACGCTTCAAAAGTTATTTTAAAACTTGGTTTATCTCCACGCTTTTGATTTGTAACTACAAAACAGTTTGCTTTGATAAAATCTCCATGATATTTCCTCTTTTATTTGATATAGAGATTTTATGTAATATAATATATTTTCGAAACGTACGTAGTATTGCAAAGATTAAAATAGAACTCGGATAGGACTCAAAGTTCCAATTGTAGTTAATATTTATTGCAACTAGTAATCATACTAAGAAAAGTTGAAGTAGATAAATTGGGGTTTCCTTAAGGTAAGATATACAAACAAATGGGAAAAATTTAAAAAAAGCGATAGAAAATATAACTTTTGTCTGCAACAATTATATTTTTTCCAAGTTTATACGTGACACGAATTCTTAATTAAACCCAATTGCAATCAATTCAAGCGCAGCGGTTTCTTTTTATCCTTAGTGTTAATTGGCACAGAGACTCTTACTAAAAAGAAGTATTGCTGAAAGGGCTTTTAATATTTTGACGATCATTCTGTTTAGATAAAGGTCTCTTCTGAGTGTGATGCTAAATGAGTGGATCTGCAATTCCACTTTCCTCTCTATGGTAAGTGCGTGATATTCGTGAGAAGGGGTAAGGTTGAATCTTGGTTTCAAGTGTTCTGATATCAATTCTTTACGAATAGTCAAGTGGAACATGATAATTACAATATTGGAATCAATAGACATTTGAATAGCTAAGTAAAACTACTAAAAACTTTAAAATGCAAGCAATGATTAAGATTAACTTTCAGAAAGGATGTGCCATTCGATGAATTAATTTTATACAGGTGCTTATATTATTTCTTAAATGCCAAATACATCTGCACGTCGTTTCATGTCGCATGCGATGAGATTATGACAGAATGTGAGCTGAACCAGTCAAAATTTCGACTACGAAGTCATGTTTGATAAAGTCCAAGCTTAAGTTAACACCTGCCAATTAAAGCGGATTGTTAGAAAAAAATTTAATCGCATCTTTTCTAAATGCAATGAGTTGTCAAGAAAGATCAAAACTAGATAGCATTCACTTTGAAGTCTTTACTCAGAAAGTGGATTGTCTGAGAAAAAAGGAAATTAATTAGTAACATCAGAACTCGAAGTGGAAAAAAAATTGGACCAAGCAAAGTCCGCGATTTGCTTGAACACAACATCTGTGTTTGTTCCATTAAAGTTATGGCGCGCTCTGAACGCGTCTTCTTTTAGATTTAGAAGATTAAAAGTCATTCACGAGAAAATACTAAATTGTGAATATCCTCAGATAAATTATGTCTTCTGCAAGCTATGCTGTAAGTACCATTAGAAGTTTTTTCATCGTCAGCCAGCGACCAAATAAGCGGCAACATCAATGTTGGGTAAAAATCCCCATGGGAGAGAAGAATAATTTTTTACTAATTTTAAAATTCATAGCTAATCTCTTAAAAGCCATATTTTGAGTCAAAAATCATGGCAGACACTCAAATATTTAAAATATATTTTTAATCATTATATTCTTTCTATATAAAATATAGTACAAGTGTATTTATTAGGGGACCTGATATAACTATTTACATCGTATTTTTCTGATATAAAGTAACTCTAAAACCATCGCTTTTTCACTGCACCTTTTACAATAAATTTACTAGTTCCTTTTTCAAACGTATAAATTTGCATGGAAAAATATCAATGTTTAGCTAGCATATTTACAGATTTCTACCAGTCATATTGCTTTTCAATTAGTTCTCTACGTTACAACTGGATCGGCACTAACCAAAGTTGGACTTTTTGACAGTGCACTGGCTATGGAAAATAGATCCACGCTTTTTTCTACTTTATCACAACTTAATAAGAACCTTTTCCTTCTCAGAAAGGTATCTAAAGGCGCAGTAAGTCGCGTTATTATGGGATTATTCACTTCATCAGCGAAATTTGATGGAATGTTTCTCCAGATTTGTGTGATCAAACTTCTTCTTTTACACACACTGACGAATCTGGTTCATCTTGTTTCGAATTCTCGTTGGCGCGATGTTTTCTTTGGTATCTTCGGTTCTGGAACCAGTTTCTGATCTGAAGTTCGGTCATTTCCAGGCCCCTCGCCAAAAGTGTGCGCTCGTCGCGTGTAAGATACTGTTGGCGGGAAAATATCTTGTCGAGATATTGGAGTTGACGCTGAGTGAAATGGCTGCGATTTCGCCGCTTCCGTTTACCGCTGGCCTGGCCTTTTTCATCGTAGCACGTTTCTCTCTTAGATTGTTTAATCATCTTTTTGCTGGTGATTTCGTCTGATGAAAAAGAAATAACTCACTTTAGTAAAAGCTTGTTGGCATTTTATAGATAATTGCTCGCACCTCTTGAGTTAGAAATACTGTACCACAAGCTCAATCAACAATTTTGTGGGTGATATGTTTTCGTGAGGTTTTATTATAACATGCAACTTCAATATATCTGTTACATGCGCTATCAATGTTGCCTTTTGATTGAGAGGAAGGCGCTCGATGCGACGTAAATACCCTAATGAAGGACATCTTGTAATAATTGTTTCTGTGCTGATTTGGATAACCTTTCGTTGGTCCGTAGTTTTGCAAGCAAAAATCTCGGAGGAGTTTTTTTCTGTACAGTACTTATAGCCATTTTGCCTTATGCCGTGATTTTGAATGTTAGTTAATTCAATATGAAGCACTTCCTTGAGATAGACGATGCCGATGACAGCTCAATACCTTATCGCGGGCGGTAAATTCCTTAATTTCGATTTATTGTATCACGAAACACGAAGAAAGAACCTTTTCGCTAAAATGAAGCAAATTCCATGAAACTATTCGTACTTTACAAAATAGTGTTTGACTGTTTCAAAAGTTACACAAGCTATATTCGGATGATTCAATAACAGTCCTAAACGTTCTTTGACATAATACGTTTAAACCATTAGAAAAAATAACAACGCAAATATAATGATCCTTTGAAATCTGGAAAAACCAACAATATTTCATATTAGCACTTATCATGCTGTCAATGCAAGTTTAGTCCCAAACGAGTTTGAAAAAAAAAGGCATCAATATTTAAACAGATGTTAAAAAAGAAACTCTATGAACTTTGAAAGTTTAACTGAAAAACTACGTTTTTGTCATTGTAGTCACTAAAAACAACTGATTTGATTGACCTGACTAATTTGTAAAATACCTCAGATTTATAAAAACAAATTCAGTGCGAAAAGATCGTAAATTATTGAAGGTAGTCCATGCAACTGGTGTTAACGCAAGTCTTTCATATTTGGAAAGTGGTATTCTGTTAACATTCGAAATAACAAAAATTCCCTTTTGTTAAAAATCTTAAAACCATCTTTATCGGTTCGAAAGAGATCAGATCCAATTAGTTGCAACTGTTAACTTTGCAACCTTTGGCTCATAGATACAGTCAGAGAAAAGTCCAACATTTGAAGAACCTTTACGAGCTGAAACCCGTTCTTGACTCTCGTATTGCGTTGTCTGGAATCAAATAACATCGGATAGGAATATGACTTCAAAAGAATATGGAATGATTTTAGGCTCTTTCCTAGATGCCATTTTAGCAGACATTTTAGCATTTACACGTGAGCACTCGAGATTTCCTCTGTTGTTTAGCTAACAGCAATTCGTAGCCTTTAATTCCGTGGATAAATTTCATATCAATCTTCACAAATCTTGATGGTGTGTAGAATCATGTTTTTCGGCTTGCGGTTTCTGAGATACAGTATTACAACTTTAGATCGCTTAAACAAAACGGATGAAAGTATTCTCAAAAGCCACTATTTAGCCAAACAAACACTTAAAGCTCTTGTTATCTAAAGCAATATTCCCAATAATATAATTTTCACCTCGAATTCCACCGTGCAAATTATGTCGACAACCAGCCTTCTACCATCGTGTTCTTGGTGGAAATCTCTTTGTCAGCGATTAAAATTGTTTTGAATGATCAAGTTTTTTTTGAGAAGATTTTGAATTAAGCAAACTTGTCAGAATAGTATCGCGAGATCAATATCTAAGTACATAAATACAAGTTGATTGTCACGTATACTGATCTGATATTGCAACGCACAAGCGCCCGCAGATATTCGTTGTCGCCATTACTGGACATCTCTCATGTATTAGAAAAAACAACTTAGACACTCACGAAAAGCGTATTCATAAAATTAAAATCATTTACAACAAAGAATAGCTCTTCCAGTTGACTCGAGCATTCACTTCAAAAGCTGCAAGTGAATAGGAAGGCACAAATACATCGACGACTTTTAGCGGAAGTTACCGCAGATCGTTAAAACTGTAAAACTCGTAGTCTCGTTTTTTCTGAATTTCGACTGCGCTTATTGAGGCGTTTTAAGGAAATAATATCCAAGTGAGGTTATACGTAAGAAGTACATGATATCAATTTGTAATCGTTAGTTTACTGAAATCCCAATTATGAGTTTCGATTGGTTTTAATTGATTTAGATTTGTAACGCCACAGCTCACGAACACAATAGTTCAACTTCGGATAATGTTTCGTGTTTTAGAAGATATCGGCCCTAGCTTCTAGATTGTTTTGCGTGTCGGTTGAAAAGGAAAAAATGCGATCAACTTGATTAAATAGCTCGCTAAACCATCAATACATGACCCTAGCTCTTACTCGCTCTTAACCTGCACAACACAATATGTTAACGTCTTGAGTATTTGGGGTGTAAAGAGATATTTTCCGCCCTCGCTTTATCAATTAGTGTTACCTTACCGAATAGGGACCTATCTGAGTTAAAACGACAACCAACATTATACCATAATGTTAGGAATTGCAAACAAAATAGTTATAAAATCTGAAATGAACACAGGGATAATTCTTCCATTTCGTCTCAAGATTTTTTTGGGAAGAAATGTTTCTCAATTGAACTTTGAGGCAATTTGTTGAAAGTTCGAACGAGGAAATGTTTTTGTCTGTACGTGCCTAGCGAACGCATGTTAGGGCAAGAAGAAGTGATCCTTAAAAGAACAATAGAAAGTTCACTTTTATTTTTATCATCCAGGAAATTCTCGCCGACGCCAAGTTAAAACAAATTAAAGTAATTGAAAACCAAAATGTCGGTCTGAGACTGCCTGAAGCGTTGCTAAGTAAACATGTCATTGCACAAAAAAGTTTTTAAAAATAAGTGCTGAAAGAAAGCTGATTGGAAAATTAAATCGTTCATGAACTCGATCGGCGATGACTATTTCAGACTCAAAAATTTAATGTTTTGATTTAAATATGTTATCGTACTTTGGTTGCTCTCCGATTACACTAAACTTTTTAAAATTAGTTATCCTTACCTTGACTTTGAGAAAGAGCTTCATCTTTGTAAATCGAGCGATGTTCTTCAATCTCTTTCTGTTTCTCTGTTAAAATTCGCTCTTTTTCTCCCTCCACTCTGTTCAATCTTCTCTCGGGTCTGTAAACACTTGGCAGACATTTCATGAAAATTGGGCCGTAACGAAGCGAATAGTAACCGTAAAATGGTGGCTCCGACCATCTTTCAAGACACAAGGCTTGTTGTTGTACATTCACAATGTTCGTTTTCTGTCCTCGTGGAAAATCATCTCGTAAAATGTTTTCAATCGAAAATGAAAGATTCTCTTTTTCTCGTCGAGATTCCATTAGAACGGATCGGGAGCAGTTACGACCTTTTGATATGCAACGGCGGACGATCAGCGATCAATGATCAGACAGACACCCGATCTGTCGAAAGTGAAATTATTTCTGCATTAAATAGTACTCAAACTTGCGGTCACGCGTGCATGAGACATAACCACGCCTCTCCTCAGCTGTCGGGACAAGGGTTGGCTATTTCAGGAACACGCAGCAAATACTGGTCAAGTGGCGATATCGCTTGAACACGCTATAAATGGTAATTCTTTTCTGTAACCATAGAATCTTGTGATTTACTTAACTGAAGCCGTGCCCAGCGGTCGATATCCTCATTAGAGCGTGATAATTGAACTAAGTATGCATGATATCACTTTTGAAGACTGTTGACAAACCACAACTACTGTATTAAGCTAATCTTTTGTTACACGGACACGCTAAGCATGCATTTCCTTATGAAAAAAAATTCCCGTTTGGAAAAGATACTCTGCTATACGAGCAATTTTCATTCCGAAAATAAATGATCCTCGAAAATTTTAATGATTCACTGTCTGTTAAACCAAATCTTTGGGGTTTGTTGTAACTCGACGTATATTTTTATGCATTTGTATATCGAATTCCTTATCACAATCATGCAAAATAAGCAGATTAAGAAATAAGAATGGACACTTATTAGGCAGTCGGCGGTGCTCGTGAATATGTAAACCCCGGATATGTTTGTATGACTCCGAGGGCAAACCTGCGATGTCGATGGCGATATTAAAAACATTTGAAAAACATCTTCTAAAAACAGAACAAGCCAGTTCGATCAACAACCCTATCATCAATATAAATCATATTTTAACGTTGCTTACTTGTTAGTAATTAAGAGTTTCCTTTGGTTCTTAGTTAAAACCCGTTGAAAGTACTTCCTCTGACGTCATTCGCGCAATGAGCGCCCCTAAAAATATCGCTTGTCTAACTAGAGCATGTTGTGCGCGTGACGAGTTGCACCTTGTTTCAATCGACAACGTAACCTTTGTTTTCGTTCTTTTAACAAAGCTGGCTTGATTACGGTAAAATTAGAGCTTTTAAAAACTGAAAGCCAAAAATAGGGAGAAGTAGTGTATTCTTTAGAAAATACGTTGCTCTTTGCATTTTGAAGAAATAAAAACGCATCAGAGGCGAATTTATGGCCAAGGACGAGTTGCGTATGAGAAAACTTTGATAATTACATAAGTTAGAGAGCGACGAAATTGTCTCATTTTTCACCCAATCTTGCATAGAACAAACAAGGGAACAAACCTAACACAATTTAATTGAATATCCTTGCTTCTGAAAGTGATAATAACTTCTCGCCGTCTAAGCTGGTTAAAACTGTTGAAAATAGCACATTAAAAGAAATTTAGTTAGAAATTAAAATCGCGCGATTGGTAAAGCACCTGGCACATTCTGTGGTGAAATGCTATAGCAACGATGTTTCAAAAAATTTTAAGATTTAGGTCATAACTAATTTAATATGAACACGTTGGTTTATTTCGATGGTAATAACTCTGAAAATAGTTTTTGTTCATACAACAGCAATCAATGCTGAAATTTTTGAAGACAGCAACAAAAGTGACTGAAAGTTCCATCGAGAATAGTCAAAATTTTCTCGACCGGAAAATGTGCGAATACAGAAGAAATACACCGTAGCAATTAGAGAGGGCCTCTTATTTAAGAAAGCAGATCGACTGAAGTAGGTGAGGATAACTGTTTAATCGAGAAAATATTGACAAAAATTACTCATCAAGTTTTAACGTTTTTTATTTGAAATAAGGTAGAATATACGAATGCTTAAGAAAAGTTCAAAATTCAAGCAAGCGTTTGAATTAAATATATATTTACAAAGCCAAATCAACTTTAAAAAACAAAACAATATCATACTGTACATTTATGCTAGAAAGTTGATAGGTAGAATGAATCTTTAACATTTTTGTAAAAATAACATTTTAAAGCTCTGCTTTAACAGGACTGTTTGTCATCGTCCCTTTCTACAGAGGCCGATGACGCACTTTTAGGACATGGGCGTTTATAAAGATTTGCTTTAGAATTTACTACATGAACTGTAAACCTCATTAAAATGATATCAGTTTCTTTATCAAGTTTTGCCAAGAAAAAATACTTTGTTGGACTTTAGAAGTTTTTAGTACGGTTTGATTTGTTAGTATAAATTACTAAAAAACGGTTTTAGGCTTATAAGAGGTACAAGAAGTCTTGTACCGAATTCACATCGGAAATGTGGCACAACACCTCTTTCATTTCAAAATTGATACTGTCATCAATTTCGCTTCAGGCTTACTTTGGAGGCGTCATTTCCGTGTAGACGCATCACGCCTAAGCAATTGTAAACATTTTAAATGAAGTTATTGATATGTCGATCAGGCTTGACCGAGTCTCTGTCTGCGAGGGAAGCCGTTGTTCCGGACTCTATAGGGCTCGCACAAGTGTTCTGAAGACAGCGTGTTAACCTTGAGCAGTCTAGGCAGTTCATATACTTCAGGTTGTTATTTCAATTACATGCTTTTTTCTTTCATCGATAATTACATCAATAATAAAGGCGAATGATTATTTTAAACATTTATATGAGATTAAATTCGAATTTAAATGCACTTAAAGGTTTGTTTTCGTTTCGCTTACGTTGGAATGATGTGAGGTCAACACATACTGTGTTTTAAATTTCGTCACAGTTAGCATTACGTCTCCAACCTGTTCCAAACCTCAAATTTCCTATCATTTTAACGGTTCGTGATTTATTCAGCGTGTCAAATGCAGTTTTTAACTTTCTTATGACCATACTCAACCGTTTTTAAGACAGTTAAGTCAAGGGTTTCGTGATCGCATTTGCAGATTAACCACCTCGGAAATGCCTCCCTCGTGAATCTCAGCGATCCACAGACGGTGTTAAATTTTTCCTCCCAATTAGGAATGTCCGAGAAATTTCAGACAGAAAAAAGCAAATCAACTTTACAGGAGAAAATTACACATAAAGATCTGCTCAAGATCACTTCTTTGACAAGTTCTCTCGATCTTCATCCATTTAGTTTATTCGGCGCTAAATTTCGTGCTCTAAGTTCCGGCGATATTAGAATGACGACTAATTCGTTTGTGGTTAGCCTTTTTTCTTATTTCTTTTGTTTGGTTTTGTCTTGTCATGTTGTACTCTATCGCTGAAAGAGTGATAGAAAAATAAACCTATAGTTGGCCTCTCAATGGTAAAAATAATTTCCTATAAGAAGTGATTTTGTCTAATACTGAAATATCACCGGTGCTGTTTTCATGACAAAAGGTTCGACTCATTTCATTCGAGGTCGTGAAACGAGGCAAATCTTAGCAGCTATATTTAAAAGGAAAAGCAATGGGTTGAAAGCTGGAGACTTCAATAAAGTACAAATGATATTGGTACCGCTTATATTTTTTGAGACTCAGTTGTTTGATACAAGGTTTCTTACAAAGTCGTGGGAACTATTAGAGAAAAATGTTTGTTATAACAAGGGGCAACACTCGAAACGTCAGCTTAAGAAACTCTTTACATTGGCCAATTTAAATTGTCAACTCAGTTGATATAAACAAATCATCTTGCCTCAGAAAACCATGGCTTGAAATAAGTTTTGTTTAACTGCTTGATAGTGGGTTCACTTTATTGTTCACTGGCCAGCAGGAAGTTCTCTACTGGACTAACAATTGGTTTCCGCGGCGACCCCGTCTTTGTAGAATTTGCATCCGGCTAGAATCTTTCTACGATTGATCAACCAAGTAAAAACAGGTTTCAACAGAATCCAAGGAGACAAGAATGCACAAAACAACTTCACACGTCTAATAATAGTTGGATAAGCAACTGATTGGTTAATCCAACACTCTAGAACTTTTATCTAATTGCATTATATCTTCTACTATGAATGTAGTCTTTGAGTGGGTGGCAAATTGTCATTGAGGCTGTGGTACTAGCGTCATTACTTTCTCAATGGGCTTATTGTATCGGTTTTAAGGTGTGCATGGCGGAAGAAATTACGGCAGCTATGTTGATCTTTGAGTATTTTTGCATGGGATATTGTGCTAGTAAGCTCCTTTCCACTGAAATCCTTTGTCTTCTGTACATCAGATTTGTTTGATAAGTTTAAGGCGTGGCAGTCGTTTCAACTTAGAAACAGGAGTTCACATCTCTGTCTTAAATTATGGTGCGGCTTTGAACAATAACCTTACTGCTAACCAAACTCTAACTAGCCAAACTAACCTAACATCTTTATTAGTTTCATTTAATGCTCTGCAAAAGCATAATTTGTGATTATTTTGCATAACATCAGACGACATCTTTAAATCGATAGACCTGTTTCGTGACATATTTCATAGCTCTGCAAAACAGTCATATTGCTTACGGAGGTACTTATTATACACACCTCTCTTAGAAGCCGTGATTTATTTAAAAAAAAACAAGACCTTTCTGTTTATCTGGGTGTGATCTGACGTCAAACGACTTAAAAATAGAAAGTGCAACATCATGTTTTTCTGTTTTCCAAACAGACATTTGTAAGTGCTTCTTTTGTCTCTGTAGAACATTAAGTTGGGCGTTAACAAAGCGGCTTTCTTCTCTGGGAAACAAAACAGGGAAAGCTATAGATAACTTGGGCTTATGAATCAATCCACCATGTCTTCGTTTGAAGGAATTTGCACATACAGTAGCACTGTCCCCGATATTAGTTTGTGACATTTGGGTCAAAGAAAGATCGATCGATCACATGCAAAACTTGATTGGTATAAAGATGTTTTACATCGCACAGCTCAGTCGTGTTCTTAATGATACCTTGCCAAAAATTAAAGTGATCTGAAACAGTTGATCTTCTTGTTGTTTTGAAGAAGCCCGGTTTAGCAAAGTACCTTGTTTCATCGAAAAAAACTGTTGTTATTAATTTTTTCAAATAGCAAGCCACATATGTCTAAAAGAACCTTATAATGACTTTTAGAACTGAATGCTGTATATGTTCATTGCTTATTTGCACGTGGTTACTTAATATTTTCGTCAGACTGTTAGTTCTGTTATGGAAAGTTGGCAAGTTATAGAGAAATTCTAATCATTTGCTGCTCTGCATGCTTCGGAAGTGAGGGATGTTAGATTGAAATATGTAGAAATAGGTTTTTATGGTCTGTGTTAGTTCATTGTTAGTAAAAACCTGGCTTCAACACAATCACCGAGCGAGCGGAAAGAGAGAGTCATGCTGGCGGAGTCCGAAGACGACCGCGACGAATTCTGGGCGAAAAGATTGACGTTAGCAGAAGAAGGTTCACTATAGAGATCACCCTCTCTGATCGTCTGATTGCATGACTAAAATTGCCACAAATTCAGCCTCCTCTCTAGAAATAATATTAATGATAATGGTATGAC